TTTCAGACTCTATGGCGTCACAATATGGGACGCTTACTAAAATTCATGCTTTGAAATAAAACTTCCATATACCTTTATCAAGACGAAAAATAAGTATAATAGTCATATATTGTTTGAGTTATGAGCGTTTAAAGACGAAAAATAATTCAAAATGTAACGTGTCAACATGGGATATTTGCCAGATGTTTTAAAAACGAACGCGCAAAAAATGTGAACGGAGTGTAGTTGATCTAAAATCTTCATCGAAACAGCTTTAAAATGATATATAACTTTAATTAGAATATTATCTTATAATCCGGGGAATCAAAGTTACATCCACGCGATACCCTTAAAAAACAAATGCGCCACCTTTTTGCGACACGTCTATACTAATTAATCGTCTAATTAGTGCCTTTCGACACCTCGTTCACTTTGGCAAATCTCACAAATCGTTTGTAGGATATAAAGGATTATTTTGATACAGGTCGCTAGGGTGCTCGCCAAAATGTAAGAACTCTCTCTTTCTAGAGTCTTATATTTTGAAAATATTCTAGACTTATTAGAGCATACTAATTAAATAGCGCCCCCGAAGACCCCTTAGAAAAAATGAAAAAGATCCTTAAAATACCCCAAAAAACATAAAAATACGGACAATACTACAATTATGATAAAATACACCTTATTATCTAGTAAAAATGACCAGTAATACTAAAGAATGGATTAGAATTCGATATAGTGGGAATAGGTTAATATTCACGAGGAAGAAGTGTACTATATAACTAGTTAAATAGCGCCCCTCGTCCATAAATCCAATGGCAAATTAACATGTGGAATATTTGGTATATATCACCCGCTCATCAGCAATCCCCGGGAATTTCTTTCGGTGCTTTAATCGGTGCGGTAATTACTACATTAGGGTTCCCCAACATTCAATGCATATCTAATTCTCATAATCTTTTAAGTATAGGATAAATCAATTATTGAATGCTCGATTTGTGATACAGGGTATATCCCTCGGTAAATACAATATATGATCAACCCTCGGTTCCTACGGACCCTCGGGTAGATATATAGTATTTCCCTCAGAAATACCCTGCATCAAAAACCACCCATTAAATATTACCTTTATGTATGAACGATCAATTTTTATGGAATGGACGGGTGGATTGTTGCGTTTGATGGGTCTCTTTTGTTTATGTAAAAATTGCCTCTAGTTGAGCAATGATGCAGTGTTCAAGGAGGGAAATAATCTGTAAGTGCATAAAAACCTGAAGCCAAAGGAAATAATAGTGCCTTACATCCTCTCCAAGCGATCAATTTCGTGGCACTGGGTTTGTTGACATTACTTTTATGATATGTGACATTACACGAGTTTGGTCCTAAGGCCAACATATTCCAATGGCGCAGAATCCCACTTGCCCCATCAAGTCCCATTGAATCCCACCATGCCCCATCGAGTCCCATGAGACCTTGTTTACTTTGCCCATGGAGTCTCATCGAGTCCCACCATACCCCATCGAGTCCCACAGAAATGTAATTTAGTTTAGAAGGCAGTGATCTTCCCAGCATTAAAGCAAGTGGGCACAGCACCCACCTGAGATTTTGAAAACAGCCTTGCACCCACCTGAAAATCATTTTGAATTCTATATTCGGATACAATTGTTTACGTTCTGACATCCTGTAATTATGCTGAGCTCGCATTAACTACCCGGGGTGTAACATTTTTTAAGAGGCTCCTAATAAGGGATTTCACCTGTAAAGTATATAACTCTTGCAAACATACACTACATTTATGTTCCTTGATTTTTTTAATTTGACAAAATTTGAATCACCAAAAAGCCAAAATGTTAAACTAAAACAAAGTTGTGGCTATTTTATTACACTGGACGAACTCAGAGCCGGGGATTATAACTTAATATTTTCCAGTTAAGTGTAAAGTCGGGGAATATCTGTACTTATTTCCTCGTCTCGTGTAGGACATTGACACATCAGATAGTGAGGAATATGACGATGATATAATAATGAACAATAGTTAAATCCAGGATACATAAAATGAATGATCATGCACATTGAACATGAATACAATATTTATTTAGACATAAATGAGTGTTCTACTGGGAATGGCGGATGTGATCAAATTTGTGTTAACACAGCCGGCTCATACTATTGCAAGTGTAACACTGGTTACAATCTACACACTGACAAAGTAACATGCATCGGTAAGGTCTCTTAATGTACACTTCCCTCTATAAGTTTGGTAACCGTAAGTCCCCTTTGGATCAGCATCGGACTGACAAAACATTCATATTGCGCAATCCAGATAACAGAGGTTGAACATTGTTATTTAGCTCCAAACTTATTATCTCATGTATATTTCCAGTGGAATGGCAGATTTATATGGACTGCTTTGTGCACTTCCCTCAATATCCTTTGGCAACTCTGACTTTATGTAGTATTAAAATATCCTATTAAAGCCGGTTTGTGTAGTCATTGTTTTTCCCAAATAGAAGATTCGTATTAGGAGAAAGTGTCATGTATAACAGTATAACACTAAGAGCACTAATGATAGTACAGCTAAGGTAGCATTTGATGAGACGTGTCGCAAAAAGGTGGCGCATTTGTTTTTTAGGGTATCGCGTGAATGTAACTTTGATTCCCTGGATTATAAGATAATATTCTAATTAAAGTTACTAGTATATATCATTTTAAAGCTGTTTCGATGAAGATTTTAGATCAACTACACTCCGTTCACATTTTTTGCGCGTTCGTTTTTAAAAAAGAGTTTTTTACCAAAAGATCTGGCAAATATCCCATGTTGACACGTTACATTTTGAATTATTTTTCGTCTTTAAACGCTCATAACTCAAACAATATATGACTATTATACTTATTTTTCGTCTTGATAAAGGTAGATGGAAGTTTTATTTCAAAGGATGAATTTTAGTAAGCGTCCCATATTGAGACGTCATAGAGTCTGAAAAATAGAATCTGTTGACAGCGACCTTTTTTGCTCATTTTTTGGTACCTTCAACTTTTCAGGTGTGAATTAAACAAAAAATACGAGATCAATTTTTAATAAATCATACATGATTATTTTGCTCCTAAACTCTAGTTTATTAATAAATAGTTGATTTTGTTCACAAAAGTATGTGTTTTCTGTTGTATGTGGAAAAGTGGAGGACGAAAGGTTTTCAAAATTCATTAAAATAGGGCTAATTTACGCCATTCGCCTATTTTCAAGCACAGCAACACGTATATTTATTTCACCTAAAATATCAATTGATTCGTGTTTTATGATGCTCCTAGCCCAGTAACAATATATATATGATATCAGAGTTATTCGTCTAAAATGTTTTGAGATATAGAGGTAAATGTGGAGGACGAAAGGATTTTCATGTGTGTACATTTTTCTCAAAAACGTCACATTCTATCATGTTAAAAGCGAGGATCATCTGGATTACGCCACAAAATGTGTAACAATGCGTGCGCGAGCTTTTTGCGACACGTCTGAATATTGAAAAATCTCGCGCACGCTGTAAAACATTTTTGATTTGATGACAAACAAATTAATAAATAAACAATCAAACTGAAGTTAGTTGTTATAGGGTGAAACGAAGTCCATTGTTGGTTTTAAAGACATCAAAGAGAGAGAGCTCGTGGTGTTCCGGAAGTTGAAGTTGAAGTGGCGCCACGCCAGATGATTTTGCTTGGGTCTCAATGGGTTCTCTATAGCCAAAGGAAAATACATCATTCTCATCGTTGCTGTTGATCAGCTGGCTCAAATTCACAATTCCATTCTGATCTGATTCACCTCCTACAATGAGAACCTTTCCTCAATCTACCTCATCAAATGACTAAAAATGTAAAGCAACAGTTAACGAATATGATTTAAGACTCTATGTTTAATGGTACAATACATGCCCGGGTGTACTCCCATATATTGGCTATATGCCCTGGGTCACTTTTCGCCGAAAAATCTGGGTCTACTTTTTGAAAAATCCTAAAACTGGGTACTGTTTTTGAAACAAAATCGGCGGACGTGGGTCTTGTTTTTTAAAAATTACCTCGAAGTGGGTCTATTTTTGAAAGAAAAACCCTAGATGTGGGTCCATTTTTAGAAAAAAAATCCCAATATGTGGGTAGATATTTTGAGTCTCAGCGGCACCCCCTGTACAAAAATTTGACCAGTACCCCCCCCCCCCCCGGGAATACATGTTAGGTACATTTACATGTACTTCATGCATCGATACCTATCGAATTAGTTTTACATTAGCTAGTGAATATTTTATATACACTGTACGATTAAAAGGGTTTCCTGTTGACTGTACTTCAAATATTGCACTCTATGTCCGCCCATTCATTTCAGAATATATCGCAGATGACAGAGCTTAATGAATTTTTCTCTGTTCTTTTGTGAATAGCAATTACTTTTAAAATATAGCACCAGTGTTTTATGTATACATTAACATAAACTATACAATTATTTCAAAACCAATTAATTCCATTTTCATAAGTTTCAAAACAATTTTGAATGATTTCCCAATTAAAAATAAAACTCCAAAAAATTATTCGATTCATAACAAAAGAACAAAAAGTAGCAAAAACTATTTTCAAGACTAATTTATGTATATATGATAAAGTTCTATAAACTAAACTGCAGGATGTTATTTTGCCGTATTTTGTAATATCGGTTTACATATATCGTTCTGTCCCCCTTTGCAACTTGTACATGTATGTAAATTATTGTGTTAACGTGACCCGAATCCTAGTGGTTGACTCACCCTGAGTTCTTTGAAAGCAGAAGGGTGGAGGTTTCTTTTACTCAATGAGTGGATGTCAGCCCAAGCCATGTAAACTATTATACGCGTTGCAAGCGGGTAAACATTCCTCAAAAAACCATCACGAAGCAATCAACGTATTAACCCATAATGCACACTCGGGATATTCGTAAATATAAATTTGCCGCTTCTAGGTTTTATCGATTATGGTTCTTATTTGCCTTCTTTATTCACTTAAAGATTTGTAAATGAACACACAGATCCGAAGTTGTTCAAATATATATAAGATCTAAACTTATAATCGAATTTGATACCATTGTAGTTTTTATGGCGAGAATATATCTATAGTTGATACTTGGGGTCTTAATTGATATTAGTGGCGAACAAGCCTAGATAAGATTAAGCGTCTGATAATAAAGTAACGTCATGGCGGCATACACGAACGTTCAGGAGGCCAAGAAAAATCCTTCTGCGGTGGTAAGTTTTTTGTCATATATAGTACTAGTACTAGTATAGTATTTATTTAGTTGTTTTAGTAATGTAAAATAAGTTCGGGGTATTTTTGCTCAATGTAATAAATTGTGCAATTAAGTATATCCTCGTGATTTTTGAGGAATAATTGTTTACCCATGGTTGGATATCGAAATGATGCTTTATTCAACAACCAGATTTAACATATCATCAGTTCGAAACAATTTCAAAAGCGCATAATGTTACGTTTATCTCTTTCATCCCTTCCGATGGCGATTCATTATTATCTATTTCTTATAATCCTGACATTAGCATTTGAAATCGTGTTGTATTTATTTCTCCGTATTTGTGTGTTTGAGGCATGTTCATACAAAACATGCATACCCTTACTTTTTAGCATTAGTTTCATATTTTTGCATTAAATAAATAAAGCAACATTTTTTGTATAGAACAGCAAAAAGTCAATGTGTCCGATGATTATTTGATATCAACATTCTTTGATGAGGCAGATGAAAATACTCTAAATGTACTAATTGCAATCTGATCGAGTAAAAGAACTTCCTTCGTTCCAAGGTTAAATGTAAAATATGCATACCCTTAAATTCAATTCATATTTCACCATTCCTACCAACCACATTCTTCAAAAAATTGAAACAAATGTATTTAGGCTACATATTTGTCACATGGAATTCTAAATTAACAGTTTATATAGGTCATATCGGCCATTAGATAACAGTATGCATTAGGATTAGATTAACGAAAATCCATCTATGCTTCATATGGGCGGTGCCCTCTAACGCAATAGACGCAAAAACACGTTCTACTGTACATATTGTTATTCTACATAGTTTGCCTTTTTGAGTTTTAATAATCCAAAGACCGTATTAAGAATATAAAACAACCTTTAGAATTGTGTCATGCATAAGGTAAATCATTCTAGTCTGTGTAAACACATTCTTTGAAATGAATTCCAGTCCATTATTAAATTTCTAAGTAATACACTATTTCTCTTTTATTGAAATTTGCCGCGCCTTCTTATTACACAGAAAGGATATTTTACAACTTCCTTCTTTCATGTCTTTAGCAAACATGAAAGGTTAACATTGTCTACAATACAAAGAAGTGTTTTTTTTATATTTGTGAGAGAGACTTAATTCGCCCTTACGAATTGCAAATAAATGTCTCCTTTATGGTAAATCTCCGGTCAACCCAGATCTCTTTCGTCAAACATTTTTAAAATTTTACAATTGTTCTTTGAAGAAATGTATTTATGGAATTAGAATAAACATGAAAAACGTGGCCATCAGGTGTGTTGTTATAGCCATGAAACAAACAAATATCAAGGAGGGGCATATCCAGTCATGATTAAACATAACCGATCGCGAAAATCAGTAATTGCATGAATTAACGAATGATTGTCGAGCAGGGATGTATTTGAAGGACATGTCCATGATTAAACATAAATGATTGAACGAATGATTGTCGAGCAGGGATGTATTTGAAGGACATGTCCATGATTAAACATAAATGATTGAACGAATGATTGTCGAGCGGGATGTATTTGAAGGCCATGTCCATGATTAAACATAAATAATTGAACGAATGATTGCCGAACAAAAATAAAACAACAAATGAAGATATATAATAGGTTTATCTCAATTTTAATGAGATGATATTTTGAAATGTTTATGTTCAAAGTCTGCTTTGGAAAAATAAACAAAACGTTTTTGATTCAACATCATTTTTCATAACCCAATACCCAGATATTTATCCGCCAGACATTTTTATAAATACTATGCATGGTAAAAGAGTTTCTTGATAAGTATCTTTGAATAACTTTCTATACTGTTTTTTCGAACAATCTTTTTTCATACTTTCAAACATAGGCCAAGGGAAAAGTAATAGTAAGCTGTATAGAAGAGACAGGTCCACAAGTAAGATTGAAAATTTTTCAAATTTTTTTAGTCTTGGCACTAGTTCTCCTTACTGGTATCAAATTGTATTCCCAAATCTCTCCAAAATCTTCTTCAAAGTGTTTTTCAAACTTATATCATTGTTTTTTTCAAATCTTTATCTAGAGACTACATCACGGGGTACCATCGAATAATTTTGGCAACGTACCGGAGAACGACATTTTACTAAGAAATGGCAATAATTTAGCACAATATATTTTTTAACTAGAGTTCTACTTTGATTTTGACAAAAGTAAGTATTCCATGCAATGGCTATTTCATTCATGAGTTTGTAGGAATTCTGTTGGAACCCACTTCTGATCAAGTACGAAGTTATTGAAATCGGCGCAGTCGGACTTTACTCCGAAAGATGTTTTTTTGATAATAACTTTTTACAACATTTAAATATAGACTTTTGAAAAAAGTACAGAATAGTCCTTATACTATTGAATAATTCTGTTACTTCTGATTCACACGACTCTGATTTGTTTAATTAAAAAAAAGTTTTAAAAATATTACTTAGGAACGTAACCGGAGCTGGGAACGTAACCGGAGCAGATCAGTTGAATTATATAATTCAAAAAAATAAAATATATGATTTATACGCATTCGAACAATCCCGTATGTTTTTAAATTAGTATGTGCTTTAAATCATATATTTTAATTTTTTTGATTGAATAATTCAACTGATCTGCTCCGGTTACGTTCCCAGCTCCGGTTACGTTCCTAAGTAATATTTTTAAGACTTTTTTTAATTAAACAAATCAGAGTCGTGTGAATCAAAAATAACAGAATTATTCAAAAGTATAAGGACTATTCTGTACTTTTTTCAAAAGTCTATACTTAAATGTTGTGAAAAGTTATAATCGAAAAACCATCTTTCGGAGTAAAGTCCGTCTGCGCCGATTTCAATAACTTCGTACTTGATCAGAACTGGGTTCCAACAGAATTCCTACAAACTCATGAATGAAATAGTTATTGCATGGAATACTTACTTTTGTCAAAATCAAAATAGAACTCTAGTTAAAAAATATATTGTGCTAAATTATTGCCATTTCTAAGTAAAATGTCGTTCTCCGGTACGTTGCCAAAATTATTCGATGGTACCCCGTGTACATATAATACTGCATATAAAACAACAACTATGTATATCTGCAATTGCCTGGCAAGCTGAAACTGATTGTCACTGGTGGAGGTCAGCAGTGACCAATCAGATCACTTGTTTACCAATGAACTTGCCAAGCAATTGCAGGTTTTCAGAAATTCTCTCTTTTAGACAGCATTATTCACTCTATATCATCTGACTGAGTTTCAATCTTAGGTAAGAGCTACAAACTATCAATTTTCTATCAACTCCCCATGGCTTTTTGAAAATAATACACTAAATATTGTTGAAATCTCCATTTTAAAAAGTGGTCTAAGTCAGAGTTGTTCACCTGTCTCTTCTATATACGGCTTACTATTACTTTACCCTTGGCCTATGCTTTCAAACAAAAATACATAAATACCTTTGTAATTCTTGAAGTTATTAGCCCGAGGTTATTAGTTAAGAAAATGTACTAATTTGTGAAGTATCAATTATTCCAAATACAAAGTTATATAAATATATAGGGTGTTTCATATGTATGCACCCCTCTAAACTCATATCATGCTATATACCATTCTGTCTATTGTGGAAAGTTACATAAGATCGCAAAATTTCGGAATCAAAGGGTGTCCCTGAAAAAAGATACAATATATCAAAGTATGTGGGAACGGGTTAATGAGAGAGCAATTTCTAGTCATTTTGAGACAGTTTAGAGTACAAAATTAGTTTCGTATTGCACATTTCTAGCAGTTGTCATCGTGGCAGAGTTCAGTTCACACGTCTGCGACAGTTATGCACATATTGCCAGGATTCATACAGTAGTCGATGTGTCATTTTCTGAACCTTTAAATTTGTAAAAACACGATGTTTTATAGTGGAATCACTATCATAAGGGTATTATGAAGTGATTTAGCTTGGTTGGACAAATGGCAACCTTGGGGAAAATTATATATGCAAATAAAGGTGTCCATTATCTAAAAGCAATTTTTTGAAAGCCTTTGACTCAATTGACCATACTATTTTGTAACAATAAACTTACAAACTATGAAATCAACTGTGGAATAGTGGTAACATGGTTTAATAGCTAAGACAGCAAGAACACCAACACAGTGTCTCATTCAACCAAACTTCATTATTAACTCATGGTGTGATTCAGGGATCTGTTTCATGTTATATTATTTTTCTATACATTAAACACCTGCATAAATCAAGTAATTTATTGATTTATTTGTCACTATTGGTGATCTAATTTCATCATAAAAACGTCGATATTTCTAAAATGCAGTTCTATCATCACTACGCCTCTAAGAGTATGCATTCAGGTGATGGTTGGGTCACATATGCTTCGATTCATCGGCCGGAGCCCGGACGATTGAGTATTTTGTTCAATAATGTATTAGATTTTGAAAAAAATTCTCAATCGCCGGGCGGCGTAGTGAAAATCGGAGCAAATGTGACCAAGGCATTAAGAGGCGCAATGCGATTGATCTAAGACGCCTGCTGATGAAGCAACGACACATCTTACAATTCGGAATGCATACACCCATTACACTTTATTCTACCACCCCATGACCACTCGACATACCTAATTTCTCATTCTACTTCCAGTGGACGCGGTTTAATAATCCAACCTTCAACCCACAGTTTGGTTACAAAACCTACAAGACGAATCTCCCAGGTGGACCCTATAAATTCAACCAGGACGCGTACGAATACCTCATGAGGTATAATGACTCTAAACATGGTCAGACCCACTTGCACCCAGATAATCTTTATACGCAACCCCAGCCTGTCCATGAAACAACTGTTAACGATGTTCAAAAGCAGGAAATCAGCAGAGTTGAGTCAGGTAAACGTCATCTTCATACCAACCCCTTGAAGCAAGATTTTACCTAGGAAGATGATCCAATTAGAATTCATGATATCACAAGATTAAGTTCTGACCTTTTGAATTAAAAAGCATTGCTTGAACCTTGATTAACCCGAACGATTTATTAACCTTGATTAACCTAAAATGAATCAATTCTTGAAAAAATCTCTAGTGCTCAGATAGTTAGTAATATTCGGCAATATTATCATAAAAATGGTAATGATTCGACTCATTGTTAATCAGGGATCGCATTCTCTATTCTTACATGTGTTTGAAATATTAAAGGTGGTGCATATACGAGACCACAAGCACAGCCACAACAAACATATACACAACAGAAAGCACCAGCGAAAGATAAGGACAAGAGAACCAAGAGAAGATACAGGTGTATTATCCTACTAGTGGTGCTGCTTCTCCTGTTGCTTATAGGAGCCGTGGTCGCTATAGCGATCCTAGGTGAGTCAGTAACGTCCTTGTAACTCCTTAATAAGAGATTTTCTTATCAAATGTTAGGTTTATTTACATTAAAGTGGTTAACATGAGTAAGCTTCTACATTTAACATTGACCATTATTACATTTTAATTCAGTAAAGCTGTCCACTTCTATCCTTGCTACAGTACATGAACTAGAGAAACGCATGCGCAAATTGCAATTACAAAATAAGATAAATATATAAAAGATGTCACTTACATTAAAATTCATTTATTACGTCATGAATACACATTTCTCCCATCCCATCGATATGAAGGACCGCAAAAACTAGATGTTAATATAGAAATTGTTTCACTGACAACAATAAAAGTAATCAGAAGGGATGGGTTTGTGTAAATTAAGCACATTCTTATGTCTTTTATTTTCTAAAAGAAAGTGTTGAGACACAACGTTTGTGTAATATTATTGAACTTCTCATTCTGTTATTAGCAAACAATGCAACAGCTGCTACAGCTTCAACAACAACTGCTGCCCCTCAAGCTCAGAGCCAGAGTAAGTGAACGTTATTAAGTGCATTGAATTCATAAAGGATGTTCGTTAGCGACCCAATGTTCTGGATGTCTCATATATAAACCAGTCATATGTGTTCAAGACGCTAAATATAAGTCTTTGGTTACTGTACTCAGATTTAAAAGATGTTAAGTTGGCAGTTGTACAATTATTGCTTTCTCGCTGCCAATGCTTGAATTTTCCTACTAGATTGCTTCCAAAGATGACCTTCAAATGGATTTTGTCATCCAAGACATTGACTTAAATAAAGTGAATCCCTTGCATTCTACCTCGATGAAAGAATTTTGTGCAAATCTAGTATTTCAAATGAGATACTAGTACATGCATACATGTAAGAATGCAAATCATATTACGTTGTACGCACTTAAATAATGCATGTTCCATGTTTAGGCTACCAAGCAGAAATAAGCTACGATGCATTGACGTTTGTCCCAGAGTATGCTGACAAAACGTCACCGGAATATAAGAAATTAGCAGATGAGACGTGTGCAGCGGTAAGACATAATAAACATAGACCTTCGTCATTTTCATACAATTTACAATCCTCATTAAAAGTTTTGTAACCTGAAGTTCAGTTTTGGGCCTCGTATTGAAACTGTTTATGTTCTAATTTCCGACATATTGTAACTGAACGGCAGAATAAGACTCAAAGATAAACACACTTAAACAATCTATAGCAGCTATCCAACGGAAACTCTCGGTCGGCAAACTTGTTAAAAGGCATGTTAAAATTATGATATAGGCATTCATTATGTTAATTAATAGATGCATTCTTGTTAATTCGTTACTGAAATGACATCTTGACCTTAAGTTATCCATAGAATATTTATATTGATTTTACATGTACATGTGCCGGTGAGAGAGGACATATAGTATTTATAAAGAAAATAATAAGCCTATTCGATTGGATGGAGGAAAATGTTTTACTAACTGTTTGTATTTGCTTCAATTTGCAGATTGATAAAATATACAAAACGACTGCCTTAGACGATAACTATCAATCCTGTAAAGTCACAGACATGAAGTAAGTTCTTGAAATTAGAAGATGCAAACAACCCACCCACATGTTTTTTTCTGAAATGATTCCTCTTAGATAAAGTCTAAAACAATATTTCCTATGTTATTTTCCCATAGGGAAAACTCATGCAATCCATTGCTTTCAGCTAATTTTGGTCAACCACGATGGATATCTTTAAAACTTCCGAAGGAATCACTTATTCCTTCAAGGGGGTTAACGGTGTGTCAAAACACAACATATTGATGCAAGAAAAATGTAAAAGCAGGGGTGGAAGGGGTTGAAAATCGGGAAAACATTTCAGAAAAACATGTGGGTGGGTTGTTTGCATCTTCCCTGTCTCAAAGTCGAAATTATTTCATCATCTCTATGAGTGCTTTTCCTGGAGATCCTCAGAAAATAGTCAAAATCCAACATATGACTGTCCGAAATCTGTTGCGATACTTTCCCTCCTCCTTTTCTGAAGAAGCTTTAAATTGAATTGGACCTATCAACTTTAATATTCCATTGACTGTTTTCAAATGACATAGAGGTCATCTAATATTCCCCTCCCCGCCTTTCATGCTCGGGTTTTGGAAAGGGGGTTTTCCAACATACACTCCCCTCCATAAGTTTGGCAACCTTTTTTCCCCCATTGAACTACGTGTTAAAGCCTCTTTACCTTTGAATTTTTATTTACTTAACCTGCGATGAAAATACTTATTCTATTGATGGAAACGTAATTTGACTTTAATTCCAATACCTCCAAATTTTCCTAATTTTTTTCTCAATTACTGTAGGTCGAAAATTGATGATGAATTTGATGAGTTTTTGAAAATCGACATTCCCATGTTAATCAATGGGAAATGGTAGGTTTGCCGCAAGTCGTATGACAGAATATCCATCCATCCGACTCCTTGCAAAAAATACGAGTTAGGCAGGCAATTGAATTTGCTAACTTTATTTAAAAAAAAAATTGATATGTGTCTTCAGGTTCAACAAAGTTATAGGGCTTTAAAGTCAAAATTGTTTTTCAAAGAACCTCTCCCATTGAAATAACACAGGAGGCGAAAAATTATTTTCAAACATGAGTTTGAAGCGCTGTTACTTTAATATTCATCAAATAAACTAAACACTTAGTGTTAAAAAAAGTTAGACAATTAAATCTTCTATATAAAAATATTTTTTGCTGAATCTTTTACTGAAAAGATATCCCGATTTCTGATTTGCCCCGAACCCTCCATTTTCCATTGGATTACATGGGAATGACGATTTTCAAAAATTCATCAAATTTATCATCAATTGTCGACCTATTGTAATTGAGGAAAAAAATTGAGAAAATCTGGAGGTATTTGAAATAAAGTCAAGTTACGTTTCCATCAATATTATAAGTTATTTCATGGCCGGTTAAGTAAATAAAAATTCAAACGTAAAGAGGCTTTTACACGTAGTTCAATGGGGAAAAAAGGTTGCCAAACTTATGGAGGGGAGTGTACATTTGTAAGGGAATAAGAAAATGAAATGTGCTACCATTTAAACTACCAATGAAGATGACGTTGATACACAAGATTATAATCGCTTTGTTCTTGCAGTCCAACATCAGATATATAGTACATGGATTAAATGTTTTGTCTTGCAGGAATGGGAGTGTCATTGTCATTGTGGTTCTTGTCTTCAAGACCGACTCGCAATCTGAAGTCGAAGTATCAAATACATACGGACCACTCCTTGTTGCTGCCATTGTCCAAGCCGTAGATGGTCCTTTCAAAAACTACAGCGCAAATGAATCAGTGAAAACACAACAAATAACAACAACTACAACTGTCGCCACAACAACTACAACTGTCGCCATTACAACTCAATCTGGCTCGATGACATCTCAATCTGATTCATCAGATTCGTCTGTGACAACAGATTCGTCCCTAACAACAGAATCATCTGTAACAACAGTTTCATCCGACTCGACCGATTCGCCTGTGACACAAGGTTCTCCCGCCTCAACAGATTCGTCCGCAACAACAGAATCATCTGTAACACAAGGTTCTTCCAATTCAACAGATTCGTCTGTAACAACAGAATCATCTGTATCAACAGGATCTTCCAACTCAACAGATTCGTCCGTAACAACAGAATCATCTGTAACATCAGGTTCTTCCGATTCAACAGATTCGTCCGTAACAACAGAATCATCTGTAACACAAGGTTCTTCCAATTCAACAGATTCGTCAGTAACAACAGAATCATCTGTATCAACAGGATCTTCCAACTCAACAGATTCGTCCGTAACAACAGAATCATCTGTAACATCAGGTTCTTCCGATTCAACAGATTCGTCTGTAACAACAGAATCATCTGTAACACCAGGTTCTTCCAATTCAACAGATTCGTCAGGAACAACAGAATCATCTGTATCAACAGGATCTTCCAACTCAACAGATTCGTCTGTAACAACAGAATCATCTGTAACAACAGGTTCTTCCGGTTCAACAGATTCGTCAGTAGCAACAGAATCATCTGTAACAACAGGTTCTTCCGACTCAACAGATTCGTCCGTAACAACAGAATCATCTGTAACAACAGGTTCTTCTGACTCAACAAATTCGTCCGTAACAACAGAATCATCTGTAACAACAGGTTCTTCTGACTCAACAGATTCGTCCGTAACAACAGAACCATCTGTAACAACAGATTCTGATGACTCAACAGATTCGTCAGTAGCAACAGGATCATCTGTAACAACAGAATCATCTGTAACAACAGATTCCGATGACTCAACAGATTCGTCCGTGACAACAGGTTCTTCCGACTCAACAGATTCGTCCGTAACAACAGAAACTGTAACAACAGATTCCGATGACTCAACAACAACAACAACGCCTAGCCCCCCGTAGAATATTATCGAGTATCCATTTTTGGCTAATAAGATACAGCCATATAAATGAACTTATTCGTTTGTGTGCGTATAACCATAGACTGTTCAACAATATTCGGAGAAATGGAGTTGAGGCTTGGGTATTGTTCAGCAAAAATACATACCACAACATATCTAGAGCGTTTGGAAGAATAGCCCCATTACTTTTCACATAAGGGGCCTCTTCGGGGCCTCTTCCTATTAATAATGGATGACCATACACTAAGTGCAGTTCGATCTTTCGAAAAGTTAAAAGTAAGACACTGGCTCTATTATATCCCAATTCGACTGGCTAAAACATAACTATGTTGGAAATAATGTTAGTGCTGTGAAATGTAAAATATAGTTACAAAGCTTAGAAGAAGTGCGTTTGTTAGTTAAGTATTTGATACATTGAATATTGCAATTTCACTCTGAAATGAATACCTGTGACACTTTCACAAGTGATATTCCACGAAGCCCGGAGCTGATCGAGGGCTAGTGGAATATCATCTTGTGAAAGTGTCACGGATATTCCCCGAATATTTGTTTTATTATATCACTGTCTGTTGATTCCATGGCATTCGACATCGCGTGGGATATCGCTAGATCTGATTAGCATGGTCATTGAATACCGTCAGATATTCCATAACATGTGACCCGGTTTTGACCAATCATACAATTGCTAGATAGATAGTGATATAATAATATTAAGTATTATAATGAAGTTACACTGGGTATAGTAATTAACTGAAGGAAGAATCACATCAACAGGGGTGACAAAATTGCAACTGGCAACATGAACGATTGATCTTTCAATACATTCCTTACTATATCAAATATAATATCTCCCCAAAGATTTACAAAATTGGTGAAGTTATTTAAGATTCAAAGTGCAAAAATGGGGGACAAATGTTTAAATTCTTCCAAAATATAATAAATGTGGTAACCATCTGCCGATGGAAGAACACCAACCGCCCAACACCGTCCATAAAACAGTGGATATTATAACTATTGAATCAAAGATAGATGATAGTATTTTCTAGTAAGGCATCATAGCGTCGATATTGCGTGACATTTTCTTAAATTAAACATTAAACGTGACATTTATTCAATTAAATACAAGATTCTCTCTGCAGAGTAGCCATTGATATAATTATATAGTTTATGCTTCAATATTATTTTTTATCGTCTTCGGTGTGTGGTCATGTAATAAAGCAGACAATTGTATAAAAAAAGGTGACCTTATCGGAGTTGTTTCACAGAAAGTTCGGACGACGATACTCAAGGAAAACGGTTGCACATGTAGTTTCTATAGACACATACACATCTATCGACAGAAGAATGAAAAAGCCAAATTCTCGTTTAAAAGCCAAATTTAATCTCATTTATTAACATTCGCAAAAAGGCGAAAAATCAGTAAAGTTGTAACCTTTTGAAGGTCATATTTTCGAAACGGATGCGTGGCTATTTTAGAGTAGGTCTGTGCCGTTTGTTTAATTTAACTCCAAATCAATTTCCACCGTTTAAAAAAGTTAACACGTGAACTACTGTAGCATAAAATTGTTAAACAGTTGAGATCATTCGGTTGTAGATATAACGAACCGTATAAAATACGCGCTGTTCGTGAAGGGCTAAAATATTCGCCGTTCCAACTTGCTGTGAATTTGTGAAACATAATCTCCATTTCCGTAGGATAAGGTCATCACTTTTTATAATATGGTTTGTTTTATTCTGTAGTAATGTGGATATAACCACTTAACAAATATTTTATTGACTGATGATAACATTGATAATTTAGAAAATGATATAAATGAGAAATTGAAGGTTTATGATTGGATGATATCTAATAGATTAACACTCAATGTAGAAAAAACAAAATTTATGATTTTTGACATAAAAAGAATCAACAAAATTGACAACTTTGAAATATTGTATGATGTAATTTTGAATGAATAAATTGAATTGACTTAAGGCAGAATCAGATCTATAGGGGGTGACAAAATTACAAGCAACTTGTATAATTGACCTAGCTACCAATCTATTCCTTAATCTATTCCTTACAATATCAAAAACAATATCTCCCAAAAGATTCACAATATGTTATAAATTGTTGAAGTTATTAATGATTCAAGGTCAAAAATTGGGTGAAAATGTTTAAATTCTCCCAAATAATAAGAATGGTAACCATTCTTATAGAAAAATAATACATTATTGTAAAAATCTTTGCCTTGAATATTTGTGATTTTTAGAAAATAGACATGACATGGATTGACATGAGCCAAAAATATTCTAAAATTGACACAATTTTTTGTTTATCCTGCTCACTATATCTGATTCTCTCTTTAATCTGGAATGATCTGCAACCCACCGTGTCGAGGAACAGTAGGTCGAGTTAAGAACTACATGTACATGTAGTTAGGATATGTTTGGACGTACATATTGGGCGGGGTATTGGGAACAGGTAGAACTCAAAAAGATTGGACTTTAACTGACTACTTACAGTTTAAATTGCTTGGAAAGATTGTCCGCATAACTGCAAAAGAAATTTGTGTACTTGATACTTGAGTAACTATAGATGGATAAATTAAAAGTCAGACGAGATGAACGCATTTTTCGTGCACTTTCGCTTTCATTTCAGCAAGTACAGAAACGAGATCTTTATCGCTATAATATCAACCAGATGTGCTACATTATTGTTATAAACTTCTCTTTAATGATTAATCAGGTACTTGAATTAAGAGAGAAATTGGCAAAATTGACCTTGCTTTGCAGCTTTAATTTCTAAAAGGACTTGCTTGAAGCTTTGGTCACTCCATTCTTGAATACCTTCACTTTACTTAATGATAAAACACAATGATGACATTTAATAAACTATATTTTTCCTTTATTTTTGTATTTTAATACTGTGCGTACAATTGTGCAAATGCATATATACAATCCAATATGGCAGTATATGCATCACTAACTAGGGACAATGCATCACTACCCAGGAACAATGCATCACTACCTAGGGCACAATGCATCACTACCCAGAGACAATGCATCACTACCTAGGGCACAATGCGTGTCTACCACCATCAACAGGGAGCTGAGCTCCAGTTATAAAGGAAGAACTGTCCGATGCGAGGAAAGCAATTGCCTCTGCAACTTCAATAGCTTCCCCTGGTCGACCTAGTGCATGGGTCTCTTTACATCTCGCCAAAAACTGAAATTAATCAGAAGAAGTCTTTGTAAATTAAGACAATCCATCGAGATAGCCACGCCCCCTTTGTCTTTATCCTTCCAAAGTGACGCAGACGGCAGATAAGAGGGCTTTGGCATACCAGAATGAAGGCAATCAATCCATGTAGATTCCATGTCGAATGGCTTTGTACTTGAACGTGATTTTGATATTTCTTTAAAATATTTAATGATGCTTGTATATCCTGTACATGGGCAATTGGGCATGTATTTCAATTATTAAATAATACATATGTACACATATTCTTTAGCTGTGTTACCTTTTCATAATTTTCCTCTGACATTCCCCCTCTCTTCTGAAGTTCTGTTATGGTAACCCCAGGACTGAAAACAGAAACAAATAAATTCACTTGACTCACAGAAGAAACTTTCAGAATCAGGACAAAATAGGCAGGTTAAACATGAGAAATGCATGGGTAATATGAGCAAGCTAAATCTTAGGTGCCTTCTTTTCCTAGTTCTATTGCTCAAACCAAGAGCAAAATATTGTGAGTGGCTAAATGGCCTAATTGGTGTATCAAGATGTTTCACCCCCTGGAAGTTTCACCCCTTAAACAGTTCACCCCCTGGACATTTCACCCCCTAGACAGTTAATGCCGTTTATACTTAGGATATTCAGTTCTTACAGAGAAATACTTGAATGGAAAATGTAGGAGTAAAATATTGAAGCTAATTAATGTGTAGGGGGTGAAATGTCTAAGGGGTGAAACGCCTAAGGGGTGAAACGTCTAGAAAGCAATGTACATGTAATTACATTAAAATGGAAGTTTCACTTACTTTACACTGTTTACTCTAACTTTCTTAGGAGCTAACTCTGAAATATGATAACAATATGTAAAGTATACTACATTAAAACTACACATATCTTTTTGAGTATGCTCTTAATTCTTTTCGAGTATGTTCATGAAGTTTGTAATTAGACCTAAAAAGGGTCTAAGTACACGTATGTCTAGTCCGTTGGTACACAGTTTGTTTAGGCTCATTTTTGAGAACGTAGTGAGAACTAGTTTGGAATGATAGTACAGTAGGGTTATCCAAGTTCAAAATACAGTTAAACCTGTCTAATCAGTACATCACTGAGAACATCTAAAAGTATTTTGATCAGGAGGTCCTCAATTGTTTTAAATGGGAATTACTAAGAGAATAAAGAAATGGAAATGAAGAATGTATTCAGATTAGAGAGTTGTCTACATGTAGATACTTTACATGTAAATGTATACAGATTTTGAGTACATCTGTTTGCAATTACTAACCTAAAGCTGTGCATCGTGTGAGTTGATCTACTGCACTCTTAGATACATTATAAGCAAGGACACCAGCGAACTAAAGAAAATAGACAAGTGGGATCACATGGTGAAAAAGCTGTTTTTCCAAAACAAGACAAAATTAAGTTAAATGGATATGAAAATAATTATGTGACATAATAAAACAATTTATTCCATAGTAAGCATGATATTCATAGGATAACATGTGAAAATAAAAACGGTATTTTTGTAATCAGTGGTAAAATATGATATTTTTGACAAATTTTCACTTAACCATAACATACGGTTTTTTAGCCATGACATACGACGTCGTATGCGATGGTTTATGGATTTTTGCTACTTCAGACTCAAAACGAGGCTTAGTGTCAACATCGCCGGATCGTTTGGAAATTCGAATTAAATAACTTAATTTCCGACGATTCTGATGATGACTTTAACTATGGTATAAAAAGAACATCCTATGATTTACTCGTGATATGATTTTAATCCACTCATGGATATTGATATATACACTCTCTCGCTACGCTCGCTCGTGCAGATATCATATCCATTCGTGGATAAAAATCATATCACTCATAAATCATAGGATATTCTCTATTTATCCCATGGTTGCAAGGATATAGATCGAATATCACACGAAGATATATTTGATATGTGGATCAAGATATCATATCTTAGCAAAAATTTCACAAACCATCGAATATCACTTTTGAACTATCGAATATCACGTCACGTTCGATGGTTTGAAAAGTGATATTCGATGGTTTCGAATTTTTTCAAAAAAAATTCTTTTTACATTTTTTAATTGTTTTCAAAAATATTTAAAAAATATTTCAAAAAAGTTTTCAACATTTTTTCAATCATTTTTTCAATTTTTTCTCAAATTATATTTTTCAACTTTTTTCGCTGATGATGATTTCCCATGGGATAAACGGACAATCCTATGGTTTTTCAAAAATATCAATTATATCCACTCATGGATACAAATATCTTCACTCATTCGCTGCGCTCACTCATGAAGATATCAATATCCACTCATGGATATAAATGATATTTTTTCAAAACGATAGGATATTCCTATAATATTTCACTATTTGTGATACTTTAATATGAGTTCCATAGTGAATATAATCAAAATCAGAAATCAAAAATAATTTTTGAAAGTTGACAATTTTTTAAATTAAGTTTAAGATGCACTGTACATGTACAAATACATGTAACATTTGACCTTGTTTGTTTGTTTGTTTGTTTTATTTATATCCTAAATTCCAAATAATACAAATACAATCACAACAGTGGAAGACACCCCAAGGGGCATATGATCCACACTTTGATTGTGAAGATTTTGATAAAGGTATCACTCATTGAATATTCAACATGAAAGTAAAACACTTTGGGGGTTCTGAAGTAAACCTTTAGTGAGGATTTACAGGGCTCACACCAGGAAATATTTGGGGTGTAGTGCAAACATCTTCAGCATAACTGTTCAATAATGATAATCATATTTATTTATTTTATCCTTTATACATGCTTTTATTGTATATTCAGTCAAAGTTAGCTTTTGGAAGCAATCAGAATTTACAATTGGATTATGGTGGGAGCTGAATAGACTGTGGTTCTATGCCAAAGTCAAAAGGCCTGGTGAGAGCTCTGTTTTTCAAACACTGAGAACGTCCTACATTGTACCACAAAATTATAAATTGTTTACAATGACTTACTGAGCGCAGTCCATTGACACTGGATACATTTACAATGTTGCCCTTTGTCCTCTCTAGATAAGGCACAGCTAACATTGTAAGTTGATAAATTGACCTGAAACAATTGCTTTATAAAGTAAAGGATGCTCAGATTATTTCAGACAATTGTATGAAGTTAAGAAAAAATAAACATTTGAGACTTGTCTAAAAAGTTAAATTAAGTCTCTGGATGGGTACCAATCAATATCTTTGTAGGGAACTGTATAAATATACTACAGTGTATGTACTTCATTAGTGCATTATATTTCACAAATTGGAAAGTGTGCACATGTACGAGGGGTGATCCAAAAGTCTTGGACGCCCCACTCTAACTTTTCTATTTTCTAATATAATTACATGAAACTTTCAGATAATAAAGATCAACATCTTAACAACTTTGTGTGTACGTTTCAAGAGGAAATAATATATTTTAGCTACTTTTCTAAATATTTTTTAATACCAAGTCCATGCCACCCGGAACGGTATTTGAATATAGCAAATCACGACACAACTGTTATAATATGGCAAATACTTTAGGTGCAGGTGCACAACCTAACACCAGTCATGATATAAGAGAATTTCCGATTTTCAATCTGAGTGTCATCTGCCATCATCTTCACATATCAAGACCTACTTTTCAACATATTTTCTACGAATTTGAACACATTTTCATACCGCTTTACCAATGAATGGAACACATTTATGAAACCGGCATTGCTTATGTGATACAAATGCTGCTGGAGTGCCACTCTAAACTTCATCCAATGAGTAAAAAACATTTTCTTTCAACCCTCCTTTTAACTTGGAGAAAAGGAAGAAAATCACACGGAGCCATATCTAGACTTTATCGTGTATATGGTAGCTGCTAAAGGTCAATAATAGTGAAAATATATAATAGTGTTCTTTGTTCCACTTTGATTTCCTTCATGTCAGATGCATTTCAGCAGCCATCTTGGAACAAAAATGATACCAGAATGAGGGTTGCTTGTCTGATGTCATTTTCTTGGAATTTGACATGGCCACTTGTCATATGTGGCATTATGATTAAAACACATTAATTAATTGGTTGCCTGGTAACAAAGGAACTAAACTAACATGGTTTAACATTCAAAATTCAAAGAAAGATAGTGGTCAAGACTTGCGAAACAAGTCAAATGGCGGCAACATTTAAAGCTGAAACTTGCCATGTGTGAATACCGTTCCGGGTGGCAGGGTCCCTATATTAAAAACTATCTAGAAAACTACATAAAATATATAATTTCTCCATGAAATTACTACACAAAGTAGTTAGGTTGTTGGTCTTTATTATTGGAAAGTTTAAAGTAATTTTATCAAAAATGGACAAAATTAGAGCAGGGCGTCCAAGACTTTTGGATCACCCCTCGTATGTACAGTACTCACCTAACATTTACATTCATGACTCGGTCATACTGCTCCAGTGATGTGTTCTCAATGCTGCCTGTCTCTATCACTCCTGCATTGTTCACCTGCATTGTTTATGTGAAATGTATTTAAATGGATGGAAAATCAACAGTTGTGGAAAAATAATTTTAATTTGGTTTAAGCTGCCTCGATACCAAAGATCAGAAACTTGCCCCTCCCCAAAACTCTATTAAAGGCAAGAATGACCTAAGCACCCTTGGTATACGCAGCTGACGAAATGGACTGGTACGGGTCAAAAGCTGGACCGGTTCGGGTTAACGGTTTTATTTGAATTTAAAACAGCCATAACTTGCTCAATATTGACTTCTTTGTGTCTAATTTGGAATATATGATCCCTCCGAATGATTTTAAGTACCCCAAATTTTTACAGATTTTTAAACGGAACAAAAATCTCTAAATGCTATTTTTGGTCTTCTCTCGAGAATTTGTTCCGTTTAAAAATCTGTAAAAATTTAGGGAACTTAAAATAATTCAGAGACATCATATCCCTTATACAAATTTACTGGCTGTCACAGCCCACTGTCACAGCGCTCTCACAGCCCGCTGTCACAGCGCTCTCGCAGCATGCTGTCACAGCGCTCTCACAGCGCTCTCGCAGCCCGCTGTCACAGCGCTCTCACAGCCCGCTGTCACAGCGCTGCGACAGCGCTCTCACAGCACTGTGACAGCGCTCTCAAAGCGCTGTGACAGCCCATCGGAATGTACCATGCAAATGAGGCTGCGACAGCGCTGTCACAGCATTGCCATATATGGCATTGATTATGTATCCTCCATACACATAAATCTTAATTACCTATAGCCTATAAATTTAAATATCTTTAAAACGTTTCAAATTATAAATTTCAAATTCAGCATGGAAAAAGTAGATTCTAGGCTTGTAATACTAGTAATAGGTAATCAAAATTAAAAAATAACTGTTACATCTTACCAGTCACACTGTTAAACCTGGCCAGTCACTATTTTTGCTGCATACATACCAATATTAATATGAATCCCATTAACGAAATTAATAACTCTATTTGACTAGTTGACTAAACTTTAATAAGAAACGATTTTAAAAATATGGGTTGAGATTGGAGTGCCTGCTAAGGGGAGCAATTATTAGCTATTTCTTTTGTTTCTGTGACAGGTTAGGTGTAACACCCTGTATGGACAAGGATAGTTACATGGTTCATGAGACAACCTGTACTTTTACACATATGTATGCATTTAAGTGAACCATGCTATTTTTAGAACCACACTTACTGGGTTAGATTTTCTATTCAGTATAGGACAATTACATGTAAACCTTATTTTTGATTCTTATATTTTGTAAGTTTGTGGCTGGTTTTATAACCCTGCATTAGCAGTGATTTCTATTTTTCAAACTGACCTCAGTCCACTGGCTGAGCTTCAACTGGAAACACCTCTGTGTATAGGTAAATACAATTTTGTATTTTTCCCAATTTATTCAGTCAAGTTGTACTTTTTACCACTTTATCCTATACTATCATTATAGAAGAATGTCATTTTCTTTTTATATCATATTTTCTGGTAAGGTAATATTTCATATCCCTAGACTACAACTTTTGTAAACCAGTTTTGTAAATTAGAATACAGGTCACGCCCAATTTTGTAATGCTTATGTGGCTTACTTTTACAACTTACTTTTACTGTCCTGTTAATTGCAGACACACTGTGTAAGTGCTCATGTACACCACACTCAGCCAGGGTCTCACACCACTTCAAAAGTCCTAAGGACTATTTGTAAGTTTATATCATTTTTGTGTCAGCCATTTTGTATTTTAAGGTGCAGCCATTTTGTAAAACGATTTTATATTTTCACCAGAGCTCGAATACACGTAATGTTATGTCACACTTTAATGGTTCTAATTATTATGTTGTATTGGTGAATATTATTAATTCTTTCATGTTTGTTCATTTGACAACATGGTACATTGCTGCACTTTTGTTACTTCTAATTTTAGTACTGGAGATTGGATGTTTTCTTACATTGAGGTTGCAGTTAGTCTCCATTAGACTAGTCATTAGGGTATGCATATCTCTTAAAATATATTATTGTATTATTTGTGTAAAGTACATGAAACTGTGTGTTTGGTTTAGTCTAAGGGAATCGCATATGAAATGTAATAGTATTCATATAATAATATTTGTATTTTATGGTCTCGACATTACGAAATATTGGTTCCTATTTTTAATGCATATTATTTTGAATAATTGCAGACTTCTACAACTTGTTCTTCTTGTTGCCTGTTTACATCCTGTGATACCTGATGTTACAACTTAGACTGTAGTAGGAATAAAGATATCATATGACTGAACTTGTGTGTGTAGTGTAGTTTTATGGCTTTGTATAAAAAACCTCCTACCCACGTACCCTCGTACCCACGTACGTGGGTCCTGACCCAGTCTTTAAAGAGTTAAATTTTTAAATGTTTAAAACATTATTGAATCTCAGTTTATCCTGAATTATAGATGAATTTATGCATACATATGCCTTTATTTATAGGTCTGACATCTCTCTAGTAAAATAAAATAAAGCCGGAATTGCATAAACACGGGGGATAAGCAAAACGAGGGCGAAGCCACGGACTGCGACTCGCGTAATTCAAAACGAGATTACAACGCATTATAGCTGAACAATGGCGGTAAGTCCAAACTTAATTTGGAAGGCATGTTAGGATTTGGGGTAGATTATTGGTTTGGATATTCTACAGAATAGCTAGTATGTTCCAGTCGGTGATCAACATATTCATACTCCACCTGCAATGGCATTCTTGGTGCTCGGCTGTCCAATAGTTTAGCATGAACACAAATGAATTCGAAATCTGCCACAAAAAATGTAATTTTGTCAATATTTGTCCCTAATATACCGATTTAAACAAAGGAATCAGAAATGACATCGAATTAATATAATTATTCATGTTCTGTTGTTACAATTACATCTTCGTGTGATATTTGGTAAGCGGAAAACGTACAATTACATAGACAATTGGAATTTTTGATAGTCGCAATCCATCCATCTGTCCAACGCAGTCCGCGACTCAGTGTTGCTTTATATCTGAAGCTGAACGCAATCACAGCCAAAGGTAGATAACACAATGTGTGTACAGGTGTGGCCGAAATGGAGCAACTTTGGACAAAATTGAATATAAAGGGCTATTTTAATAGACCTACATCGTGTCTCAATCCATTCTGCAAATATATACAAGCTGTCAAATACAGCTGAAATCATGAATTTATGGTAGCTAGCAATATTGATGGACTGTTGGAAAGATCATCCAAAATTACATTAACTCACCAACTCTCCAATTATTTGATATTTTCCTGATATCTTAAATACTAGTTAATGTACCCTTCCCCAACAGCTTTTATTGCATCATCAAAAAGTTAATTGTTTCGCATTTCTACTTCTTATAAAAAGTCTCACCACTATCCAATTATCTATATATTTAACCCTATCCACAAATTGGTTTGTAATAAACATATTACGTTGTCATCTTGCGCTCGACTGTTCTGCCAAATACGCTATTGAATTGCCATATTTCTAGGTCTTAAACGATACAATATAGCAATTTGGGACATTGATTCAGGTAATAGATATATGTTAATCAACGTAACTTTGAATGATAATCTGGATGCTGACTTTCTTTTCCTGAAACAATAATAGCGTAGGAATATAGTTTACACTTTCTTATTTATTTCGTGTTCGCGGCTGGACTGCGTTGCTTAGAATATCAATGGAGGCTGTGTTGCGTTGTTGAAATAGCTTTGTTTACTGGACTGCGTCCACTATGAATGCGCAGTTTGAATCTAATTTTCTCCTCATGAACACATTCTATTATCAAATCATTTTCACGAATTATACTCGGAGCCTCAACTAACCTTTAGATATCAGAAACGTGTTAAAACTCCTTTCAAGTGTATAGTAAATTAAATAATATGCACATATTTTACAGGTAAAATCAGAACTTTGCTACTGTTTTAGCTTGATCTGGACAACTGCTTATTTTCTTATCTACAGACCAACAGTAGATACAGAGTAATATTTTGGTCACCGATTAGACACTACGATAGCATTTAAAATTCCTGGATTTCTCTATTTTGTCGGAAGAAGCAGAAGGCACTGCCGGATGTCCCTCCATTTTGGCGCTGGGCTGCGGTGTAAAGTTACGCGAGTCGCAGTCCGTGGCTTCGCCCTCGTTTTGCTTATCCCTCGTGATAAATGTTCATTATTTTTGAGCTATTTGATTTATGTTTTTGATATGTCGAAATGTTTTTTGTTGATCGGGCAGTCTTACCTGTATAACACATCAGTGCTGATTAGCAATCTCCTAGCCTTCGTTCAGTGCAATCCGTGCCTCCTGTTACCTCATGCAGATTGTAAATGTCCCGGGAAGTTTACCCTTGTCCAAAAGTTGACATCTTTTTAAAAATATATTTCTTAGCGTTTCCAACCAATTAAATTCACCACATTTTATTAGATGTTTATTTCAAATGTTATTAGAATTCATTCTTACGAATGTTATACGTTATTTACGTATGTTAGTCAAAGATTTGGTGTCGTTGTTGTCCATTGTATTCACGTTTTACGCGCAAAAAGCTAGAAACTACAAAGCTGAACTTTTATCATTCATACCAGTTTTACATCAAATCATTGTCAAAATAAAACTCTACTCTTCATATTACCTAATTATGGATCAAACGGCCATGAATAATGTCGAAGTTTACAAAACCAAACTTACACTCCCCTGCATAAGTTTGGCAACTCTAACTTTTAATTCCATCTAAATGATTCACTGAACTAGTGCGCACAATTATCCTTAAATTGTGCCAAAAAGCGATTAAAAACGAATATAGCGAATCCTTCTACTTTTCAAATATTTCGTTATTCAATTGCGCCACGGTTAAACAGAAATGCAGCCTTTATTATTCCTTGAGATCGTGTGAATTGATCACTCTATCACTTTGTATCTCCAATTCTGATGTTAAATTAAATAAAAGACATAAGACAAATTACACGTATAGTTCAAATCTGTCGTGCAAACAATGAATACTTGTAATATCGTTTGAAAGAATAAAAAGTATATGTGATAAAAATCGAAACTACAGGGTGTTAAAAAACAGGACCGATGAAAAGTTGAATAACTTCGTCAATCCAGAATCATTCAGTGTGAATTTTGTTGTGAAAGTTTGACCATATTCTGCTCATGGAGTCTAAAACTACAGCACTTTACAACACATGCCGCATGTGGCCAATTTGCGCCAAGCAATAGATTGGTTGTACACTGTAAGACTGCCCGATCAACAAAAAATCGCTTCGATATATCAAAAACAACACTCAAATAGCTCAAATGAACATTATGCAATGCCGGCTTTATTTTATGACGAGACAGATGTCCGATCTAGAAATAAAGGCATATGGGTACATAAATTCATCCATAATTAAGCATACATTGAGATAGAATAATGTTTAAAAAATGTTAAAGATTTAACTCTTTAAAGACTGGGTCAGGACCCACGTACGTGGGTACGAGGGTACGTGGGTAGGAGGTTTTTTATACAAAGCCTAGTTTTATTGCCGTTACCCACGTGCCCCCCATTCGCCCAGCTCACATTTCCAACCTTTATTATTACCAGTTATTACCACCTTGCCGGGCCAGTTCTAGGGGTTTTAGTGCTAGTTTAGAAGGCATTCATTTTTTTACTATATCGACCTGAGAAATGTGTGACGTCATAGTGGTGGTCCATATGGACTGGTCTAGAATATATTCTGGACCGGCAATTTTTCCCCGGGAAATTAGATATCGTTCAATGCGTAAGATTTTCTTGCTATTTCAGCCCTGGTCGTCAACGGTGGTAATAATACTAATAACATCATTTCTGCGAGCAATATAGTGAAATATTGGACCTTGGGCCTTCTGCCCTCGGCCCAATATTTCACTATATTGCCCTTAGATATGACGTTATTGTACTATTATTTGACAAGTTTCATAAACAATTACTCTCTTTGACTTGATCGACTCAGCTAACATTTGCCAATCCAACTGCTGGTTGTTGGCTGATGGATTAACCAACTAATTCATGACCAACTCATTTATATTCATATTTAAATGAACTGGCCATGAAATTAGCTGGAGTTTGTTTTCCTTATGACTGGCAGGAGAGGGAGAAGGGGTGAACCAACTGTGAATTTTCTGAAAGGTGACCCCCTCATTGGCTTCAGGCCCAACATGTTTTTTTCTTATATGTCTGGATGGGTTCTGCAACATGCAATTTTTGGTCCTTTCCTTTGGCATTTTTGCATACATATTTAAAGTCATTTAACCCATTCAACTTATCAAATGTGAACCAACCTGGAATTTTCTGAAATTACAAAGTTCATGTGCAAGTCTTTATATGGACATATAGTTTATATGGACTATACATTGATATTTCAGACTTCTAGTTTAAGCAGTACTAACTTGCACAAAATTCATATCATTTGATCCTTTTCCTTAGATCACTAAAACATTCCAAAGGTATCTATAAATAATCAGTAGTACAATACCTTACATGTGCTTTATAAATCAGTAATGATATGATGGCCATTTCAGCATAATTCCTTTGCTTTTTCCTCCTACAAACTTCCTGCTCTAACTGATTTTCAGTTTGAATTTTTAACCCACAATGCATTGGTACTTCCTGCTGTGAGAGGGCTGTGAGAGCGCTGCCACAAACTCTGGCTAAGATAGCATGTTGCTGTAATTGATCCAGCCACTTAATTACTGTCACATCCCTCTTGCAGCGATGGATGGAAATAGAATGCTGTGACAGCGCTCTCACAGCGTTCTCGCAGCGTATGGATGTGAGAGCATTGTCGCTGAAATTGATCCAGCCATCAGTTTAAGCCTATATGCTGTCACAGCGCTGCGACAGCGCTGTGGCAGCGCTGTCACAGCTTTTATTTTCCGTAAGGGATATTTCAACTTAGAAACTAAAAAAGTCAGTATTGAGCAAGTTATGGCAGTTTTAAATTCAAATAAAACTGTTAACCCGAACCGGTCCAGCTTTTGACCCGTACTGGTCCATTTCGTCAGCTGCGTATACCAAGGGTGCTAAGTATTGACCTTTTCAAAGGCAGTATTCCAAAGATTATCATTTTAGTAAATAGAAAACTTTTCACTTACCAATATATTCAGGCCTCCAAAGTGCTTAACAGTCTCTTCAAATATTCGTTTAGTGTCATCTTCTTTTGATAGATCACCAATACACAGAAATGGCTGTAAACACAATGTTCATGTAGACTAGCATCCGGTTATTACTCTTCCTGCTCAAAAGTGGATAATTTTAGCTACAAGCCTCTGTGACCCCCCCTATTTACTTGACTTAACACTTTATATAGTAAAGACACCCTTGAGTCAATCACAAGGGCATGGAGCTACATTTAGACTAGTGGAAAAAAGCCATATACATTCTTCTATATAGTCATACACAATCTTGCCATTAAAAGCAGTCATGTACATACAGGGTGGTCCAAAAAAACACCACTTGTTTTTCAAGAACACTTATTCCCCAACCTACATACACCAAATGTTGCAGTTATATAGTGCCAATGGTCCCAAGTAATAAAAAAAAATGAAATAGGTCCTTCAACTTGGATTGTATTTGATCTAAAAGATGAGCTAATAACTGGTCCATCACCCTCCTTGGTGATAGCTTTTAGTCTTAATCGCCATTCTGATATAGCGGGTATCAATGAAATGGTGGCTAAGTTGCTATTAACTTGTCCTATTTGCCTGCTTTAGAGGGGGAATATTTCGAGATTCTGTGCCTACATGTATATACCATCTCCTGGAGACCTCCCCATAAAATTTATTCACTGGTATTTTTATCAGGACTATTAGATGGGTAGTCATCAGGCTGTATCAGTTCAACATTATGTAAATTACACCCCATGTTTAATTGAGACTCTGGTGACATCTTTTAATCAAATATATGTGTGCAAATTCATAATGCATGGCTAGATTATAACTTCAAGTTTCATTTGGTATGCAAATTATGATTTTGGATCAAAGATTAAAAAAGTTACAGCATCTAAAACATGGAGTTTTTGGTCCACCCTGTATATACAATATCAAGGTTGTTAAAACAGTTCTGCACAAAGAACATGTACGTAATTGCCTACAGAGTAGAACATTATTTAAAGGTAACAGTGTTCCATTTTCAGAGGTTTTAGTGTACTACTAGTATAGTTCAGTAACCTTTTCTGTTCCCGCGCACTCAGCAGCTGTCTTTTGTAAATTAGTCTCATTTCTGCCATGAATTGCAAGCCTTGCTCCAAGCTTTGAGAATAATACTGCTGTGGCGGCACCTATACCCGAACTTGCTCCTGAAACAAGAAAATATTGCAATAGTATGAACCACCTTACCACATCTGAGATAGCATGGTGAGTCTTGGTGACCTTGTGCCAGGCATTTAAAGTCTTGCAATAGATTGCATGTGGATAGATGGTGCTGATGGTGCCTATTTTTGTGACTGAAGTGGAAGTGACACACCCTCAGGCCCAAGAAGATTTAAATCCCCCCCAGTCACTATACGGTGTATAGCTTCTACATGTACATGTACCTAATACATACATGTAGTGAGGGCTTTGTATAAAAACCTCCTACCTCATACCCACCTACCCACATACATGTACGTAGGACATGATACAGTCTTTGAAGGGTTCAATTTTAAAGATCTTAGTTTATTAAATCTTAGTTTATGATGAATTATAGATGCATTTGCTATAACGACCCTTGATAGCAAGTTACATGTTATCCCGTTCCCGGACTATAGTCCTGCACTGAGCGCATTCATTTGCCTGTACGATTACAACTTGGGAGAATTATCTACGCCCCTTACACTTAAGATACCTACCTCAATGCATTATAGAACTCAAGATGTAACTTCTAATATATTGGAACCGCCGATTGTCTGGGTATATCGGCAGAACGGGAACATTTTCTCTTTTTCATCGAGAGAGATTCCATCACTTTTCAAAATGGCGGTTGGATTTAAAAGGGGAATCCCCCGTTTGGCTGTCCCGGATGTAGCCCGGAAGTACCAATATGGAGGAATTTGACGGTTGAAATAAGTTAAATGTTACACGCAAATATTGCGATCAAAAACGAAAATGTCTTTGTTCTGCCGATAAACCCAGACAATTGTGGATTCAACTACACGAAAAGAATGCTAAATTACCAAGGAATCTATTGAAGTAGGTATCTGAAGTGTAAGATGAGTAAAACATATATTCTCCCATGTTGTAATCGCACAGGCAAAAGATTGAGATGTTCACAGGACCATAGTCCGGGAACGGGATAAGTTACATGTACTACACTGTACCTCCCGCTGGGTTTGACTCCCACTCTAGGGCATCAAATTTAGCACACTTTCTTTCAATTTCTTTATCTGGCTTGTTGGACCAATGCTCGCGGTTAGTTACTTACATAGGCTAAGGGTTAAGTAATAGTAAGCTGTATATAGAAGAGACAGGTGAACAACTAGGATTTAGGCCACTTGTTAACATGGCGATTTTAACATTATTTGTGTATAATTTTCAAAAAACAATGCAGAGTTGATCCAAAATTGATAGTTCTCAATTCTTACCTATGAATCAACCACATTCAAGTGATATAGAGTGAATAAAGCCGTCTTGAGGCGAGATATTCTGAAAACCTACAATTGCCTGGCAAGTTACCCGGATTTCCCTGTTGAATCATGAATGAAGGTTTGAAACAAGGAATTTGATTGGTTCCTGCTAACCGCCGCCAGTGACACCTATCTGGTTCTCTAAAATGTAATTCATTTTCTAGAAATAACAATCAATTAAAGTGTACAAAACTATAAAAAGTTTACTTAATAATTATTTATCAAAACATCTGATTCATATAATATCTTTTTAAACCCAATTTAAATGGTGAAATTAACATTTTTCTTTGAATTTTAAACTTCTTATTACAACCAATCAAATCAATCGTTACAAGATTCAATCTTTCCATGTGTCCGGAAGTTTCAACTTGCCGGGCAATTGCAGGTTCGTACAGTTGGTGTTTTTTTATGCTGTCTTATCGAAGAGTTAGGATATAGATTTGAAATATTCAACAATCTACGTTTCGAAAACACTTTGGAGAAGATTCTTGGGAGATTTGGTGGTACGACTCGATACCAGTAAGGAGAACTCGTACCAAGACGGCAAGTTTTTGAAAAATTTTTCAATCCTAATTGTTTACCTGTCTCTTATATATACAGCTTACTATTACTTAACCCTTAGCCTATGGTTACTTATTCACCTGGGGTGCCCTCGGGTAATTACACATAAAATGAGACCCTATCTGTTGCAAGACTAACGCCTGGCGTAACCGTCACCATGTTAATCAATGTTTTTTAAGTAGCGCAAGGATCCTGCCATGACCGTGGTAATGTTATCGTGAAAGCCTGGTATAACCGCGACAATGCTGTATTATATTGCAATGCCTGCCATGACCGTGACAATGTAATATAGTTCTGCAAGGCTTGCTATGACCGTAACAATGTAATATTGTACTGCAAGGCCTGGTATGACCGTGGCAATGTAATATAGTATTGCAAGGCTTGGTATGACCGCCGTGGCAATGTGATATAGTATTCCAAGTTTGGGTATGAGAGTGGTAATGTAGAAATTTATGATTGCTATAAGTGACCGTGACAATGTGTATTTGAAAACCTGGCATGACCGTGACAATGTATTATGGGATCGCAAAGCCTGGTATGATCGTGACAATGTAATATAGTATTGCAAAGCCAGGTATGAGGGTGGTAATGTAGAAATTTAGGCTTAGTCCTACTATGACCGTTATAATGTATTGCAATAACTAGTAAATATGTATGACATTAATGCCAGGAATATCCTTAACAATTTTAAGTGATCGCCATTACAATTAAACAGTTTAATACTATGATCATGGTGTTTAACTACCTTAATCATGTCAAAATCAAAATAACTATTATACATTAATATTCACATTCGCTTATAAACCACAATAAAGGCTACGGTCGCGCCAGGCTTCCACGATAACACTTCCAGGGTCATGACAGGCCTTGCAATATAATACAGCATTGTCACGGTTATACCAGCCTGTCACGGTTATACCAGGCTTACACGACAACACTACCACGGTCATGGCAGGATCCTTGCGCTACTTAAAAACATTGATTAACATGGTGACGGTTGTGGCAGGCGTAAGTCTTGCAATAGATAGCATGTGCATAAAATGCATCCATATTATGCCTTTATTTATGGATCTATAGATCTAGTCATAAAATAAAGCCGGAATTTCAAGTAGAAATGTTAATAATTTTAGCTATATTGTAAGATTTAATAATCTTTAAAATTGAACCCTTCAATGACTATATCATGTTCCACGTAGGTGGGTAGGTGGGTATATGAGGTAGGAGGTTTTTTATACACAGCCCATAGTGAGTGGGAGGGGATGAACTCTCTGTGGACACACCCCCTTTTCTGATAACTCAACTGTTGATCTGTTACGGAGTTATCAAGTTCATGCAAATAAAATTATGATCAAGAACTACCAATAGATATCTTAAACCTGCGATCTATTGCTGTCATAATCCACAACATTGGTTATATTACCTGTAATCAGAGCAACTTTTCCGGTGAGATTTCCCAAAGTTACTGACATGTTCTCGTTCATGATCACGTCAGAAATATCGCGAGAACTGAAATCCGGAAATGATAAACTTTGTAAATAAACAACTTTTGCCAGTCTAAATATGCCATTTATTGTGCAATTTGTAACGTTGATAGCTCTATTGATATGTGATAAAAGTTCTGGTAAGTATTATGATCAATCACAGATTGAGATTCAGCGATTCTCTCAAAGTCCATATCACTTTAGACTCACAGGAAGTTGTATCAGGTCCTTTTTGGACTAACAGCTCTAACAGAGCTTTATGCGCTTCCCCACTCTCAGAACAGAGGAATATATCTGTTCTGAGAGTGGGGAGGGGCAAAAAGCTCTGTTAGGCCCAAAAAAGACTTGATACAACTTCCTGTGTTCAGACTGTCTGTTACTTCAAAGGCAAGCAGTTGAACCTGAAAAATAAGAAATCTAAAGACTATTGAAAAGTAATTTATAAAAAAATATATTCATTGCACACGAATAACATTTGTATATCTTGATTTGCTTGTAAATTGGCTTATGAAATCTGTAACTTCTTATATTTTGTTGCCTCTCTGCCATGTTCACGGGGGTCCATCTTTATGGGACGTATCGAAACCACTACATCCCGAAAAACCATTAATTTGAATTTAAACCTACTAGCGGCGTTTTGGTCCCTAGCTGTGAGATCAAGCAAATTTCATAGTTATCTCATCAGCCTTTTAATCATTCTCGCCCATAATTTCATATTGGACCACCATTACAACCCTCCCTACATCGCTACGTCTTCATTTTTGGGCATTAAACCCAGCAGTTTCAAAGCCACCTGCACATCACTTCAAATTTGACCAATACATCCCGCCGTCTTCCACTACGTCCCGCTGCGTCTATCACGACAAGCATGGTAGAATAATAATGGACAAGACAGGATAAATCTTAAAACACAAGTCGATTGGTGTTTAAAAGATTTTGAAACTGCTGCGTTTAATGCCCAAAATGTGGCGATGGAGGGGTGTAATGGGTCCTACCATTTGAAAATCAAGGACTGAGAGTCTCATACTGCACCGTTTTTCTTCAAACTTGTTCCATTAAAAGCAAAACAAAAATGTCTTTCTTTTGGTACATTATACTGTTATACAGAATCCCTTCTTTTAGCGGCGTTTTGGTACCGAGAAGTGAGAAGTGCTTCTCACAGCTGCGGACCCAAACACATGAACTGAACCAAGTTGACATAAACAGTTTCAGTGTTGTAAAGTTCATTCCTCAAGTGATTGCAAGTAAAATAACCGCTGCATCATTGTAATCTGTACATTATCAACTCAATCTAGCTCTTGTGGCGTGCCAAAAGATTTGAAATTTTTACCACTCACAATTGGCTGTAATTCATGGAACTGATATGCTCCCAAATCACGATGATAGCTAGTGCAATATACATTAGACTGTTACTCCTGTTACCAAAATGGCTTCTTATGGAAGTGCATGGCTATTTCAAGATATGTTGAATTTTCAAGTGGTGACATATTGTTATTGTCTCCAACTTTTTATGGATCGTGTTTGGTGGTTGGTATTCAGCATTAAGTAGTTGGTGTTTTGTATCCAGCATTCGGCATCCGCCGTCTGAAAAATGTCAGATGGTGAAATTTTGCATGTTAATGCCTTGTTTAATACAGTACTTGTGTTGTAGGTTTCATCAATAAAGAAATATTTCTTACCCTTGGAGAATCAGTAACTGTAGAACTAGAAGCAAACTTGACATATCATGCAGTTGTTAATAACATTACAGAAAAGTACACTTACACCATATTGCAGTCACATAGCTTTAACAGGTGAGTTTGCCAGTGTCAGTGTGTGCATAATACAAAGTGTACAACTAAAATTATACATGTTCCATACATTTTGAAATGTGCGTGTACAACATGCATTATAATCTTAGCATTTATGATGCATCATTGTTTTATGTTCTAATGGGAATGGTACATAGTATTGATATAAACATAACTCATTAAATACACATGTTAACAATGAATAAGAGTTTTACCCACACTTAAACAAACAAAAATAGATGATAACAAAAATTAGGGAAATGTCATTCAGTATTTGAAGAAGGTATTTCTATTGTGAAGTACAATATTTTTAGCCATTTCATTTTTTATTGATATTGTCATCATAAAGATTCTCAATGTGTGGATTTATTTAGTTACATCTTGGTTTTAATTCTTACAGCATTGTGAGTGTTTCATTGGTGGAAGAGCTCAGCTATGACCAGACAAAGACAGGGAGGAATGTAGGGGTACTAAAGCTGTTACTTCAGGGGGAGGATAGGGCAGAATTCTGGGTCAGGGCCCCTGGGACAAACACCACTGCAACATTGAGGGCAGATGCATATACTAAACTAGGTGATCATTTACATTCTTTAATGATTCATTCATGTAGATTTAAAATACAATAAACCTTTTTACATCTATTACTTAAAGGCTCAAAACAAACAGCAGAGCAAATACTTACAAACTAATTAAAATTGATGAAATTCAGATCCCATCCCTGGGGGCTGTAACTTGGAGTTCAATCTGGAGTATGACCCCAATCTCCTCATCTCACAGACAGAAGACATCACAACAATGGAGTTCCAACTAGCTAATTTGGGCTTTGACCGCACACAAGGTATTTGGTGGAATTAAAAAGAATATTTCAATCATGTACCTGTATATATTATGCTATTTTATAACAACGGAGGAGATTTTGAGAACAAATGCCATAGAAACCAACTCGTGTTTAAACTCAAGTTTGAAATCTGGAAACTAAGAAATAGTAAAATATATAACAAATAAGTTCAGTATACCTATTAGTACCATTGTATATGTAATGACCTTCGATAGCAAGTCGCTACTACAGTCTCTGCTGTAGTGGCAAGCCCTTATGGCTCATGGGTAGAACGTCTGACTTGAGAGTGGGAGGTCCTGAGTTCGATTCCCGTACGGGGCGTTGAATTTAGCACATTCTTTTTCGAGTCTAGTATCTGGCTCGGTACACTATAGCTCCCCGACGAGCGTGCCCAATGGTTGTTACATATATAATGTAAAAAATGTATAAACGTTTTAATTTAGTGAATAAAGTTTATTAATAAAAAAGGATAAAAAAGTAACTGTATATCCAGCAGCTACATGTATATTATCATCTCAAGTTTGTTTTACAGTTTATACTACATGAAGAAGGGTTCAAATCTTATGGATTTTCCAGTAACAACCTGTCGACGATTTACTCATTTAGGCGTCATATTATTGTATCAGTGTTGCCACAATTTCATCTTGGGTCAACCCATTGGCATTCAACTAGATATTTAACAGATTTAATTTCAAATTGAAAATCTTTTTTTAATAATCAATGTACATAAACTTTGATATATATTATATGCTAAATTGATGTAAAACATAAACGTCACATCAATACCTGTATGCTAACTTTACTTACTTTTTTTATTTTAGTGGCTCCATCTTGTGAACACACATCTATTCTAAAGTTTTTAAAATATGATGTTTACCTTTACTATGGAGGAGAGGGAGTGACAGATACATCACCTTTACTCTCTGAACTCCAATATTTCAACAATGGGGATATGCAACATTTGGATCCGATAAATCTCCATAAGGTATGTACTCTTCAGGCTTGTCAATGACCCTACAAATGTCTAAGCCAATTAGCTAGTTTTTGGATGTAAATTTAAAAATTACTTTTTTTTATTTTTCAGTTTAGTTACACATATGGCCATGGAAAAACACGTTTGCTGTTTGCAAGGTTCGTATAAATCAATCTGTAAATTGCTTTAATCCCGGCATCTGCTTTTATTGTGGCAATTCCCCAATTTTGTGGTATTAAAAGCCAATTAAAAAATCGGCCAGTTGCCAATGGTAATCCCATGATAATTTAAGGAATTTGCATAAAAAGATCTGCACATTAAATAGTCCATCACAAATATCCTCAAAAAAAGGAAATAAATTGAATTGCTTCAAATTAACTTGAATTGGAATGATTTTACATAAATATGATGAGGAAATAGTTTCATGATTTGAAGGATTGTTTTTGTATTTCAATATAATTATGTGACCATTAATTATGAATCAACTCCTGGGTAAACTGTCAAGAAAGTGTTCCTAGTTAAATGTATTTATACTTGTATGGGCCAAAAACTGTGGACCGAAAAGGGTCTTGTTTCTGTAATGTCCATAAACCCTTTCTGTCTCTATTTGATACCAATGAATCATACAGATTCTTTTCTAAAACAAAAATGATCAAAAAGGTTCTTTTCAGCTTGAGTACAGTTTTGAAATAGAGATTGCATTGCAAGGATCTTAACATATACAAGGCCAATAATCTTATCTTAAAATTTTTATTGTTTCAAAAGGGGTTTTCTTCTAAAGGCATGAGCTTTTAAACCTGCCTAGCGCATACATAGCTTCACCTCTATATTGTACAAATACTTGTATTTAAAACTATGTAAAATTAACTTTTTAAGATGAGCCCCTACTTTTGGTAGGTTTCATTAAAATTTGAAATCCAAGCTCATTATCTCATAATTGATTTTCCTAGCCTTTACTTATGTTGTCCACAAATGTTGGCAATATTTTACATGAACAGGTACATGTATTTTAGGTATCCCAATATAGCCACATATTATACAGTCATAGTAAGGAACCTATTCAACAATGGTACAGGGTGGTCAAGTTATGTGCCAGTTGTGTCAGATGGCTGCCATACTCAATCTACAGGGTGGTTCAACTGTGGAGAAACATGTAAGTATAGACATAACAATCAGCACAACCGTAGACCAAAGGTAATGTAAAGTTAAAGCAAATAAATTTATATATTTACCCAAATATTTGATGAATGATAATGAGAATTAGCAAGTTATATATTCTATTCAGTAACATAAGTTTCTTATCTGAAATATTTAATGAAACTGTCATGTTTAAATACCTTGATAATGGAGATTGCGTCTACCAGGTATTTTACATTTTCCTCAGTATTACCAGAAATGCGTGTTTTAGATTTGCCACTTTTGAAAATTGACTCTAGTATATGTTGCCCCAAAGATTTCTAAAAACTCTAAATCATGGATAAAATCAAAATATTTAAATGATTTGTAAAAGAGAGCGACCATATTATCTGTGTGGGTTGTAGATAACCTTGCTGCTAGGATTGTATGTACAGTAGTTGGTGTAATTGTCCTGTTTCTTTGGAGATAACCTTGCTGCCAGGATTGTATGTACAGTAGTTGGTGTAATTGGCCTGTTTCTTTGTAGATTACCTTGTATCCAGGATTGAATGTACCTGTACAGTAGTTGGTGTAATTGGCCTGTTTCTTTGTAGATAACCTTGCTGCCACGATTGTGTGTACAGTAGTTGGTGTTATTGGCCTGTTTCTTTGTAGATACTGTAACTTTGCTGCCAGGATTGTGTGTACAGTAGTTGGTGTAATTGGCCTGTTTCTTTGTAGATAACCTTGCTGCCAGGACTGTATGTACAGTAGTTGGTGTAATTGGCCTGTTTCTTTGTAGATAACCTTGCTGCCAGGATATTATGTACAGTAGTTGGTGTAATTGGCCTGTTTCTTTGTAGATAACCTTGCTGCCAGGATATTATGTACAGTAGTTGGTGTAATTGGCCTGTTTCTTTGTAGATAACCTTGCTGCCAGGATTGTGTGTACAGTAGTTGGTGTAATTGGCCTGTTTCTTTGTAGATAACCTTGCTGCCAGGATTGTGTGTACAGTAGTAGTTGTAATTGGCCTGTTTCTCTGTAGATAACCTTGCTGCCAGGATTGTGTGTACAGTAGTAGGTGTAATTGGCCTGTTTCTTTGTAGATAACCTTGCTGCCAGGATTGTGTGTACAGTAGTAGGTGTAATTGGCCTGTTTCTTTGTAGATAACCTTGCTGCCAGGATTGTGTGTACAGTAGTTGGTGTAATTGGCCTGTTTCTTTGCTTCTTTGGACACAGGTTCTTCAGAACAGGTAATGAACTACACATATATATTTAAACCAAGGAGCACGAAATAACAATCTTTCGGATAAGTGTAAAATCATTTTTTGTCAGGGACATTTATATTTATTGTGACTGATACATTTCTACAATGCAGTAACATCTAAAGATTAATTTTTTCAAATGAATCCATTACTTTTTTCATGTATGTACCTTACTTGACCCCTTAATTATGAAAACTTCACACATACATCATAACATTGTGATGATTCGGTAAAATGGACATGAGAGAAAATTCATTTTCATGTTTTTGTTTCAGAGATGTTCCTGGTTGGTGCTACATCAACTCTCCTAGTCAGCTATATTCTAGTACTTAAATACTCTACATTTTCTAATATTGGTAAGGAATATGTTGGCTTTGATGAGGGAGGGGTGTATGGGGGCATTTTCTGAAGTAAAATTTGGGTTCATCTCCTGCATTCTAGTGGCTTAAGCACTAGAAACAAAGCACTAAATATGAGAAGGGCATAGTAGCGAGAGTTTGACATATCAATCCCCCCAATCTGGCAGGTGTGCACATGTAGCAGTATATGAGTAAAAGCAAACCAACTAATAATAGAGACAAAGTTCAAAGTTATTTGCAATTTTATTATATACACAATTGTTGAACAAATGTAAACCAAGCTTTAAATGACTTCTTATACTTTTTAATTTTTATTGCAGGCCAATATATTACAACTGGAGTGAGTGGACTTGTAGGTGGAATTCTGTGGTTCACATTCTGGTATTTTGTGGGAATACCCGTCCTCTCAGTGCTTCTCATTGGTCTACTTCTGGGCTACCTAATATCAAGCATTGCATTCAACCTAACACCACTTGGTATGTAATGGTATTGGTCTAATTCTGGGCTACCTAATATCAAGCATTGCATTCAACCTAACACCACTTGGTATGTAATGGTATTGGTCTAATTCTGGGCTACCTAATATCAAGCATTGCATTCAACCTAACACCACTTGGTATGTAATGGTATTGGTCTAATTCTGGGCTACCTAATATCAAGCATTGCATTCAACCTTACACCACTTGGTACGTAATGTGGAGGTTTTGGATATCATTTTTTACCAAATACCATTCATGTTTTTAATGTATCAAAAATATGTGAGTAATAGACATATGCTAATAATGTTTTATATATTTAATAATGTACAATCTGAAGTTGTATTTTTTACTTGAAATGAATTTTTGGATTAAAAGACGTCAGGCTAATTTATTTTAAGTTATTATTAATGAATATTACATTGGTCATTCTCTTTAAGACTCATGAATGCTGATCTAAGTTCCCCTTTGGGCGTAGCAGTGAGGTCTATTGAGGGAAATAGTGCAAAATGTTTTTTTCTCGAGGGAATATCCTGTACACTGACAGCTTCATGAGGCTCCAGGCTGGGGGATCATGTCAGTGGACAGGATATTCCAGAAGGGAAAATTTTGTACTACTTTTAAAAGTACTAGTAAACAGTGGTACAGAAATAAACTATTTTAAACTGGAAACTTAATAGAGATGTTTCAAAAGTATTATTTTCCTTTTGTATATTAGGAGTACTTGCATTTGTATATCAATTGTATTTTACATTGTATTTTCAGGAGATGTAGACTATTGGGCTACAGAGTTCAACTATGGCATGGCCTTCACCTGTGGTATGCTAGTCATAACCACATTTGTATATCAATTGTATTTTACATTGTATTTTCAGGAGATCTAGACTATTGGGCTACAGAGTTCAACTATGGCATGGCCTTCACCTGTGGTATCCTAGTCATAACTGCATTTGTATATCAATTGTATTTTACATTGTATTTTAAGGAGATCTAGACTATTGGGCTACAGAGTTCAACTATGGTATGGCCTTCACCTGTGGTATCCTAGTCATAACTGCATTTGTATATCAATTGTATTTTACATTGTATTTTCAGGAGATCTTGACTATTGGGCTACAGAGTTCAACTATGGCATGGCCTTCACCTGTGGTATCCTAGTCATAACTGCATTTGTGTATCAATTGTATTTTACATTGTATTTTAAGGAGATCTAGACTATTGGGCTACAGAGTTCAACTATGGCATGGCCTTCACCTGTGGTATCCTAGTCATAACTGCATTTGTATATCAATTGTATTTTACATTGTATTTTAAGGAGATCTAGACTATTGGGCTACAGAGTTCAACTATGGCATGGCCTTCACCTGTGGTATCCTAGTCATAACTGCATTTGTGTATCAATTGTATTTTACATTGTATTTTAAGGAGATCTAGACTATTGGGCTACAGAGTTCAACTATGGCATGGCCTTCACCTGTGGTATCCTAGTCATAACTGCATTTGTATATCAATTGTATTTTACATTGTATTTTAAGGAGATCTAGACTATTGGGCTACAGAGTTCAACTATGGTATGGCCTTCACCTGTGGTATCCTAGTCATAACTGCATTTGTATATCAATTGTATTTTACATTGTATTTTCAGGAGATCTTGACTATTGGGCTACAGAGTTCAACTATGGCATGGCCTTCACCTGTGGTATCCTAGTCATAACTGCATTTGTGTATCAATTGTATTTTACATTGTATTTTAAGGAGATCTAGACTATTGGGCTACAGAGTTCAACTATGGCATGGCCTTCACCTGTGGTATCCTAGTCATAACTGCATTTGTATATCAATTGTATTTTACATTGTATTTTAAGGAGATCTAGACTATTGGGCTACAGAGTTCAACTATGGCATGGCCTTCACCTGTGGTATCCTAGTCATAACTGCATTTGTGTATCAATTGTATTTTACATTGTATTTTAAGGAGATCTAGACTATTGGGCTACAGAGTTCAACTATGGCATGGCCTTCACCTGTGGTATGCTAGTCATAACTGCATTTGTATATCAATTGTATTTTACATTGTATTTTCAGGAGATCTTGACTATTGGGCTACAGAGTTCAACTATGGCATGGCCTTCACATGTGGTATCCTAGTCATAACTGCATTTGTATATCAATTGTATTTTACATTGTATTTTCAGGAGATCTTGACTATTGGGCTACAGAGTTCAACTATGGCATGGCCTTCACATGTGGTATCCTAGTCATAACTGCATTTGTATATCAATTGTATTTTACATTGTATTTTCAGGAGATCTTGACTATTGGGCTACAGAGTTCAACTATGGCATGGCCTTCACATGTGGTATCCTAGTCATAACTGCATTTGTATATCAATTGTATTTTACATTGTATTTTCAGTAGATCTTGACTATTGGGCTACAGAGTTCAACTATGGCATGGCCTTCACCTGTGGTATGCTAGTCATAACTGCATTTGTATATCTTTGTGTTTTACATTGTATTTTCAGGAGATCTAGACTATTGGGCTACAGAGTTCAACTATGGAATGGCATTCACATGTGGTATGCTAGTCATAACTGCATTTGTATATCTTTGTGTTTTACATTGCATTTTCAGGAGATCTAGACTATTGGGCTACAGAGTTCAACTATGGCATGGCCTTCACCTGTGGTATGCTAGTCATAACTGCATTTGTATATCTTTGTGTTTTACATTGCATTTTCAGGAGATCTAGACTATTGGGCTACAGAGTTCAACTATGGCATGGCCTTCACCTGTGGTATGCTAGTCATAACTGCATTAGTATATCTTTGTGTTTTACATTGTATTTTCAGGAGATCTAGACTATTGGGCTACAGAGTTCAACTATGGAATGGCATTCACATGTGGTATCCTAGTTGTACCTGTGTTGTTACTGGCATTTACCAAACAGGTGATAACCTTTACACATGACATATGCTACATGTAATTCTTACTTAAAGGCTATATTTGATATCTGAATAATATGCAGCCCAATAACCACAAAGCTACATTTTCTGAAGATAGCTATATGATTGCAATGATATTAATTTCACATTTAGCATCAATCTACATCTACATTTGAGGTCATTAAAATCCTGTTTCAAACCATAAATGATCACAATTTTCATATACTTGATATCATGCTTATTTCAGTTGAACATAATTGCAACTAGTATCCTGGGCAGTTTTGCAGTAGTGGTTGCTATTGATGTGTATATTGGCAGCTATATGGCCTATATTATACAAGACTCCATCAGAAAGGCAACTATTGAGGACTTCAGACTTGTCCACACCAAACCACCCTTCCAGACAAGAGGTAAAACAAAACCACTTAGATAAGATTCATTCCACTTGTGTAATGATAGCATGAAAAATTTACTGTAATGCTTTACCTTGATGCTATTTTCAAATTTATCTGAAAAAATATGATAAATCCATCAGAAAGGCAACCAATAGGCTTAGCAGGGTTAAAAATGAGATTGATTGAGCAGCTGAACTGATGTGAAAGTCTATAAAATTGTCCATATCATCCAAATTAAAGTTATTAATAAGCATTATCCAGATTACTGGAGTTACTTACCAATCACCATGGTTGATGTACAAAATTCGTTCAATATTGATGTACCTACGATTTCAACTAATCTAAGATCAAGTATACATGTACTTACATTTAAATATGTATTCCAAATATTTCGTCATGCAAATTTTAGAATGTTCCAATCCTAAACAAGTACAAGGAAATGTTTAAAAACCGGAGAAATTATATTGTTACGATTTGAAGTGAATGGTATACAGTAGAAAAGTTAAAATAATGATCAAGTTATCATTCTTTTTTCAGATATGATACTGTGTGTCATTTGGGTGTTACTTACAATCTGTGGAATATCCTTTCAAAATTGGCGGGAAAAAGACAGAAAACCCTTCCCAGATTGCCCAAATACAATCAGAAAACTGAAAGCACGTCGGAGACTTGCAGAAATGAATACAGAAGGTGCCCCTACTCCCAGAACTCCTCTTCTGGCAGACCAGCAAGCTAGTGCAAGGTCTTATGGGATAGATCCAGGGTCAAGGTCATATGGTTCACCAGGAACAGGTGCAGGTGCTTACCCTGCTAGAACTGTAGACACTAGTGGTTTTGTTGATGCAGGTAACACAGCTACAGATAGACAGATTGATAGATATGCCAGTCAACCAACATAATGACCTTTATCAACACAGGCCTATAAGTCAACTATCTTAAAGGCAGAATCAGATCTATAGGGGGTGACAAAATTACAAGCAACGTGCATAATTGACCTACCAATCTATTCCTTACAATATCAAATACAATATCTCCCAAAAGATTCACAATATGTTATAAATAGGTGAAGTTATTAATGATTCAAAGTGCAAAAATGGGTGAAAAATGTTTAAATTCTCCCAAATAATAAGAATGGTAACCATTCTTATAGAAAAATAATACATTATTGTAAAAGTCTTTCGTTTTCCTTGAATAAAGTATGCACTTTTGTGATATTTAGAAAATAGACATGACAAGGAATGACATGAGCCAAAAATATTCTAAAATTGAAACAATTTTTTGTTAAGCATGCTCGCTATCTCTGATTCTCTCTTTAATGACATATTGACTTAAACCAATATTAGTCATTGAAATTAGGTAATATATGCCAGTCTTCCGATAATTGACTGAAATCAATATGAGTCATTTAAATTAGGCAATATATGCCAGATTATAAGACCAAAACTCGTGATTCAAATTCTGAAGTGAGAAAGAAAGAGAAATTGCGACTGTTTAAATTTTGAATTGTGTACACGGTTATGATGCCCGCATATGGGGAATATTGGAATTGCATTCTAGGATCCAATACAAGTGAATAGCTAAATGGAGGGTAAAATGTGTTTTAACTGCTATACATCTAAGGTATGGGATATATTTAAAAAGGCTCAACATCACCAGTGTGCAATAGTTTAAAACTCTTCTGCAAATCAAGCACGATGGTCTGCACGACCATTCATGAATACTTTTGGTTGACGTTAACATTACCAAGGAGGATTGGCTCCCAGGATCAAAACTCGATATTTTTCAACAATGAAAACCTCCAAACGTCGTTATTTTCTGAAATTATAACCGACTATAAATTCAAAATAAACATATCAAAAGATTCAAACCTATATCATCATCATTTCTTGTGAGTTTTGGAATTTTTCGTAAGTAACTAATGGAAGTAACACCAAATTCACATTCAAATGTTGAAGTGAACAAAATGGCGGTTGTTTGGATTCAAATTTTGTATCACAACTTGTCCATATATGGGACAGAATATCGATGTTGCACTCTGGGAGCCAATCCTTGCATTACCAAATATACTATGCCGTATTATGTCTTAATGAATCACAGAATGTTTAAGAAGAATTGATAAACCATGATTGTGTGGAGGAATAAATCGCGTGGAGGGTGAATTTGACATGCCATGTTGCCAATGCAAGACTTAATACCTTAGAAGTGTAGTAGCTCATTTTCCCATCATTTACCCATCCGTTATCGTATTTATTTGCCATAACATTTGCTTAAAATCAAGAATTGTAAAATAATTTTTTCTACCGTATTGATATGCCGATAAATATTTCATTTTTACTCAATAGGGTAAGCTACCATATAGACATAGATTTACAGAAATTTTGTTCAAACTGTATTTAAAAGATATGTTTGACATGCTTTTGGTGACAACTATAGTTTATTTTCAAAATCTTTAAGCATATACAACAAAATGATACATACATGATTATAAATTAATTATGGAGAACAAAATATTTTAGAAAAGACTGTATGCATGATGGATTTCTCTTTACTCTGTATGAATAGAAAAACTCCCTACTATATCTGCCCGCCCGAAGCGGGACGTAAAGCTATATTTGCCCGCTGATGAAAATATATAGGTTTTTTTATTACAAACACTGCTTTATGTACCTGTAACACGTCCAAGTATAGGATAAATAGAGATTATCTTAATGACATATTGACTTAAACCAATATTAGTCATTTAAATTAGGTAATATATGCCAGTCTTCCGATAATTGACTGAAATCAATATTATGTCTTAATGAATCACAGAATGTTTAAGAAGAATTGATAAACCATGATTTTGTGGAGGAATAAATCGCGTGGAGGGTGAATTTGACATGCCATGTTGCCAATGCAAGACTTAATACCTTAGAAGTGTAGTAGCTCTTATCGTATTTATTTGCCATAACATTTGCTTAAAATCAAGAATTGTAAAATAATTTTTTTCTACCGTATTGATATGCCGATAAACATTTAATTTTTACTCAATAGGGTAAGCTACCATATAGACATAGATGTACAGAAATTTTGTTCAAACTGTATTTAAAAGATATGTTTGACATGCTTTTGGTGACAACTATAGTTTATTTTCAAAATCTTTAAGCATATACAACAAAATGATACATACATGATTATAAATTAATTATGAAGAACAAAATAAGAAATAAAATCTGTGATAAATATGCTAAACAAACTCAATGTGCAATATGTAAGTGTACAATTAACTGAACTAAGCTGAGTGAAAATATTTCTTAATATAGATTAACCCCTTATCACACCAAAGTAGTTCTTACCCGTTCTTGCCAGTCCTACGAAAACGCCGTAAAACGGGCTCAATCTGGCTGTGGTCGGGAAATATGTCTAAAATAATTAGCTACTTCGTTCATAAACAGTCTTCAATACGTCCATCTCATTCGCAGTTCGTTCAGGTCGCACCACGTCGGTGTGCAACGTCGTATAACGCGTCCCTTAGTCTAGAAGTTCATCATGACCTGATTACAGAACGGTATGGTCGTCATCGAATTTTGAATCGATTCAAAATTCTATTAAAATCACATTCCCCGTCCGGAAAAGTCCATGAAGTTCGTAAACAGACCGTAGAACGTTGTAGCTACGTTCATTCAGTTCGCACAAAGTTTAAAACCGATTCGGCAACGTTTTGACGATCACCAGAAAATTTTGACCATGCTCTAAGTTCTGGAGAACCTACTCGTTCGAGTAGTTTCATGAAGTTTGTAAACAGATCCCAAACGGTTCTTAGTTGGTTCTTAGTACGTCAAATCCGTTCGTGCACAGTTTAAGCCCGTTTTCGAGAACGTAGTGAGAACTAGTTTGGTGTGATAGTAGGGTAAGGATGGTACTTCCGTATACTATCTAATATATGAAAAAAGGTCAGGCATGGTTTCTCAAATAATACGAGATAATTGATTGATTATCTTCAATTTAATGATATGTTTCTTTGAAGTTAAATCAGGATAGTAAATATGTCAAACCATGGGCTCTACCACTACTGATAGAGCCCATGGTCAAACTCTCCAAAAAACATTTTTTAGTGGATGCAATCTTGACACATTTTTCAAAATGTCGGACTTGTTATGATACTATCCATTGTTTTCAGCCTCATTTTGGATACCAAAATTTATCTTTTACTTTCAACCCCATTATGCCATTCTACCTTTGAATAACTTTTTTGAATAATTTATCAATGCAATAATATGAGGAAAAAACATTTTCTTTCTCGAAAACAAGTCCGACATATTCAAAAATGATCGAGTTGAGGTTTGGTCCTCATAAGTGGTTTCCATTAGGGAGCCAGATTGATGAATTATTATCCTGGGGATCTAAATTGGAAGAAAGCAAATAATTTTCCATACCATAACATAACTGGTCGCATTGAATTAAGAAAATGTATAAAAAGCTTTTTGATGTACGATATATAATGAATATGACAAAATATTTTAGAAAGACTGTATGCATGATGGATTTCTCTTTACTCTGTACGAGTAGAAAAACAAGAAAAACAAGGCAATTTATCATAATAGGTCACATTTTAGATGGCAGATGTTACCGTTAGAATTTCCATTTCATGAAAACCCAAGGTGAAATCCGAGACGAATATAAAAAAATAATGCATCATTCTGACAGGGAAAGATCAAAGGTGATCAAAAATATCATTTAAATTATTCTATTCGCAAAAATTCAAAATATTCCCACAAATTATTCAGTTAAGTCACGATCATAACTGCATATATAGTCTGGCTTTGGATTATGAATGGTATGTGAATCCCAAATCATTTTAAATAAAAAAAATATGTATTACATCCCTCCAGCACATCAACGAATACAAATTAGAAGCGTCCAATTGAACTTAAAGCGTCCGCCCTGAGATATGCTGCAGAATACAATGCTGATATTAGTCAAAGGATGATGAACTGGCGGCGATATAGTATTGATGATGTTTATTTACGAGGAGCAAATGCAGATCGAGATAGCTTTCTTTCTCCTTCCGCAGATCCAGATAGCTTTCTTTCTCCTTCCGCACAATACTTTTTAGGGGAATCTATAACAAAATTACAAGAAAACAATGACATTTAATATTCATTGTGCATTTATAGTCATGTTCCTTCGGGTTTAGATCCTTTCACTAAACTATTTTCTAATGTTTAAGAGTTATTTTTGAATTGCACGTAAGATTTTAAAGTGTTTACCAGCTGCACTTTCTTCACACCTGCATCCACTTCCACAAGATTTGAATCCCAATCCACACCGCTGTGTGAGGCCACATTTTCCATCAATTTCCCTCTCTCGTCGCAGAAGGGAGTTCAACGATATTCCATGATTCTGAATATTGAAAAAATGATACACATTCTGATACTCATAGCATCTTTCTGTTTCACCAGAAACATGCTCTGATACTATGATGGCAAGCGGCGATCTCTGCTAGAAAATTCAACCAATCTTGAAGATTTATTATTTCAAGAGAAAGTTTACTCATTGAGTTATTGCTAGTTGAATAGGCGCACAACATGATGGGGAAATATTTTAGGTTTTGTAGGATTGGTCTATACTTATAAGGGACGTTATTATCACATAACTAATGTTATTGTTGACTTTTTAAAGTTAGTTTCCATACATTATATAAAAGATACTCGAAAAGTTGAACGAAGAGGGGAATGAACGGAGGGGGAGGGGACTATTACGTCTATAAGATAAATATATGATCGATGTTCAGGATATAGGGATTATAGGCCAATATAATATATCTGCCCGAGGGCCGTAGTCTTGCTCATCCGGATTACATTGTTCTATATTCATGTCCAGTCTTTTCTTAGCCATCGTAGGAATTTTTTATTCTCTCAGATATTCATCCACATTTATAAATCGCTTTATCCAATACTTAGACGTGTTAAAGGAACATAAAGCCGGTTTGTAAAAACTTATATTTTCATCAGCGGGCAGATACAGTTTTACGTCCCGCTCCGAGCGGGCAGATATAGTATATCTAATACTTGGACGTGTTACAGATACAGATATAGTATATCTGCCCGCTACGACATAATCCCTGTTCCCATATTGGTTCATTCTTTGTAACGTTCGTATACTGTAAACGACGATGGAGAAAAACGCAGACAATCGCGATCTGTTTGATGCTTTAAAGAAGGGAAGGAGCAGTATGCCCTGTTAATAAGCAAAGATTCGAACAGGAAAATCCGGCTACGGACAAGAATATAAAACTGGACATGAATATTCTAAAATAATTCCATCGTCGGTTGCAAAGTTTCTGAACTGTGGGCAATTGAACAATGTGAACCAAATGATCAAGATTGGAATGGGATAAACAGATCATCCTATAGTCGGTTCAGGATATTGGGATTATCCCGAGGCCAATATAATATATCTGCCCGAGGGCCGTAGGTCCCGAGGTCCCGAGGATAATATAGGATAATCTCTATGTTAAAGAAGGGAAGGAGCATCCGGTTGATCAAAAATTCGAGAAAATAATGTGGGAATATTCAACAGTTCAAAAGAACAGGAAAATCCGGCCACGGCCAAGGAAACAAAACTGGACATGAATATCCTGAAATATTTCCATGGTTGAACTGTAATTTCGGGGGCCAATTGAACAATGTGAGCCAAATGACCAAGAATGGTATAGGATAAACAGATCATCCTATAGTCGGTTCAGGATATTGGGATTATTCCTTGGCCAATATGATATATCTACCCTCGGGACCTACGACCCTCGGGCATATATATTATATTTACCTCGGGATAATCCCAATATCCTGAACCTCATATAGGATAATCTCTATGTATCTCATACTTGAGTGAGTTTGGGGTAGATATAACCCGGGAATATATATCATATCTGAGGAGCGGGCGGGATATATTGTATATGTCCCGCTCCAGGCCAAATGCGGGCAGATATAATATATCCATCCCTCTCCCGGAAATTTTTCATAAGTTTAAAAAAGTTTAAAGATCAAAAAAATTAAAGTTTGAAGTTAAATTTTTAGAAAGTTTAAATGTTACAATTCTATTGTATTGAACTAAAGGAATTTTACAAAATTGTTAATTATAAATTGTGATTTTACTATATCACGCGGTACTAACTTCGACCTTGGTCCCTCCGGTCCCTCAGTTAGATATAAATTCATCCCTCGGGATATACCCTATATCCACATGAAGTCAGAGAATAACCACTCCTCATGTGGGAGAGGCGAAGACGCCCGATAACATTTTAACGTTTGCTTGTCCTTGATTCCTTTAGATTCAGTAGCTTAGCGATTAATTGGGAGTTTTCTAGAACGAATTTCAGTCAATGTTGTTATGTTAGCTGGATTTATTGAATTTGATTTATTGAATTTGAAAGCATTAAGATTTAATGGGTATATTGAAACGCACGCTCCTTTTCGTCGTTTTCGATCATCCCGTGATTTTGAGCCAACGTTTATATTAAATCAAAAGCTTACCATAGCAACTAAATTCAACAAAAGCAACATCACAAGAAATCCGTGTTTCCCCATCTTGTTATATTATCGTTTAGGTAGTTTGTTCCTTATTTAGGCGAAATCAGTACTGATGATCAGATCCTGTGCCGTGCGAGTGTTCGAGTCGCTTGTGTGTCACTTGTATGTTTAATTTGAGAGTCGCATCAATAGATTCACTTAATCACCAACACCCTTGACACACGGAGTTTACGTGTGTGTACATGCAACACATCATGTGCCCAGATTACTAGTGAAGGTTTAATAAACATTTTAGATGAAAAGGAGAAAAATCAGTACCGAGTTTTGTATTAAAAAAGAAGGACAATGAATTTGTTTATGCAACACTGAAATATTAAAACCATTAAAGATACGGGACTCCAGATACATGTGAAGCTATCAATATTTTTAACAAAACCCCAATAACCTTAACCCACTGTACAATTTTTAGGAATGTGGTCGTGATCTTGAATATTAATTGTAAAAGCTCATGTATTTTGCAAGTAACTTAGTTTTTATTAAATAGTGTATCCGTCACATACATTCTACGAGGGTAAAAAATGTACAATTTGTTTTAAGCTGCCATTTCTTACCAAAGGGTAGTTTTTTAGAAAAGAGTTCTGATCCACTTTCGTAATCATTCCATGACCATGTGGTCTAGAACTGTAAACTTCACTCTCTTCTTTCCTTTTACAAGAATGCTCAGTATAAGGTTCGTGAAAAAAGTATATTATTTACACTGTATGTACATGTGCAGTACCGTAGCTATATACAGTATCTGGAATGCATGGGTAACGTACGTAGAATCCCATGACTATCAATAATGTACAGTTCATGGAACCAATTGATTGGTTTAGGCGAGGCCAAGTGATGCCACCATTTAGTAACCACACCAACTACAATGTCTATCCCATTGTCCCCTGTATGAGAAACCTCTCATATCGATGTCCTTCACCCTTTTTGTTGTGCGGTTTTGTGTTGTGATAGCAGAGTACATTTCGTTGTATTACAAAGTTGTGAAAGCCTCGTCTCCAATGGGCTTTCCTTTGTAGTCAAGATTGTGGTCGGGTACATACGCATCGTTGATGTTGCCGTTGTGTAGTATATGTCCATTTAGAGGGTGGTCCAGTTTAGAAGATATTGAATCTATTGGGTCAATTTCAACAGACTCAAGTGGAATCTCTTTCCTAAGTTGTTGATGTGAAAGCTTTTCTACTACACCTGCACCAATAGAATCACCGAGGACATTAACTGCCGTGCGGAAACGATCGCTAAAACGACAAATATACATGTACTGTAAGACTCGTCAATAAATAACAAATGACTTCTATCATACAATCAAATATCTAATAAGCACGGTGACAAAGGGGGATAGAGGCCCATGGAATGTAAACGTATAAAAACAGGGAGAGAAATTAGTGATGCAAAACCAGTTAGAAACAAACTCAAACATCAACAAATATGTGATTCAAAGCTTTACGTCACGTATGAAACTCCATCCCGTCTTCTCAACCATCGAACAACAGTATCACAATCGAACCCCATTTCAGTCAAAATGAAGACATATCACATATGATATGCCGGGGACTTATTAAACTATTCAATACATAAAGATTATTTAATCAAGGGGCAATAGAAATACTGCACATTTAACGGAAAGGAAGATGGTACCTTGGTCTATTCGAGTCTGTCATCTTATATACGTAGACTACATACAAACAATAGTGCCATCTTTCTTTCAATACAATTTCATTTTCAAAACTTACAGGAACCAGTCTACTGTAATGATGAGAGCAATGTCATCGACGGGTAGGTTGACAGCAGTCAGTACAATTGCCATAGTAACCAAGCCTGCCTGTGGAATACCCGCGGCACCAATCGACGCAAGTGTTGCTGTTAAACTAAAATGGAAACGTATACCAATCTTGGGACCTTTTACCCTACTATCACACCAAACTAGTTCTCACTACGTTCTCGAAAACTGGCTTAAACTGTGCACGAACGGATTTGACGTACTAAGAACCAACTAAGAACCGTTTGGGATCTGTTTAAAAACTTCATGAAACTACGAGAACGAGTAGGTCCTCCACAACTTAGAGCATGCTCAAGATTTTCTGGTGATCGTCAAAACGTTGCCGAATCGGTTTTAAACTGTGTGCGAACTGAATGAACGTAGCTACAACGTTATACGGTCTGTTTACGAACTTCATGGACTTTCCAGGACGGGGAATGTGATTTAGAATTTTGAATCGATTCAAAATTCGATGGCGACCATGCCGTTCTGTTATCAGGTCATGATGACCTTCTAGACTAAGGGACGGTTTACACTACGTTGCACTGGACTTGGTGCGACCTGAACGAACTGCGAATGAGATGGACGTATTGAAGACTGTTTATGAACGAAGTAGCTAATTATTTTAGACATATATCCCGACCGCAGCCAGATTGAGCCCGTTTTACGACATTTTCGTAGGACTGGCAAGAACGGGTAAGAACTAGTTTGGTGTGATAGGGGGGTTACTAACTCTGATATATGCGATTACCTTATTTATAAAACATTTATAAGGTAGATCTCTTCGGAAAGTGCAAGACAAAGTGGCGTGTATATCGTTAAGAATTAGATACAAATGGATGACAAAACAGTGGGCGATATTAGGCCTCATATTTTTTTTTCAACATTATAGTTGCGAAAATGTTTGAATATATATATGGTATTTTAGAAAGCCTTATTGATGACCTACATATCTAGCTAACTCACCGTACCTGATTGTAATTATTTGTCCAATGTCCAAAGGAATGTTGTTAATTTGTGCAATAAAGATGGCGGCCACTGCTTCATAGAGGGCGGTACCATCCATATTGATAGTCGCTCCTATTGGCAGAACGAAACGTGTTACCCTCTTGTCCACACCAAGCTTTTCCTCCAAACAGTTGAACGTAACGGGCAGAGTTGCAGAACTATTGAAGATAAAAAATATTCATAAGGCTGAGCTTATTAACTAAAAAGAGGGACTAAGATATCATAAAGATGTACACATATTCAAGAAAATTCACTTAACTATTTGAAAATTTATACTTTTGACACATCCTTAGGCTTTAATGTCCAATAAGATAACAATTTAGACAGGTAAAAATAACGACCGCGCGAGACACATTAAATTGGAAACGTACCTTGATGATGTTCCGAATGCAGTGACCAAAGCTTGGAGGACGCCATAGAGAAACTTAAAGGGATTCTTCCGAACGATAATCAAGTAAATGAGTGGTAGAATAATGAGTGAATGGATGCCTAGACCTGCCAGGACAGTGACTGTATACATGCCCACTTTCTGCACTGTCTCCCCGATGTCCTCCATTGCTATTAGTTTGGCAGCAATTAGGAACATGACACCAATGGGGGAATACCTGTAAACATTCCAAGATTAGATCATATAGATGGCGTATCCATGCATGGGGTTATCAAGAGGGTCCAGCTATGTGGTCATTTTTGATGTTTCTTCAAAACTTTCTTTTTGATAACTTTAACTAATCAAAGAGACTAAGCTAGACGTATAAGCTGCTGTTCTGAATTCGAAACACTCATGTTCCAGAGGATTGATAGTTAAAGAAGCTAGTGACATATATTATTACAAGTAAAACCCCTTACCATATGACGAGATACACAAGCTTCATGACCGCCTCATTTAAACCGTCAAAGAAAAGGACGATGATTTTCGCCCTTTCTCCGAGGCGACTAAGGACAACTCCAAGGGCGATTGTAAAGACAAGGACTCCCAGGATGTTCATCCCATCTCTCTTATCGAGCACTGCAGTTCTGGTTATTACTACAATATTCGGAATAAATAAGTACAAGTAAATAACATGTTTTCCAATGAGGTTTCAGTTGTGATCAAGTGACATGAAAACGTAATCATTTCCGTCATTTTTAGCATTTGCTAGTGTTGCGGAAACTATTGTTGCTGTTACAATTGCCCCTATGAGCTGGGTGCAAATTGAATTTGAACAAAGTTGAGTATGATGATAGTAGTCATATCATATTCTCAACTAGGTACATCAATCACCTGCTTTGAGAATACTGTGTATTAAGACTTACGTGTGTTTATGAATCAAAGTTAATTAAATAATTTGATGAAATTTAAAATCGATTGTCATCAAAGATGATCTTTTCAACTACATGTACTTACCTGACGTGTTTGTGCCATTGATAACTTGAAAGCTTGTTGACACTCGGTAGTTAGTTTTCGCCTGAAATTTAGAATAGAAATTGAGAATCACAACTCTCATGTTTGCTCCAAATTGGTAAACTAGTGATATATTTGGCTTTACGTGTACAATATGCCAGGAATTTGAGACATTGCGAAAACAATTAAGGGGATAGTCCAGCTTTATGCTTTTTGTTGTACGTATTTCAAAAATGCACTCACCGAACGAAACGTCGCCTCAACTAAATTATCAGGTAGCATGTTGCTGAAAATACAAATCCAGTCATTATCTTCACTTGCAGACACAGACAGATGGTTAAATAATATGTAGCTGTTAATTCTACATCTGAGCGATAAATGTTGCACGTCCCTCTAAAAGTTTGGCAGTTCAAATTTAAGTCAATTTTCATACTTCAAATCTCAAACTTGAGAGGATTGCATATATGAGTTCTAGGGGTAATTAAAAAGACACATAGCCAACCAAGTGACATTCATGCACGCTCTCTCGAATTATTGAGCAACTTTTTCTAATTTCGATTACCATCAATCCCATCAATAGAGCCTCAAAAAGACGGCAAATGGCCACCGGAACGCGCAAGGTTGCTCATCAAGGAGTACCAAGGCAGTAGACGCAAACAAATCGTAAGAAGCAATATCATTTAAATCATCACTCTGACAATGGACATATCTAAGTTCGAATTCAACTATGGAAGGCATTTTATTTTTCCTCTAACATTGGTAGAACTTAATTTCAGAACTAAACATTCACACTAAAACTCCAAATGGCATGATTTTTAGGATCATCACAAGCATACATCTCGACTTTTTCGTGCAGTACCATATTGTTTTCCCAAGGTGAACATGGTGACACCAACCAATTCAGTTTATGTACATTTGTAAGTAGGGTTGATGGACACTTGAAGATCTATGTGTCAATACCATAAATATTAAGTTGTTTGTATTCGAGACAAATCTAAATACAATATGGAGAATGCTCATTACATATTAACAGACATTCATGATTTTCAGAATTATCCTAGGTAGAATTTAAACTTTTTATGTCTTTAAACGATAAGATACGATGCCATGTTTGGAATTCAGCAAATGAAATAAAGGAATCTTTTTCTGACAGGGTAATCACTAAGAAAGAACTCACTAATGAAGAACCTCAGAACATGTTTGTGTTTTTCCTTTTTGTATTTTCAATTGACATTTTTATGTCAGACAAAATTGGTGACATATTAGCTATATTGAAGTCTCGAGCTCCAACTTTTTTGTAGACAGTATTCGGCGTTCGGTGGTTGGTGTTCGGCGGTGGGCGTCTGTAACAATTGGCAAGTGGTGGAACTTTGTATGTTAATGTCTCGTTTCAATTTATCATTATTATTGCATAATATTTTCATTTTAATCAATATCATTGTGATAATACGAAAATGAATGTCTTGCTATTCCTTATGATGCTATTTATAGGTTCTCACTCGCCAACTTGAAATCAATATTATGAAATTGATGAGAGTAATCAATTTCACTAATCTGAAAATAGCCATACCTCTGTTGTAGCATTAAAAATGAATATTGTTTGAAATACTGTGTTTTGATTGGCTGTTTGATATAGCATGCCTATGAGATATGCATGAGCTTCTTCAAAATTAAGTTAATAAATTAGATCAACATTGTTTATACCTTGCCTACTTGCGATAACCCGATTATTTTGAGCTATAAAGTTCATTAAAAAGGCACAGTGAACTTATTGCGCAGTGCTTTGATTTACGATTACGTCATAAATGTAAGTTCAGAAAATACTTAATAATATTGTAATGTGATTGGTAGAGCTCTAGTTGCTATTAGGTTTTTGCTGTTCAAATGATATGACAAATGTAAACATCTGAGAGAGAGACGGATGAGGTCAAAATATAGTACTTTATATGAGTATTTATTAAGAGAACTTAAGTGATTAGATTAGATGCTTGTAAATTAGAAACCTCAATAGTGAATAGTGAACCTATTGTATTTATCAAAAAGTAATGATAACTTTCATGACATGCTAGAACTATTTCCTGGTAAATTATCTATATATAGTTCAAATGTCATATTCTGATACTCATTACATGGTAACTGGTCAAGTCGTACCCAAGACAACTCGTACCCAAGTCAAGTCGTACCCAAGACAACTCGTACCCAAGTCAAGTCGTACCCAAGACAACTCGTACCCAAGACAACTCGTACCCAAGACAACTTGTACCCAAGTATATCTTTTGTTTTGAATCAAGTGTTGGGCTGGGAATGGGTATAGATATACATATACATATTATAACGGTTACATACAGTTCAGAATAGTTTGAAGTATGTAGAAGAGTTTTTGAAATTCATCTTGAAATATGGTATTATCAAAAATATAAAGATTTTCGCCTATTTCTTATTAAACAGATAATCTATTTAGGATTTCATATTATCAGATTAAAGAATGATAATTCTAAGAAGTCACCTTCATAAAATTAAGCAATAAAAAATATTCTAAATAATATGAATATCAAATATTATTTTGATACTATTCATACATGATATAATACACTTTGCATGCATGCGTTCAAATATAATCCAATTAGTTCAAAATGGAAAAGATTAAAAGTTTAAAGTTCCCTTATTAATTTTCTCTGAATGCACTAAGCTATAAATTAATTGTTTGATTCATTTGTTGAAAAGTTACTGTTTTAATTATATTCATTTATATGTATGTATTACAAAAAAGTTGAGAACAAGCCCTTCAAAGCACTTCAAATGTAATCCAAGTTAAAACAAAATGCTTTGCTTAATCCATTGAGAAAAAATGTCTTCTAAATTCAGAAAAAATATTGAGGCACATTATAACATTAAACATTTTGACACAGACTCAATTTGTTTTCTTATATGCACCCATAATACAGAAAATAAACGTGGGTACGAGTTGTCTTGGGTACCAGTTGACTTGGGTACGAGTTGTCTTGGGTACAAGTTGTCTTGGGTACGAGTTGTCTTGGGTACGAGTTGACTAGGAAGCCATTACATCTCTCTGACTTCAACTAGAAAGAAGCTAAAAGCAGGCCATGATTTCTCATGATGCAAATATTAGGTTTGCCATCTTTCACCCGAAGAGGTTAATAGTAATGTACAAATAGGGAATACTCATATAGCCTAGTACATTAAGTAGATGACGCTCTCTTTTAAGTCATACAGGCAAAAACAAACTATTAGGAATTAGTAATATGCAGGGACATTGCTTTATATGGTTGTCGCCAATTCAGAGTATCTAAAGAAGGAGAAATGTTGGATAGTTCCTATTCAACTCGAATAACGAAGCACACATTAAGCGCCTCTATATTTGAAAAACAAAACAATCTTCCTAAATGTTAAACACTAACTTGGGCACATCCCTTATCATAAATCAGGATCACAGTGACTTTACACATAAAGCGTTCATTATTTGAATAATGGGAGAGTCAGAAGAATCAATACATTTTCTTATATCACTATTATAATACGGTTACTATTAGTTTAGCAATGTGATGCATACACTGAAGTGAAAGAACTGTTTTTGGGAGTTTACAGTTCTTTGGTTAATAAAGTGTGATTTGCATAGACAGAATAGAAATGCAAATTCCACTGAAAAGTTTAATATGGTATGTTGGTCTCTTTTGTAAATATTGTCAATTAAAATAAAGAATTTGAAAAAGCGTTAATACATCCTCTTACGAAACTGCATGCATTAGCTAGATAATTGTATTGAATCATTAATAGGCCTATGCATGTCGCTTGAAATTTATGTTGGCCAAATAAACTATTAAAATGTCAACGATGGATACCCCTTCGAAAAGTTTGGCCAAACATATCCCATATCGGATTTCACATTAACGCCTGTATGTTTTGCAGTTAAAACAATCATCTGATTTTAAAGGAATGTTATAAAAACCCTTGGACCTGCACCTTCGACCTTCAGCTTCGACCTACAGGGTATCCAAAAAGCGGGCCAAAAAGAAAGTTATAAAAACCCTTCGACCTGCACCTTTGCCTTTTCTTATGAAAATTGTCAAAGTCCAAAAATATTTCTTTGAAAAACGACTAAGTCCAACTTCACATAGATTATGAAATTGAACGGAGCTCTGTCCTCTGTCCTCCTGTCGAAAGCTATAGCTGTCATCTCTTGAGTTTACATCGGCGAAATACTTTATATGCCTGGTGACGTCATCACTTTTCGGACAAGATTTGAAAGTTAAATAACAAGTTATTGACGCCATATCCCGTTTTAATATTGATCACACAACAAGACTATGAACTTCCATTTAAACTACCCGATTGACTACCCGATCAACATCAACAGAATCTTAATTTGATAACATGAAAACGCTATTTCACCCCTGTAACTATACCTAGAGTACTGCAAACGTTGCTACAATTTAAGATCTTAACGATCTCACCTGTGAACCACAAATCAAGTGACTCTTGCGTGGTCTGAGATCGGCAAAAATAGCTTCTATAATATTTTCTTTTTTGGACACCCTGTAAGTCGAAGGTGAAGGTCGAAGGCGCAGGTCGAAGGTCAAAGGGTTTTTATAACATTCCGATTTTAAACATGTTATACTAATATAGAACGAGTTGCACTAATAGAATATCAGGATTGCCAAACTTGTAGAGGGGTTTATGATGAAGGTTAAATAGAATGCTTACTATACAAGATCAAGTGCAGTGTCAGCGGCATTGACGGAATCGTCTGTTTGTGTTCCAGTAGCATTTGTAGTGCTTCTGTCCAGTTCCCCAGGTTTAATGGAAACAACAAGCACAATGCCAAGAATAACAGCAATAATGGTGGTGGAAAAGTAGTAGATAACTGCTCTGCCCCCGAGCTTTCCAGACGCATTTGCGTCCAAAGAAGCTAACCCCGTGATGAGAGATGAAACGATGAGGGGAAGAATCATCATCCTGAGCATGCGCAGCAACAAGTCACCAGGAAGAGAGAAGTATCGGAGCTGGGTCGTAGTCATCGGTGGATTTAGTGAGCGAAGCGCAATTCCCATTACGATCCCCAACACCATTCCCAGTATTAGGAAAATGAGCAGAATGTTATTTTTCAAAATGTCTAAGCATATCCGCCCTTTACTTTTCTTTGCTTTCTTGGTGGGTTCCTCATCAATGTCCAGTTCAAGTTCCATATCGGGCGGTGATCTCAATTCCCCATCCATAATCGGATATTCTAGTTTGTTTAAAAAATTGTTTGATTCGTTATCAATAGAATTAATTCTACGATGTTATAATACTGTGTTTCCCGATATACGACCACGTTATGTACGTCTGATCCTCAAGTTTGTCAAGAGAGCTAAGAAAATGTGCAAACCATGTACTACAAGTCCTTATATAAAATTCACTAGATTAAGCAAACAGTGATCTGTAATTCATGAGGCAGTCTATTGAACTTGCAAATTTGCGCGAGGCACTTTCAAGTGAATCCTATTGAATTTATGGCATATAACAAACATACAACAATTATATACATATCAGGCCTTTCTTACACATTAAGGCCTAGCACTTGTTTTATTGCCCGTAATAAATAACTTTGATTGGATATCATTTCACATACGTATGTACTATCCGGCACCTGATAACCCGGTTTTTGAGATTGTGATGCATAGGAATAAACAAAACAATATTCAGATTATCGGGACATTTGAAATCTATAGGATGACATTGTGTGATTTAGACTATACTTGACTTGTACTTTACTTGTACTTTACTTTCCCATTTAATGACCATTGAGGTAAAAGAAGGAGATAAGCCAATATTCACATTTGACCAGTTATCTCTTCGTTCAGAATTGCAATATTTTATTGTTTTTTCCTCTGTCGATAAAAATATATGAGATAGTCCCTGGAGTTCGGTGGCGATTATATGATTCTACCATGTGATAGCGAAAACTATGTCCTGATGAACGTAGGTTTTAAAATATAAGCAGGGGGCCATTAACAGAAACTTCTTAAAGTTGAGAATTCATAATATCCATTGTTCTCTAACTGTGACGTCATTATATCCATGGTTACAACAATTGATTTACTAATTGACCTTTTGCGATCAGAATTCAGGAATTTTGTTTATGGATACTGTTGTCATGTATTTCGTCTTATTGGTGTGACGTCATATAGAAATGATATTAGACATGATGGAATCACGAAATGGCGGACACTTGGCAGTTTTGAGCTAAAAATATTGTCGTTTCTTTTATGAAAACCATGAGTCGGATATTTACCAGTTAAGCCACATTGACTAGATCATGATTATTTCTATATATGTGCGAAGTTTGGGTGAAATTCATACTAAACATCGATGCCTATTAGCGCCCCCCGTTTTTGTCAAAATCGGGGGGCGCTTAACCGCTATCTAAATCATGTCAGTAAGATCTTAGACTTGGTATGTGCTTAGCATGAATGTTGATCTAGTCAAATAGAGCGCTTTCATGAAAAATGAATCAATAAAGCACGAAATATAGAAGATAATCTCTCAAAATCAAACATCTAGAGCTAGGTGACCTAATTGTGACGTCACTACAAGATAGAATCCATTCGGTGATCGCAAATCATCAATTCGTAGGGTAATGGCATTGGTGTGTTATTCCCTATCTTCATTCACGTAGAGAGAGGCCGGACATCCCGATCCTGTAGCGGATCTTCTTATTTTTGGGAGTGGTGACTTAGACAATGTCTTGAGACATCACCTGTATTAAACACGCACATGTCATGCAATCTGTGTTTATGGTGAGAGGTCTCGGTCGGGGGGCCTGGCAGACAAGGTCTAGTAGCTAAGCTTCCCCTAACCAACGTCAGTACTCATGTGACGGGTAGTGTATATTTGGTAGATCCTAGGGTAATGACATTGGTGTGTTATTCCCTATCTTCATTCACGTAGATTAATAAAAAATTGTCATAAGTTTTTCGATTACCGACACATATTAAGTTGAGGTCGCACTTTTAACAGAAATAGAAAATACTTCTTTACCTAAACCGTAGGCAGAAATCCTATATCATTCAGTATGGATGCAGTCCTGTGTAAGAAATACTAGCGGTTAGTGATTTGGTTTTTCTTTATAAAAAGTCATTTTCTCCTTCCCTACCTCATTGGAGTGCCATCTGGCGTTTGGGAAGTGAATCGGGACTCACTATTTATAAGGTAGGTCCTAATTTATCTGAAAACATGTCAAAGTTCAGTGGGAAATCTCATTTTAAGCTGGCGGCGGAGTAATTTTGACCGTGGTGATTTTACCAGAATTTTTTGAGAAATCTGACGATAGAGAGTGTCTTCATCAGGTTTATTTATCTCACAAATTCGGTGGACAACCCATGGTAATTTTGTTATAGCAGGCTAGGCAAGTCTCTCCCGAACACTTTAGTATGTTGCACTAGGCTTGGATACTAACCGTTAATAGTACAATAACGTCATTTCAAAGGGCAATATAGTGAAATATTGGACCAAGGGCCACAGGCCCAAGGTCCAATATTTCACTATTTTGCCCGCAGAAATGACGTTATTACTATTATTACCACCGTTAATGCCCAGGGCTGAAATAGCAAATTTGAAATAGAAAATCTTACGCACTGAACGATATCACTTTTCCCGGGAAACATAGCCAGGCGGATAATGTCATTATTGCCCGACTAAAGTCATTAACGCCCGACACAATATTGCTCACGTCAATATAGCAATTTAAATGCCTTCTCAACTATATCTAGTACTAGAACCCCTAGAACAGGCCCTGCAAGGTGGTAATAATAAGATATACTAGTAGTATAAAATGTTATAATGTTATAATAATATCTTTTAATTATCATATTTGTTGATCTTGAGAACTAATGTATTAATACCAAAAAACACAACAAACATATCCTAATCAATTTATTTAGTACTTGTGAATCGTACTTGAATTATATGTCATCTATACTTACAATATGACCATGATGAGACCGACTTTGTATAGAAGTATACATATAATTTGAAAAAAAATCAGACCAATATTTGGAATTTCACTTCGATTCTTTTATGTTTTACAAAGAATCTTATCTAGTTATCTAAAGTGGCAATGTTTTAAACAAACTAAGAAAGATATGTTGACATATTTTTGTTCTCTTTAGAAGTTATCAATTATATTAAACCATATCTATCTCAATTCATTTGTTTACAATACATGTGCCAACTACTTATCACTTCTGAGAAATTGAAAAATACACTAACCGGGTTTTTGCGATTGTGACGTGCAGGAATAAACAAAACAATGTTCAGACTATGGGGACATTTGAAATCTAGGATGTGTGGACTATACTTGACCTGTACTTAACGTGTGTTCTAATTTCTCATTTAATAACAATTGAGGTAAAAGGAGATTTTCAAAAAATTTCAAAAATTCATCAAATTCATCATCGATTTTCGACCTACATGTATTGTAATTGAGGAAATTTTTTTAGAAAATTTGGAGGTATTGGAATTAAAATCAAATTACGTTTCCATCAATAGTATAAGTATTTTCATCGCAGGTTAAGTAAATAAAAATTCAAAGGTAAAGAGGCTTTAACACGTAGTTCAATGGGGAAAAAAGGTTGCCAAACTTATGGAGGGGAGTGTAGACCAATGTAATAGAAGTTCATATCCAGAATTCATTTCTACACGAATATATGGACTAAAATGGGGAATTGAATATGATATCGAAGAAATGAAAGGTTTTATTGTGATGGGAAAAATTGGTTTACATAAATATATAGACTAGTGACTCAATCGCATAAGCACTAAAACGACTATATTGTTTGAGCATTACGTACAAACAGACAAATTAGTTTATTTTTGTGTATTGCTTATTTTTAATCATCATTTTCGTTGATCTTAAGAACTAACATAATAACACAACAAACATATTCCAATCAATTATTGACTTATCAATAATTATATATTATTCATACTTAGTACAACATGACCATGGTAAAAAAATCGGGCCAATATTAAAAGTTCACTTTGATTCTCTTGTTTTACGAAGAATCTTATCTAGTTATCTAAAGTGGCAATATTTTGAAATACAGTGCTGAAAATTATTATCAATGTACGAAAGACATGTTGATATGTATTTATTCTATTTAGTAGTTATCAATTATAAACAATACCTATCTGAACTCATTTGTTTACATGATCCAACTACTTGTGTGTGTTATCAATTTTAGAGATGAAATTATCAGTTCAGAGAAATCAACTAAATCGATCGCCCTTCATTTGATACTGACCAATGTGTATGGGCGATTGGTCACACGTATAGGTTGGCTTTTCGATTTTATATGCAAGCTTGAACTCCCTAATATATGTCGCCTATATACACGGGGTTAATGAGTTGCGTATTTAAGTAGATAAATCAATTTTATCCCATTATACTACTACATGTACGTATTGTTAAAATTGATGTAATGTGTTTATGTTATATACAATAACATTTTTATTTTTCAAAATGTCATAAAGTTTAGTCATATTTGTAAATTAAGCATATAGTCTGGCTTTGTTTCATACAAAAATCAGATATGGATTTTGAGTCATAAATATCATAGAATAAAAAGCATAGGTTGGTCGGGATTAAATATGGGGTTATATATGAAACCCATATTGAATCCCTCTCAGTAAATAACCTCTGTATTTATCCTTATTTTGAATTAAGCGAAAAACAATTGGTATTACACAAGAAATGGGTATTTTCGCATTCCTGGGTCTCGTGAAAGGATTTTTATGTCAAAAAAGAAGGTCATGCAATGTAATTCACAACTTTCAAATCGATTCGTAGAAAATGATTTAATTCAAGTGATCAGAAAACAATCAGGTATTGAATCAGAGAGCACTTAAAAGTGTCAATTTGCAGTGTTATTAATACTGAGAAATTATACGTTTGTATGTTTATGTCTCGGTCTATGCTTGTCGTTTGTTCAAAATACTTACCCTGCCATACGTGGATAGTGCACACTCTTAAATAAACCAATTATGTAGTGAATTTCCTTTCTGATGCTGTTGATACAGAGTTACTGAACTGAACATCCCTACCCACCTACCTATGGCACACATTCAATTCATCTGAAAATTAAGATGATTTTCAAACCAGTTTTTGGAATGTAGTAATGTGCATTTTATATCGCTGGAATACAATTTATAGACAAATATCTGAAGAAATATAGAAATACAGAAATGAAGTTCTTAATAGTCTAAATTTGGTTCTCCTATTGCTTCTTGCCTCGCCTATTCCCCTGGCACGGCCCCTGAATATAAAAACACTGATAGCCAAGCATTGCACATACATTATAATGGTATAGATGTAGGTTTTGATCTACCGAGAGAGGTCTATATATTCTTGCTTCAATGTTTATTTCTTCTGTATGCCATTGTACAATCATGGACTTCGTGGCTGTGGAGGTCTTAACGACGCCAGGATCGACGAACGCTCTTTGAAAGGTTCAACAGATGACGATGCTTTCATATTCGTTTCATTTAAAGGGCGTACAGCGCCACCTGGTTGTTGCTGGGTCTCGGCATACTGAATCGCTTCTTCACTGATACACAACAAGGCATAGATCTTAGGGACAAAGAACATAACGAGTGCAACTGTGCAGTTCAGTAGCAACGCAAGCGAGAGGATAATGATTTTCAGGAACCCCTTCCCAATGGTTGTCGTGAAGTAGATAGGAATGAGGGCGCACCAGATGACGAGTGTGGTGTATACACACATAGATATGAAACGGCTCTCGTTGAAGTTATCGGGGAGTTTTCTTGTCTTAAAGGCGTAGAAAGCACATAGAAGAACCTGTAAGATTAGATGAAATGACATCAAATAATTGAAGAAGCACACTTTCAAACCTGGAAGACTATTATTTATCCCCAAGTATTTATCATCATACAATGGTAGAAAGCACGGATACGAACCTGGGATATTATATTCCGATGGTCAATGTCCAAAATTTAATTGTAAACATTGATATAATTCAATTTCTAATATTATCAATATGTGGCAAGTATAGTCTGCCATAAAACACAGATTCCAGCCAGAACGTTTTTTCACAATGCAGTATCAAAAACCGTAAAAGTAATAGTTGAATTATAATTCATTCATGGTTATACAAATCGTTGTACTACATACTCAAAGCGCCCTGGCCCAATATCTATTCAATGAAATAACATTAAGATATTCAATCATTTAAAGATGGCATTACAATGCAAATATACCAGCCATTTAATATATAATTATTTCAAGTTCAGTTAATCAAAAAACTACATTACACATGGTATGTATCCGATAGCAAGATGTGGTATTTTAGGCAGTTTAATATGTTTTGTATAAAATTGTATTTAAGAAATTTCTGAAACTGATGTAAACATGAAACAATAAATTCTTCAGGTAAACTGAAAACGCTGATTTATAGTATGTTAATGTTCTTTTAATATAACACTTGAAGCGTCGTTAAAAAAATAAAAATGCATGATATTTGATTATGATTTGCTAATATCAACAACGAGTTTGTTACAATAGAGACATTTCCGTGAATTTGCCCCCAAAATATAACACGTATTTGGTACTGAATAACAAATACCATCATAGTAGTATATCACTGCTGTAAATAAATTTACACCAATACCGTTTTTGTTCCACGCGCGGGAACACTAACCAACACATTCACTATTTGGGGAACGGCTTATCCTATCATTTACGGAGCATTTTATTAATTAAAATTCAACTCTCATTCACGAGAATACTTGTTTTTGGGCTCTTGTCCCAAAGATTAATCATCATATAAGACTGCATAATCAGGAGTATGCGCTTTCATTGCGTAACAGTATCTCATAATTTAACGTAATCGGTTATTTTGTATAAAATTACGCAAGCTCTTCATCGTTAGATACCCGTCTCCCCATGCAAAAAAGGATTAATGATTATATAAGGTTGCATAATCAGGATTATGCGCTTTCATTGCGTAACATTATCTCATAATTACGTAATCAGTTATTTTGTATAAAATTACGCAAGCTTTTCATCGATAGATAGCCGTCTTCCCATGCCAAAAAAGCTTTGTAAAATATTTTATATTTATTCAATAATTTCTATAAAAGCTCACACATGTTCTTTGAATATAAATTGTATGACAGTGACGTCAGAAGGCTCAACAATTGCATACTCACCAACAATATATTATATGACAGTGACCTTAAGAGGCTCGACAATGGCATACTTACCATCAATATATTATACGATAATGACATTAGGAGCCACGACAATGGCATACTTACCATCAATATATTATATGACAGTGACATAATTAGGAGCCACCACAATTGCATACTTACCAACGATATATTATATGACAGTGACGTTAGGAGGCTCGACGATGGCATACTTACCAACGATATATTATATGACAGTGACCTTAGGAGGCTCGACAATGGCATACTTACCATCAATATATTATACGATAATGACACTAGGAGCCACGACAATGGCATACTTACCATCAATATATTATATGACAGTGACATAATTAGGAGCCACCACAATTGCATACTTACCAACGATATATTATATGACAGTGACGTTAGGAGGCTCGACGATGGCATACTTACCAACGATATATTATATGACAGTGACCTTAGGAGACACGACAATGGCATACTTACCAACAATATATTATATGACAGTGACCTTAGGAGGCACGACAATGGCTTACTTATCAATAATATATTATATGACAGTTACGTTATGAGGCTCGACGATGGCAACTTACCAACAATATATTATATGACAGTGACGTTAGGAGGCTCGACGATGGCATACTTACCAACGATATATTATATGACAGTGACCTTAGGAGACACGACAACGACATACCCACCAACAATATATTATATGACAGTGAGCTTAGGAGGCACGACAATGGCTTACTTATCAACAATATATTATATGACAGTGACGTTAGGAGGCTCGACAACGACATACTCACCAACAATATATTATATGACAGTGAGCTTAGGAGGCACGACAATGGCTTACTTATCAACAATATATTATATGACAGTGACCTTAGGAGTCACGACAATGGCTTACCTATCAACAATATGTTATATGACAGTGACGTTAGGAGGCTCGACAACGACATACTCACCAACAATATATTATTTGACAGTGAGCTTAGGAGGCACGACAATGGCTTACTTATCAACAATATATTATATGACAGTGACGTTAGGAGGGTCGACAATGGCATACTTACCAACGATATTTCATATGACAGTAATTTTAGGAGGCTCGACAATGGCTTACTTATCAACAATTATGACAGTGGAGTTAGAAGGCTCGACAAGGGCAAATAAGCCAAAAAGATATTATATGACAGTTACGTTAGGAGGCTCGACGATGGCATACTCACCAACATTATATTTTATAATATTAGTGACGTTAGGAGGCTCGACAATTGCATACTCACCGACAATATATTATATGACAGTGACGTTAGGAGGCTCGACAACGACATACTCACCAACAATATATTATATGACAGTGACGTTAGGAGGTTCGACAATGGCATACTCACCAACAATATATTATATGACAGTGACGTTAGGAGGCTCGACAACGACATACTCACCAACAATACAATATATGGCAGTGACGTTAGGAGGCTCGACAATGGCATACTCACCAACAATATATTATATGACAGTGACGTTAGGAGGCTCGACAACGACATACTCACCAACAATATATATATGACAGTGACGTTAGGAGGCTCGACAACGACATACTCACCAACAATACAATATATGACAGTGACGTTAGGAGGCTCGACAATGGCATACTCAGCAACAATATATTATATGACAGTGACGTTAGGAGGCTCGACAACGACATACTCACCAACAATATATATATGACAGTGACGTTAGGAGGCTCGACAACGACATACTCACCAACAATATATTATATGACAGTGACGTTAGGAGGCTCGACAACGACATACTCACCAACAATATATTATATGACAGTGGCGTTAGGAGGCTTGACAGTGGCATACTCACCAACAATATATTATATGACAGTGACGTTAGGAGGCTCGACAACGACATACTCACCAACAATATATTAGTACAGTGACGTTAGGAGGCTCGACAATGGCATACTCACCAACAATATATTATATGACAGTGACGTTAGGAGGCTCGACAATGGCATATCACAACTGAGTTCCACGTATTTCTCTGTGATTAGAGGCATCGACAGGCCGATCTCAGGTGGCGTTATAACTGCAGTAATGAAACTTATGACCACCTGCAACAATATTCCTCATCAAATTGTTAGGAAATATGCATTTCGTTTGAGCTTGATGAAATACTAAATATACATTTAGTATACATATTATTATACATATATATTATACATATATACATATATATTATACATATATAAATATACATTCTCCCCAAAATAACAGCTTTTGAGACAAAGATAATTTCTTAATTAAGCTGTACTTCAATCTTTGAGTTGATGTACATCGTTTCCAATGTTATTTAGGAGACACAAGTAGGGATTCACTTTACAGGGAAACCGCAATGTGTTTTCAGATTATGTCGTCGTTCGTTGACGTCACCAATCAACTATTAAACAAATATTATCGAAACAATAATTCAATTTTGCTATTGCAACTCTTGATTTTATTGCAGGGGTATAAACTTCAATATTTGTTGATCATCGAAACTGCCAATAAGGAGTACTGGCTCGTTTTCGAAATAATTTATAATATTATTAAAACAAGGAGGTAATTTTCATTTGCTTGTCACTCACATTCACGGTGTCGGAACATAGACATTAGACTATTTGCACTGCATCAAATGTGGAATTTCTAGTAATTTCTAGACGTGCTTAGTCGGTCTAGGAACTCCGTGTATCTAGAGATTTCTAGGCGTGCTTAGACGTGCTTAGAGCTGGCGTGGACAGAGCGTGACTAGAGTCTAGAAATCTCTAAGCACGCCGTGGTTAGACACAAGACAAAATTAGTCGTTATTAAATTGCCATGTGAGATTTTGCGCTATATATGGAAACATTTAAATTATAATTTACCGCACGTGTTAATTGATAACTTGCAATGCTTTAAGAACGAAATATTTTGATACGATTTGGCAGAATGCAATAACACATTTACTCGTGTTCACTAGAAAGGTATCATTAGTAAATTAAATCCCAAATTTTACCTGAATTGTAATAAGTACAGTCGCTATGACAACCTGTGATCGAGAACCAATTATACTCGGCCGTTTGGTTGATTTCTTTCCGGCGTCAAAAATTCTGTAAATCCTATTGGTCCTGGTTAGTAATGGGGCGTATACCCACGCGAAACCGAGGCTGAATCCAAAATGATCTAAGTAGCAATTTATGTCTACAGGTGGAGTGATGAACCCAAACACTGTTCCATAGCCAATCAGCATACCGACCAACATTATGTAACAAAGCTCTCTGCTCGAGGCCTTGATGAGCTTGTGTTCTCTATGCTTTATAAAGAACCCGAGAACTGTTAACGTGGCAGCGATTCCAAGACTTGCAAAGGCTACAAGCATGATTGCTTCAGGGTCATACCATCGCATATAATCGGGTTCTATTGGATCGCATTTTGTAAAATTTCCATTTGGCCAATAATAAATCGGACATGTTTCACAATCGGTTTGATTAAGCGTTACGATCTCGTTCTCGCGACATTTCTTGCAATCCCAACAGCACGCGAGATCTTGCCGAACGTAATAAAACCCAAAATCACATGGATCACTGCAGATTGACTTTGGAATTGCTGTACTCGCTGGTGTATCAAGGTACCATGGTATATCAGTGATATTTACCAAAAATGATAAATTGCTAGTTTTTGCAAACCACCTCGCAACGACATCTTGTTCGAATCCCCCGGTGTTGTTATCAATGTAGATTTGTTCAATGTCATACGTTCCAATCACATCACCGTTTCGATCAAATTCAATTTCACCGAGATTTCCGTCGTACGATGAATTGCGTAGATATTGATACAATGTCGGGCCATTAATGCAATTTCTCGTTGCTAAGGGATCCAAACCCGGACATGTATTCTTGATGATCTTGTCCAAAGCATTTGCGAAAACGTAAACACTATCAACCACCGCTGCTAAAGATCTCGACTCCATATAACCATTATCTTCACTGATTTCCCATGTTGTGTTACATTGCTGCTTTTCCGTAGAATTACTAAAAGTGCAATTGAAATATGATTCCCAATAGTTACTGAACCAAGGATTTTCAGCATTGTTGTTTGGATTCAAGCCCTTGAAATATGTTCCAAATAAGGGAATGGTTTTAGCAAAGACATTGAAAGTAAATGCACCGAGCATGATATCTTTCAAACCATTCAACCTATTAGTTCGAATTCCCTCTGCCCAAGCATCACTTCCAATCCAGATAAACCTGCGAGTTATCTTCATCCGCTTTGCCGCTGAAAATAGTCCAAGAACGTGGTCAGGACCGGCATAGACAACAACAACTTTAGCGCGAGAGTCCACAAGTAATTGATTCACAACATTTTCCCATTCTCCGTCGGTATACTCCTCTTTAACTTGAATATCAGTCGCTAAACAAACACCCCTTGACTTTGCCAGGAGTCTAAGGTTTGCTACTGCACCTTCTCCGTACACCCCGATGGAATGAATAGCATGGATATACGTCCAATTAAAATGATGTATGAAATCAATCATAGCGTTGGTTTGTGATTGATCCGGTGGTACCACTCTCATGAAGTAGGGATACCTTGTTCGATCACTCAGTAGGTCACTCGTAGATCCATAGCTCATCTGTGGAATTTCAAATGGGCCTAGAAGATTTGCGACTTCTAGGCTTGATGTACTCTTATATGCTCCAACTACGCCAACTACCTCGAAGAAACCATCCGCGTCCGTTGTAGAAGTATTCGTTGAGGAGGCACATTCGTCGGTTTCGTTCTGTGGTAGGAAATGAAGCACTTGGACGAGAGCTGTTGTATCCTTCCCACATGTGTCAAGCACAGCCATTCCAAGCGTAACATTTGGAAGAATATCACTCCGCAGGTTAACTAGTTTAACTGTTATAGCCATCGCTTCGACGAATTGCATCATAGCCTCTGATGCGATCTCACCACCGCATGGTTCAAACGGATGATATGTCGAGATTGGAAATAGTCCTCCTAAAATTAGATCACCCTGAATCACAAATTGTTTGTTTGGTAGGTCTGGAATGATAAATCTACACGCCACGGAGTGTAACGTTAAAACAGATAACAGCACAACAAGTCCTCGTGCCAAAGTCATAGTTTAAGATATTACACTATGCCCACCGGTTCATGAACCTATTGTAAGATCCGACGTGAACCATCAAAACAATACATTTTTCCTTCCAGATTCCTAGTATACATCGTTTGTTGCTGCATCCAAGATCAAATCCTAAAGATGGTTCAGGAACATCGATAATGATAGAACGACTAAATGTTATATCAGTACTTGATAAACCATGAGCTATTCTCACAAAATATGAGCCCCGTGAAACAAACTTCAGAATACACATTCATTTTTATTGATAAAACAGCACAGAGGCAAAGAGACAACCAAAACATAAAGATGATTAATTCTCCAATCAACGACAGTTTTGAATGTCGAATATTAGTTGTTTGTCAAAGATCCAAGAGAAAATTACCCTGATATCAAAATGTCATTCTATACATGGGGAATTGAAATGCGCACGCAGATTCCAAGCGAGGGATATCTTCAAGATGGTCGTATATCTTTTACTTCAACGTCCCACTCCATCTCTAAGTTCTTTATTTGTTTAGAAATAAAAAGGAATCGCTTAACATTTGCTAAGAATGAGATATTACTTATTTATTCAGATAATTAAAATAAATCAGGTTAAACCAATCCTATTTAGTTCCTAATGCTATTATAAATAATGCAAAATACACATCGTTTGGTTTTTTGTCAAAAATATAGGGGCAATTAAGATGATTCATTTTAAATCCAGACACAAATAGAAACCGTTCCGGCGACCAAAAGTACTATATTATTCAGCGCAGTCGTTGCAGACTGACCATGCCTAACAATTTGGCGTGTTTCATCGGATAGGCACATTGTAACCGGCTATGTTTTTTCTTAAAACAGATATGATTGACTTCGTGGTACAGGTAATTACCATTGCACGAATTCAGATTGAGAAATTGTTTCACCTCAACGGTAAAGATATATTCCCCAAAACAACTGCTGATATTCATCAAACATTCGAGTTCAGAACTTCAAATACAACCAAAACACGTAAAGTAACTTTCAACAACTTTGGAGATAAAAATATAGAATTCAGGCAATATGTCTCAAGAAAATATCCTCGTCTTTATATTAGCTAGAATTGGCTCAGGCGCCAAAGAGAGCGGACCCAGGGATTTTAATTTTTGATAATTGAAATCGAAGATATATGTGAGTCTTGCATTTTGAACATGACATGACAGGAAACAGATTCTCAAAATGAAAACTGGATAAATTGATCTTTAATTCTTAATTTGGCAAGGAATCCTTACTCAGCCACGAATTCTGATATTATTGGTATGATTTCTGATAATTGTAGGGAATTACTGACACGACTATAGTAGAATCATTTAATATACAGGGTGTCAAATAAGTCTGTTCTCCCCCCTTAACTTTGTTATATTTAAATTTATCATACGTTCCCATATATCATTTTGAAGCTCATGGAAAATGCTGATCACCCTCAAAAAATCAATAGTGAAATCTTCTTAATAAAATTCCTACAATGTTTCTTGTAAGGTTGTAGTCAGCCTGTGATAACGTCAAATCAAGTAATATTACCAGGTAATAGTGATTGAAAAGTGAAAATGATACTGCAGTGACAATGCCAGCATTGGGTGATTCGATGTTTCTCAATATCATTACAGAGTAAAATGTGTTACATTCAGGGGAGCCTTTGAAGCAGGGGCATCTTTCATCACAAAATAGTTGATAACACCTAAAATTAAACATTCTGAATGATTTGTACAGGATCATATCCTCTTAGAATTGAGGCCATCTGGGCTGCTGGGGGAGACATACAGACTATCAGAAAAGTGAAATATGGACATCACTAAAAATACTCTAAAAAATTTGGAATTTAACGAATCACTCTGAAATTTGGTGTGTGATCAGCAAATTAAATTCCCTTTAAGATGATATATACCAATGCTCTGTCATCTCTGAATTAAAAAGGTTAAGGGGGAGAACAGACTTATTTGACACCCTGTATATTTGAAAAGCTACATCCACATAACCAGATTGCAAGGTGGAGTAGAGGTCATATGACAATATGTGTTTTACTCAGGCAAAATGGGTTCAAATTCCAGCAAAAAGACTTTTCCTCATTTGTTAACCACAAATTTTCCTTGATCTCCTTATATATGAAACATTGTCATATTTAATAACAGTTAAGGGTTTTAAATCATAGATATAATGATTGTATGGCGTATTATGTTTATAATATTCCAGGTATCCATTCTGATTTATCAGAGTCTCACTTTATCTAACGCTTTGGTGAGACATTCCAAAGGATAATACTTGCTGTGAATCCCACAATGTCAGTTACCACCGAACTATGGAACTGGATACGATAACTGCTGTTAAAGGTCCATGTGCAGTATGACAAGTGATTTTAGACAGTCATATCTTTAACCATGAATACTTTCTGGGTATAACACTGGTTCTTAATTATTAAAACAATATGTTTCTTTCAAGTGAAGTACCCATGATGATAGACATATCAATCGAGCAATTCGAAAAAGCACGAGTTTTCCCTTTGGGAAAATAACATGGGATATGTGGTTTTTAACTTTAACGGATTTCAATACGCATACCATTATTTTTCAGAGAGTTAGATTCTTGATATTTTACTACCATGTGGACTTCACTTGAAGAAAAACATATTGTTTTAATAAGAAGAACACTGTATTAATGGCCAGAAAGTACCCATGGTGAAAAATATGACCGTTTAAAGATGCATTATACCATGGGTGTCTCCCCCAGACAATCAATAATGATGTCCTATTGTTATTGCTCATATAATATCTCACATACCATGGATATATCTTGAGAATAACTTTTGGGTATATTATTGCCGAAATATTAAAATAATCAACAGAACAACCAACCTCCAGAATTAAACACAATTGATTCCTCGGCTAACGAGGGGAATCCCCATTGAGTCACACAAGCGCCTTGAACCAGGCAGCCAAACAGGTTCATGATAAACAAATTCAACGACCAATCAGATAACAGGAGGACTTTCCCGGTATATTCAAACTTCAGATTGAATCAATTTCCGCGAAAATAATTAGATCGGCCAGCACAATCGCAAAATGAACACTGAAAGAGGGGGATTTGGGACTTCTTCTTTGGTAAGTAGATGGGTAAATACGTTGTGAAACTATACCCGCACATGGACCTTTCATGCATGTCAAAATCACCAAACGCATGCACGCTGAATACAAAGCCTAAATGCAATCGGGTAAATCAGCGTTGCTATCTTGACATTACACCTAGCCTTGCCCAAGTCGGTATTTTAATATTTATCTTGATTTTCAATTACCCTCTGTAAAGAAAAAAGGTGCACGGTCCTTTAATTATTAATATAAATATAAAATAAATAAAAAGAGACCAACTTAGGCAAGGCTAAAATACAGCTGTACACCTCTTTCTGGTCATTATTTTGAATTTTAAGAGTGGAAACTTGGTTATATGATCTTTTGAAGTTAATGCAGATCTCCTAAAATCTCATTAAAACGGGACTTTAACGAAATTTCAAAGCTTTATGGAAAAGGGATCATTTTTATCCCTTTCGCAACCTTTTTAAAGGTGTTGTGCAATTCAAATAAAATAAATGACCCCAGGTCCTAGAACTTAATTCAAAACAACAATGTAGTTTGGAACAGTTATTCTATCAAGCGATATATTACAGTGAAACTGTAAAATAGTAATGAAACAGTGATGATAATAGTGAACGAGAGGGTAATTGAACTTAGATTAATATTTATTTATTAGGTGCAGACGGGATTCCGATGAAAACAAGACTAAAGCCATATGTGGTAATGGTCTTCGCATGGAGATCAATGCTTCATCAGATGATGTGACATCGATCTTAATTTTACCATCATCCAATGTAATCTTGGCCTTCAAGAAAAGATATGCAAATCAAGTTTCTTTCTTTGCAATACATAAATATTTAAAAACACAGCGGAAAAATATAAGACCTATTAGTCCAATGTTATAACTTTTAAATGGCTACAAGGCCGAAGCTATTGTTTTCTAAGTAACTGCGCATCATCCCATTAACAACAAAATGCCTGTGACCATAAGTACAAAAATTTTCGAAAAACAAATTGACGCAGGTCCACCGTTGCTTGTGTTTTGACGATATCCAGCTCGAATCATGACGTCATCAGGGCAGGCGTCAGAGTATCCATCCGCCAAAAATAGATCACCGCCATTTGTTCTCGATTGGTTGCTGTACACTGGCTGTACTACTTTTTCTAATCTTCTCTGAACGTTCCTAAAGCCATCGGGATATATGCTCACCAATCCAAGACCGCCTATACCCGCAAGACTTGCCCGGCAGCCAAAATAAACAGCCGTGACTTTGCCTGTCTCTTTGATGGCGACCCCAGTTAGTGATTTATCGTCGTCGCAGTCAGGTTTCGATTGGCAAGACTTTGTGAGACTACATATGCCGGCAGTCAAACCCTCTCCTACGTCAATTAAAATCGTCTTGTCTTGAAGAATGCCGTCCTTAAGTACCCCGCAGTGAATTCTCAAAATTGATGACCAACATAGAGTCCCATTGTGATGGTCAATGCCGAACCGTGTAACCGGGGTAACAGCTGATTTAGGTATATCCTGTTGATGAAGAGAAACAACCGTGTTATCAGCTGATACTCCAAGTAAATCGATCGTTATTGATTGTTCTCTGCGATTTTCTACGGTTTTGTTGAAGACTTGTAGGTAAAAGGTCAAGTCTTCATTTAGTCCTGAAACGATTTCCATGGTCCCTTTGACTGGCTCGTAGTGAAACTGGGTTGATTCTCGTTGTATATTCCTGCCACGCGCTTGAGGTGCGTCTGAATATTCCGCCACAAGTGAGATGAGTTCAGAACTATCGAAAATGTTCAATGTTTCGGTGCTATTCAAATTCTTATTGCCTTTAAACTTACGGATTTCAATCTTTGTTGTCCCCCTTCCGCCTCTGTCTGTATATAATCCAGACAAAATAAAATATATTTCTGAGTTGAATAACGTTGGAGATGTAATTCCAGATCCGTATGGCTCAAAGAATAAATCATTTTCGCTATAATCTGTTTTGGCGCTCAGGGAGACATCATCATAAAGTAGTTCCGGCAGTGTGTCTAACGTGGGGCATAAATCTCCCTGTGCAAGATTTAAACGATTTCTCACTCCTTCAGTACCGATATGCATCAATGATTTTTGAGAAACGGGGTCGTATGAAACCGATTTGATATCAATTCCCATGAAGTTTTCTGTTTGCATATAGCCACCTTCGTTTAGATTGCGATATTTACCATCATCGCGATCTCTGGTTATTTCCGGTATTGGACCCCCATACAACCCTGCCAACTCACCGTCTCCACCAGGTGTATCGCGAAATAACAGTCGTCCGCAAACGGCGGTTGTGAATATCCAAACACATACGGATGCGAATATGATGATTTTGCAATTCATGATCCGCTGTTGTTTATAACAGCAGCTTTAAACTGACTATTCACTGAGGATAATCTCTCCCTACAGAGAAAGGTGAATTTCAAAATAGGCTACAGGCTGGTCCATAACAACATTGTACATTTTTAAGTTACAGAAAAGCTGTTACCATGGAATTCGTCCCATCGATAGGCTTTTTGACAGTGGATTTAACCATTTCTCACTACTACACACATCAACCTTCGAAGGGCCGTATTTGAGTGTTTTTTGGCTCACACAGTGAGCCTATGGGATTGACCAGGCGTCCGTCCGTCCGTTGGTCCGTCCGTTGGTCCGTCCGTCAACATTGGCCGCACAAATTAAAACTGCTATTCGGATTGAGTCATATCCACATTCATTTTATGCATATCCATAATACCTATTTGACCTATCATCGCCATTTCCCAAGTTCGCCCGGTTTCTGAGAAATTGCGGATTTTGACGTCTGTTGAAGTAGAACTTTCAAATAACTTTTAGTAGTTGGTGTATATGCAACTTATGTCCTCTGAAGATTTCAAAGCTCTTGGAATTACGGTTTTTGGTGTTTACTCTATAAAATTTGAAAAAAGTAGGACTTGGTCATTTTCAGGAAACTTTCTCATGTATAAAGTCAATGGCAGGTTTTGTAATTGACAAGATTCTTAAAGTTTGCCTTATACTTGATCATTTCCTGCAATAAATTACATCATTAATAGATTTAAACATTCCCTATATATTTCTCAGTATATGTCAGCATCAAATTTTTACCGTTTTTTAGATATTTGACGTCAAAAAACAGTAAAAATAAGTTATTTGCTTCAATTTGACCAAATTTTTTTTGAAAATCATCTACAAGTTGCCAGGAGTTCAAATCTGACATTAGTTTTAGGATTTGACCTTTACTTGACCTTCAGTGACCTTCGAAAGGTCAAAAAAAGTTGATTGTTCAAATTGATTTTTGGATGTAAATTTTGGTCAGCTTAATCACAAAAGACCTTACTGAGCTCTGAATAAGTAACATTTTCAAGGTCAAAGGTCATCAAACCAGGTCACACAACTATGCTATCTAAGTTTCTCAAAGTTCGACACTACAAATCCAAATCAATATCTTTGTTTGAAAGTCAGGATATAAATTCCTCTGAAGGTTCCAAACTGTGTGAGCATAGGACCGTGGGTCCTTCATTATAAAATATTTGAGAGTATTTAAATACATGTACATGGACGCCTATTTGTTGTATAGTGTGACATCATTGACAAATGATGCCTGACTCGAATTCGAGTTGCTCAAATGACCATGCTTTACCATTAGATTTGAAATACGATATTGAATTATTACATAGTGTCTCATAAAATTTAGATTTTGTTCATGTTCGCCAGAAACTATTTCTCAAAAAAGCCAAAATCGACCCTAACGTATCAATATGATTCTAACACAGAAACGAATCATCAGGAATAAATAACATATTTTTTGGAGCGGTCTGTATTACCACAGAAAATATAGTGCTAAGGTAGGTAATTAACAAAGTGATTGATTGGAAACGTATGAAAAGTAAAAACAGATTCTTTCTAAGACATGCTTCTAAGTTGCATATTTTGTTTCACTAGAAGAACATACCCATTTGTAACATACAACATCGGGGTCAACACCTTAGTGTTCTTACTGAAGAATGGAAATCAATGTTATTTTGAGAAAGAAAAATGGACAACAGACACTGGCTGTTTATCCAAAAAAGTATTTTTGTTTCATGCGTTCATGTTGTTACGATTTATTGTGTTTACAGAAGCTTGATTTAAAAGTCATAGGCTAACTGCCATGTAGATTATATCCCAATGTTATTTTGATAAGTTAAGTTTTTAATGTTTGATTATAATATTATTTCGTAAAATACAAGTAATAATAAGTCATTAGTTCATAGCGCATGCGTGACATCATCCTCATCGTCTGAGAGACGCTTGGGCAAGGATAGTTTAAGATTCCTGTTGAGTTTTTCAAAAAGGATTTTGCACATATATACCTAGCCTGTAATTATTGCATATATTCCGCTGTTGAATCTTATCTAATGTTGTTTTAAAGGATTGATAGCGATATGGTGAACTGAAGTCAACATTGTTTACATCCAAATGTTATTATGATAAGTAAAGGTTTTTAAGTTTGGTTATAATCAAAAAGGAGTTTGCACAGATATCTATGACCATTGCCTTTATTTATTCCTCCGTTGAATCTTTAAAGGATTGATAGCGATATGGTGAACTGGATTCAATATTGTTTTTCTCTTAAACCAATCATTGAAAACATTCTGTAAAAAATTACACGATATATAATTGCTTTTGTGAGCAATTTCTGTTTCTGTTTTTAGTGCATTTGTTTTTTCTCCATTTCTAACAATTATTGAGAATGAAAAAGGATATCTATCTGAGCTTTTTGTTCGAACAAAATGGCAATAAATAACATTTTCTTAGAACTATCAATATCATAGTTTTACAAGGGAAAGTTGGATTCATTTAAAGAAGTATCAAAAATTGACCAAACCCCCAAAATAGATAAATATTAAAGTATACATTTTGTTTCATGAACAAGATATTTATTTCAAATGAACCGAATGTTCCTATGTACAATTACAATATTGAGAGACCTTATTTAAGGTTTTAATTAATTAATCGTTTTAACGTTGTAGTATGTAATCTTGTTCTAACGAGGTTCGGAGATATGTTTTACTCAATTTTCATTCCGAACATATGGTACCAAGAACAAAAGAAGTGTCTGATGTGTATTCTAAAACTATATATAGAAAAGTAGATTTTTTCAAATTAAAATTGTACCATTCAAAAGATGACCATTAAAGTTGACGTTGTGTAATCTTTTCAGATTTTAGATGACTGGTTTGAAGAGAAACGTGTGTTCAATTTAGTTCACCATATCGCCACCAAGCCTTTATATTTTTTGCGTAGCGAATAGGTCTAGGATATAATAAATACATAATTATCTTAACTGAACTTTTTCATTTGGATTGGAAGTTGTGCTCTTTCAACTTGCATATTTAGCTGGATACAACAGTTCATGAACAAAAACAAAAGTACCCGCTTCGAACACTCACCACAAGTACGTGTGTGCGTATAATTTGAACGCTTTCGTAACATGAGATCAATTTAAATGTATTTCTTTTCAAAAATCATGCATTTTACAATCAGAAAATGATATAAGTCGTTGGACTTTTTATGGTGCTTTTTCCAGGATTTAACCTCGCATGAACAAGAGATTAATTCGATTTTAATAGCCATGTTTTATTATTTACCTCCTATCATCACTACGAAGCATAATGTACGTCAATAAGATTAAATGCTAGACTTCTACTTCTAATACTTTTTCAATTGAATGTATCAATAGTCCGGATTAGTCTTAACAATAAAGAGTCCATGGAGCTCACAAACTAAGCCGTTTCTTTCAAACATTCTACCGAACGAATAATGTAGAAGCATATGAAACTGGAAAGATTATAATATTAATAATTATAATTTTATATGAACTTTGAATATTCCCGATGTCATATTTTGAATATATTTTATACATATACGTACAGTATGTCTCTCACATAAGATGCCATTGGAAGATCTCACAATATGGAATTTTAAAAGCGTAAAGGTAAGAACAAATCATTATTTAGAATATATGCTTCGGTCATAGTGTGTTGAATAAAGTACACATATTTAAAATTGAATAACTATATAAATTGAGATATAATGTTTATGTTTTGTCCAATTGTACTTTGCTATTAACTGAATAATGTCATTTATACCATGATCACGATGCTACATCCCACATTGAATGCTACATCCCACATTCGTCCCGTATACATCCCGCTTATTATATAATTGTTATTTTGGAAGTTACATTTTTTAAATGAATATATAAATACAACCTGTGTAAACCCAAATGTCATGAGGAGGGGTGGTCAATTTTTACGATAGCACTGTTTGCAAGTTTTCCTTGAGCAACAGATCAACGACACTTTTAGCGTACAAATCAAGTTAGATTTTTAAAATATAAAGATGAACATTTTCACTCTTTCTAAAAAGTTGTTCAATGAAACAATTACAGTTTTAAGCTAACATTGAAAAGTATATTTTCAAAATTTTAAACCTTGGAAGCTAGAATATACCTAAAACCCAAGTGAGAATGGGATACTCTCGAGAATGTGTATCTTCCTCGGTCCCTCGGGAGATAAACAATAGTGCAAAACCACATTGTTTTAAACTCTCATGTTCTTAGATCATTGGTCTAAACAACTTCATGTTTTAGGTGATGTGGCGACGTGTTTGGTAATGCATGTTCCACGGGCATTGATTTATTTGTGCGTTTTAATTGGACTGGGTCTGACTATATATGGTATGTATCTGTTTTGATATCCATCCCCGTCAAAGTTCGGAAAGTCTTATTCCGAACGACCATAAGAATTTTTTTTTTCAAAGCTATTCTTCAGTCATACATCACAAATTAGATGAACTTCGCAATGCTCATTATAGTTAATAAATATTAATCTTCACTGGACACACATAGATATTGCGATATGAATCATGCATTCAAAAATCGCAGCGATACTGTTGGTCATGGAATATTGGGCATTTCACAAAAATCAGTATATTGTCTTTGCTGTAAGAATTCTAAATGTTTGAATTGCATGAAAATATGCAAGAGTGGTCATTCTTAAATGTCCAAACTGTGATTGTTTTAATATGTCCAAACTGTGATTGTTTTAATATGTCCAAACTGTGATTAATGTTTTAAAATGTAACCTATATTAGGTTAGAGAATGCGCTCTTTAACTAGAATACTCTCCGAGAATTCAATGGATCCCGACGGATTCATTACTGGGAAATGAAACATATTGTAAATTACAAATGTGTTCAATTTAATTGTTCTGACCTGTCTTTGCATATTTGGAAAATCTCCATCCATTAATGTTTGAGGGGGCATTGAAAAAGAGCAAATCAATGGTAAATTGGTTCCAATTTAATAGGAGCAACGATGATATTTGCGTTATTTTAGTATCATGTTAAAATATTGTTAAAACATCATAATATTTACAGCTGAGATTGTTACAAATATTGACGAGAGGGAGTGTGGATTCCCCGCCATTGATCCTTTACAAATATCCAAGCTTTCAAGAATAGTTGGAGGTTCCGTAGTAAAGCCGCATTCTTGGCCATGGCAAGTGGGCTTGTGCTACTCATCAAACATAGCAGAAGATGTATTTTGCGGAGGAACACTGATCAGTGAAACTTGGATTGTAACAGCTGCTCATTGCATCGATTTGTAAGTTTTTGTAGAAAGTACACAATCAATTACCCGTAACCTCTACAAATCTCAGCTTCGTTTCTTTATGAACATGATATTGAGGGCGTTTGTATTTATTGAACGACGGCCTCGTTCTGGACGAACATAAATGTTAAGGGTGGACGTTAAACAGTCATCGTCAAATGACATCTTGGCCCAGTCAAAGCATTGCGCCTAGTCTTCAAACAACTTACATGTATTTTCACGGTGTCAAACCATGGCCAGGCCCCGCTGACATCGAGGGCAACAAGCTCGTGTTAGAAGTGGGGCCTCGAGAGATCTAATAAAAGTGAAATATAAATAAACTTTTCTATGGAACTTTAGTAAGTGATTTACCATATTCTTTAATTCTGCATAGTCACCGTGATTTTGTTAAAACAATAACATTTTTAAAGGCAAAGATACCTGCACGTGTTTCACATAAAGAGCATCAAGTGCCTGAAAAATACAAAAACGACACAAGAATGAACCCTTGAAGTGGGAAAGTTTCATAAATCCGTTTTAACCTTGAAAACTCTTCAACGATGACATTCTTCAATTTACTGCTTTCAGTCTGACGGAAAGTGAGCTACTTCGTGTAATAATTGTAGTTGGAGCACATGATATGACAGCGTCTGTCGTCGATGAAGACGAACGCCAACTGATTAATGTCCAAAGGGTGATATATCACCCACGCTATGATATTGGCTATGAACTGAACTATGACATAGCTCTTATTGAGCTTAATACATCAGCAGTGCTTGGGGAGAATGTAGCAGTGGCGTGTCTTCCTATTACTTCACTGACAAATGGTCAACAATCGTACGTCACCGGATGGGGCTCAACAGGTTAGGATATTTCACATAAAATATCACAAATGATTATGATTAAATCATCATTGCCTCTTGAATGCAAAATACTACACTGCTCCTTTGGTAATACTATTCTAGTATGAATGAATTAAATCAATTCTTTTACATGCTGCAGCCTCTGGTGGGGGCAAAGTAACTCGACTACGCGAAGTGATGGTGCCAATAATAGATAGAACACATTGCATCGCCGAGTCGAACTATACCGCCAATGATGATCTGTCCATAACAATGGTCTGTGCTGGTAGTATAGTTGGTGGCATAGACACCTGTCAGGTATGACAATAGCACAAACCTTCAGCAGGTCAGTTTGTAGTTCGAGGGGAACACTGGGCAGGATGGTCTTCTTATAAGAGGCGGAAATAGGTGGAAAAACCTTCATGCATAAATGGACCATTTATCCCCCTTTACGTCTTGGTCAATCGTGTCCTTGGTTTCCCTAGTCAAGTAGCCGTATGAACTTTGATGTTAAGCATAGACCCGAATGATAAGCTAATTATTTTCGGATTCAACCGCCGGCTGTCGACTGATTGTTAAATCTACAATTTATTTCAAACTAATTCAAATATTAATGAAATAATGGCAGGTATTAATCACATTTAAATGAGTTGGCTATAAATGAGTAGATTAAATCGCCAGCCGGCAGTTGAATTTGCGAATTCTACCTTAAAAGCCTTGGTTGAGTTTAAAAGCTTTCGGCACCTGAGAATTACACTAATCTTGTTATTAATCAATCATAAGATACATACATTCGTTTATAATTCGTAAATATACTACATCTCTTCATGCATTTGCGAACCGGAAGTTACCATTTGAAAGCGTAATTCAAACAAGCTTCAGCACGCGGTCAAAAGACGGAGGAATCCTGTTGCCAAACCTTTTGGGGAAAACAATACGAATTTAAGAACATGTATTTGGTCCTACAGGGTGACTCTGGCGGTCCACTGGTGACGCAGATGAGCCACAATTCATCACTATGGCAGCTGAGTGGTGTCATAAGCTGGGGTATTGGTTGCGGAGACCCTTCTTACCCCGGGGTGTATACCGATGTCATCTTATTCAACAATTGGATAAAGGGAATAATTTCAAGTGAGCATATTTGCTTTTATATTTTTATAACTTTAGAGTTTTAGAGCTTTTAGAGTTAAGATGCAAGAAGCATTTCATCCAAAGTCTCTAATTAAGGTAGTTATTTCTAAATGCATCGAACGCTTGAATAAAGAATAATCACTATTAATATTTATTCAGTGAATTTAGACGTACGTTGTACTAGTAAACTTGAATTTTGACGCACATGCTAATAGTAGACTTAAATTAAGATGCATATACGGATGGAAGAATGTACTCAGACGTGTAGGCCCGTAGCCGGTAGGGTGGGATGGGGCGGAGGAGCGGAAGCTCCCACAACTGGCTAGAAATTATTTCAAAATCATGCAGTTTTTACCTTTCTGAGCACTATTCGCAATATTTTTAGCGAAAGATTTCAAAAAGCCCCCCCCCCTTGGTAACACCTGGCTTCGTGCGAGGACGTGTTTAATAGTAATACACTTGAATATAGACATATGTTCTACTTTAATCTCAGACCATTGTGGAGATTCATCATGCTGCGCATACCTTGGTAGCATTGGGGAATGCGAGACTAATCCAAACCTGATGTTTGACTCTTGCCTCGAAGAATGTATAACAGGTATTAATTAAATCTGCTGTCAAAGTATATATGTAGTTAATTTCTAAATATTCATAGTAAGTCTATTCAATTGTAACCAAAATGGACATTAACTTGAACATTTAATAATTTATAGAGCCCCCTGTGACTGATTCAGCAACTACTGAGTCAATTACAAGCACAATTGTAACCACTCAAACTAGTTCAAACATTGTAAGTGATGTCACTAAAACTAGTCAAACCACAACGGACGCTACACTCAGTTCGACATCAAACGGTGAAGATAAAAACACTGGGCAAACGACAAGTACATCTGAAGAGGCAAATGCAACGTCTACTGAACAAGCGACAAGTACCAGCATCTCGACTCAGAACATCGTCAGTTTGCCGCCTGGTTATCTTGACCTTGGGGTATGGGAACATTTCTCAAAAGTTATATTTTTGATTTAGTTGATCATGAAAACGAACACACAGAACATTTGAATACTTTATTTAAATACTTTAGCATCAGTAAATACTAAAAACTGTGTTGTATTTTCAGCTTTTTGGACAAAGCAGGGGTAAAAGTAAGTAGTTTTTATTCTGGGACATATTTATAATGACGAAAATGAGCAAATCTATAGGGCCTACATTTATATAGGATTGCATGTTTTTCATGTCAGATCTTACGCTAATATTTCGAAATGCCATCTATTAGTGAAACTAAAACTGTTCACGAGTTATTCCCTTCATTGCACTTGACTGAGAGTTCTATGAGGCGAGCGGTGTGCACGAGAAATGATCAAAATACTGGAGCAAGAAATACTTAAAATAAACAGTTTAACTTAAACCAAGATATCTGATAAATTATTGGTTGATATTTGGTGTTCAAGTCGAAATCCATCACTAAGTGGTTTATTTATTTTTAGCCTTACCATCTTCGAGCTTTATGTTCTAAAATGTTGGGTTTAATTTTGCAGCATTAAGAACAAACCTAACTAGGGTGCTAACAATGACTGTATTATCATTGGCGATTGTCGTATAGAACCTAACTGATCTATCTGTTGATTGACCACGAAGGCTGAAGACTGTGGTATGGGAAACTGCTGATGTTGACAATGATCGTTTGTGTCCTCGGTAAGGAATACTGCTGATGTTGACCTGATAATCGTCAGAAACGGTGATAAGAGAAAACTGCTATATTGTTTATGGTTGCTGGGATGCTGGCGTCCACACTCTGCTTGTGATGGCCATATTCATTCGAGATCGTGGTATAAAACTAGTACTCTACTGGTGTTGTCTATTGTCAATAAAACCCATCTTATAGAAGTATACTGGACCAAATAGATAAGATGATCAATCACCTCCATTTCTGAAGAGTGACGCAATGAAACTATTTAGAAATATCCAACGTTATCACGGGATTAATTATGTAATCTGTGTATTAGCAGTCATTGGTATTATTTAAATAACGGCGAGTGAGATCATACATTTTCTAAAAGCAATAAAAGAGAATTTAAAGCGAATATTTAAGGCGTAGCCAGAATTTGGTGACCAGGGGTTCTATTTTTCATGTTATTCATGAATCCCTCCTCCATTCATTCTAGTTCCTTACAGTATTCATATGCTGATCCAGAAACTAACAAGGAGGGGGTCCAAATTTCGAGTCTGGAAAAAAAAAATTCGCGCTTGAGCGGATAAATTTTTTGGGCCCCTAAAACAGATTCTATATAGCAAAAACTAGCGAACTATGACTAGTATTTTAGGGCTGGAAATATCAATTGGCATCATTTCCAATACCTCCATTTTTTCTCACTAAATACTAACATAGAAGACAATTGGGTTTGAATTTTGAATTTGACCTATGCAAGTATTTACAAAGTAAAACAAGTATTTCAACAAAGCTATAGGTCCCCAAAGTCTCTCGAATTGAAATAACACAGGAGACGAAAATTTTCAAACATGACTTAGAAGCTAGAACTTTAATTGTTAATGACTTGCCCTGAACCCACCATTCCGCATTGGTTTACATGGGCATGACGATTTTAAATTATTCACCAGTCATAAATAATTGGAGGTATAGGGAATAAAGTCAAATTACATCTCCTTTATCATAAGTACGTTCATTGCAAGTTATACAAATAAAAATTCAAACATAAAGAGTTTTTAACACGGAGTCCAATTTGGAGCTAACATTTGGAGGGAATGCCTAATTTTAGGAAGACCCTGGAGCATGGTTTTTTACTTAGAAATATCAATTATTTCACGCAATTTGTATTTTACTTAAATGCTGCTTCATTTCGGACAAAACAAACCATCCGCGTGCACGTAGCGACCGGGGGTTCGAGGGGTTCGTGCGATCCCCCGGTCAAAATTCCTAAAAAGGAGGGGGAGTTGCTTGTAGAATGAATCGGGGGATTTTTTAAGCATTTCCCTGTCCGTTAGTCCATAAGTGATAGATAAAACAGGAGCAATTATTAATGTTATACAACTTTATTGAAAAGCTACATTAATGAGTGACGCCATCAAATATAAATGCAACTAGAGACACCTATCTGTGACTTAAACTTAAAGGCTCATCTTTGTAATATCACATGACAATCCCCAAAATTATTTCTCATTTTCAAGGATTATCTGATATTTTCATTTTTCAAACTTCAGAGGACTGAGAATCATTGATCCTATTCGCTTTTGAATAATATAAATTATGTTTTAAATAGTTTCATGTAGGCAAATAATTTCTCAAATCCATTGAAGCAAGATTCTGTTCTCTAGTAGCATTGTCTCATCATGAGTAAGCTTTGAATTACGAATTATTTATAATCTATTTCTAAAAATTACAATATTTTTTATCAACATGTAACAATAAACATCAATTTTCTCAAGTATCAATTTTGTATAAAGACTCTAATTAACATATTAAGGGTGATTAAGCCGAGTGACATTACAACACAGCTGGTTCATTGGATAGTGTCTTTAAGGAACTTAATATCGTGTAAAGTCGCAAAGATTCACCGTTTATTTGATTGAAATTAATCGAAAAATCGATGAATTGGATCACGTTCATCAATTCAGAACAGAAACAGATTATGCATTGTATTTCTGTTTAATAAAAACGCACCGTTCATTTTTCAAAACTGGCTCCAAGTTGAAGCCAGTTTACAAATCAGCTCTCTCCATATAACACAAAAGTATTTAGCGACAATCTAGCAACTGGAAATCACGGGATACTGTCTCTCGATCATTTTGATGTGCATTATGCATCTTATTCTCTTATAGTTTGCATGAAAATTAGAAAAAACTGAAAAATATGTAAAATCTTAATATACGAGGGGTGATCCAAAAGTCTTGGGCGCCCTGCTCTAATTTTGTTGGTTTTTGATAAAATTACTTTAAACTTTCCAATAATAAAGACCAATAACTTAACTACTTTGTGTATTAATTTCATGGAGAAATGATATATTTTATGTAGTTTTCTAGATAGTTTTTAATATAGTGACCCTGCCAACCGGAACGGTATTCACACATGGCAACTTTCAGCCTTAAATGTTGCTGCCATTTGACTTGTTTTGCAAGTCTTGACCACTATCTTTCTTTGAATTTTGAATGTTAAACCATGTTAGTTTACTTCCTTTGTTTCTAGGCAAGCAAATAATTGTGTTTTAATTATAATGTCACACTGACAATGATCATATATGTCAAAATTACATCAGACAAGCAACCCTCATTCTTGTATCATTTGTGCTCCAAGATGGCTGCTGAAATGCAGAACATGAAAGAAATCAAAGTGGAACAAAGAATACTACAAAGATATTCTCATTATTATTGAACTTGAGCAGCTACCATATGCACGATGCAGTCTAGATATGGCTCCGTGTGATTTTCTTCCTTTTCTCCCAAGTCGAAAAGGAGGATTGAAATAAAATGTTTTTACTCATTTGATAAGGTTTAGAGTGGCACTCCAGCAGCATTTGTATCACATAAGCAATGGCAGTTTCATGAATGTCTTCCATTCATTGGTAAAGCTGTACGAAAAATGTGTTCAAATTCGTTTAAAATATTTGAAAAGTAGGTCTTAATATGTGAAGATGATGATGGCAGATGACAATTGGATTGAAAATCGGAAATTCTCTCATATCATGACTTTGTATTAGGCTGTGCACCTGCACCTAAAGTATTTTCCATATTAACAGTTGTGACGTGATTTGCTATATTTAAATACCATTCCGGGTGGCAGGGACCCGGTATTTAAAAATATTTAGAAAAGTAGCTAAAATGTATTATTTTCTGGTGAAACTTATACACAAAGTTGTTAAGATGTTGATCTTTATTATCGGAAAGTTTCATGTAATTATATTAGAAAATAGCAAAGTAAGAGCGAGGCGTCCAAGACTTTTGGATCACCCCTCGTATATATCAAGATATTTTGCAAAAAGTCATTTTAAGCCAAAATTATAAGTGTAAATTGTATTCTTAACATGACTATCGATAAATTGGACCACGTTCATAAATTCAGAACAAATTATGCATTTACTGTCTCTGTTTAATAAAAACGCACCATTCATTTTTCAAAACTGGCTCCAAGTTGGAGCCAGTTTACAAATCAGTTCGCTTCATTTAACACAAAATATTTAAGGACAATCTAGCAACTTTATCAACATATATGAATTCAAAGTTCTATACGGAGTGGTCCGAAATGTGGAACATTTCAATCAAATATTGCAATTTATTTCTCCACTAAAATACATCATATCTTGACCGATCATGTTGTGAATCGGTTTTGCAAAATTCACTACGGCGCTGAATGAATATCCGGAATACGACTATAGGTCATTTGATTATTCATTGCTTTAGAGAACTACCCAAAGGAAAGTCGATTTCTATACGCAATGTGCAAATGGATACCACGGGTCTTTCACACCACTAAAACCTACCAATTAGGAAAGGATACTTTTCAAAACACGTGAGTCAATGGCACTTAACTAGCAAGTGCATCTACGGCTTGGATTCTACTACATAGCCGTAGGGACCGGGGGTTCGATGGGTTCGGACGAACCCCCGGTTGGTATTTCTCCCAAAAAAATATTTGTGGAAAAATTCATTGCAATAACCAGAAACATATATTCAATTTATATGACCAGTAGGAAAAAATAGTAAAGGAAGAGGTTTGAGTATTGGCAAATATCCCTATGGTCATAATGAATCATTCTTAGGTGTAACATGAAGAATAGAATGTCATAATACTTTGGAAAATATTAAAGTGCTGGGGCACACATAAGCTGAGATAGGGATCATTTCATGATTCTCGTCATTAATGATAAAATCAGCGGAACTGTGATAGAAAATGGAATGTTTTCAAAGTTTTTTATTTTCAATTCAAAGAAAGCACAACAAATAAGTTTTTCAGCATTATTTGTTCTTTATTTGTTGCAAGGCATTGAAATTTAAGAGAGATGTTTAATGTTAGAGCCTACAGAGCACAGTGGATATTTTGTTATTTCAATTTTTTTTTTTAAATTTCAGCCTATGTTTCATTCCATTACAGTACTGGCGATAGCCTCAACATTTTGTGGGTCACATGACCCAGTTCAATCAAAAAAGTGGGTCAAACTTGGAAAATGTGGGTCAAATTGAATTATGAAAATATAGCGTCATTTTCGGATAATCTTAAGTACAAAAATAAATGTGCTGCAATGAGACTTCATGTCTTAAAGGCTGAAAATCAGCTTAGGCCAAAAGGTTGGGTGAAACATAAATCAAATCAATGGATAATGACCAAATAGAAGTGCGGTGCAAACTAGGGGGTCTGGGGCATGCCACTCCCCCCGAAAATTTTGAAATTTAGACCCTCTCTGGTGCATTCTGAGCATATCTCAGCATAAAATTTCCAATGATAATATTTATATAAACAATAAGAAAAATAAAAAGATTGTGTTGTTAGAAAACTTTATATTTATTTTTTCAGATAAATTATGCAGATTTTTGAACTTTTTTTGAAAACATTTAACCATAAAATAAAATCAGTATTTTCCTGTCACTAATATCAAACTGTATTTGAGCAATTGATCTCAATAAGCAGATCAATACATAATTAATTGTAATTAGTTTTTTCTTAATTACTTTGTTTTTCAATGTTGCCCCTTGTTCCTCCTCACTCTGAAGTAAATAAATAAACTCAATATTCCTTTCTGGCACATTATCAATCTCAATGAAATATAAGGATCAACATTCAATAGTTTTATATGTATTTTTTACTTGTAATATTTTATTTGTTTTCAAATGTTGCCCTTTTTGCTTCCTCACTGTGATGTAAGATAATGCCAAGAAGATCAATTATATTAATTAAACAGTTTGTTTTCAAGTTTATGTGTAATTGCTAATAATAGTATCCATTGAAAGTTGGCAGGACAGTGATAAAGGTTTTTTGCTACTGACCCATTAATCTCAAAGCAATGACGTTTTGGTGAGAGGTCAATCAAAATCGTGGTCGAATTACAGTAAGATAATTATCTCAGTGTTTCTCTAAAACACTGCTGATTATCTGCCTATTATACTTAGATTTTGTCTTCACAAGGTAGGCCAATTTATATTCTTTCGTTTGATATGTTTAACTTAATTGAAAGCCGGAGATTTTCGTCTGGATCGGTAAGATATCGGTCAAAACCTTTTTTTCTTGTGTATTGCTATTCTTCCCGGGAAATAGCGTTAGTCTGTCTACCTGAGGATCAAAGTTTATCGCATCCTACGACCCCTTTAGATTGTGGTCGTAGGCCCGTTTCATTCGTAAGCCTGTGTTTCTACAATGTCGGAGAATGAACTATGCATTGCACACATAAATGACCTACCTCGATACATTCCTGAGTATTTTAGAATTCTTTTCATATAGTTGAATCGCAAATTGTATGGGTTTATCGGCAGAACGAAGATATTTTCGTTTTTGATAGCAATATTTGCGTGTAATATTTAACTTATTACAACCGTCAAATTCCTCCATTCAGTTCCCGGCATGCACCAGTCATAAGGGAAATCCCTGGGGAATTCCCCTTCCGACATTTTGAAAATTGCTGAGATATTTCCGATGTAAAAACTAAAATCTCTTCGTTCTGCCGATAAACCCATACAATTGGCGATCTAACAACATAAAAAGAATTTTAAAATACTCTGGAATGTATCGAGGTAAGTCATTTAATAGTGCAATGCGTAGTTCATTCTCCGACATTGTAGAAAGACAGGCTTACGAATGAAACGGGCCTACGACCACAATCTAAAGGGGTCGTAGGATGCGATAAGATCAAAGTGCGTGAATGAAACGCAATTAGTTGTGAATTCTGCGTCAGACTTGATCAAATGTGCGTAAAACGATAATGATTAATACAATACTATTTGTCATCTGTCACTTCTATCGTCAGTACCAATTGAGAGTATTCGTGCAGCCATTACGACTTTTATTGTGCGCCATGATTAAATAAGTATTACATTCTTCAAAAATATTTGCTTTTGAATATACTAGTATTCAGAAACTAACTGTAAGTTCATGAGGTCATTATGAACTCCTCTATTACAAAATGAAATGGCAGATAAAATTCTTTTGATTTGGATTCTTTTCAAAAATCATCTAAAAGTGTGGGAATAGCATGCCAGAATTTGACATATCTTTGAATGATGAATTGGGAATGACGATTTTTCAATGGTAGCTTGTTAAAAAATATGTTCCTTAGAGATATGTTGTAATTTGCCCTTTACAAAAGTTGTCTCAATGTATGCTAACCCTTGATTTGGATTTCATTGAACAATTAAACAATTGTTATATAAAATGTATGACTTTGCTACCAGAATTCAATATCTTTCAGTAAAAGATTCACCAAAAACTATTTCAATATAGAAAATCAAATTGTTGCCAAACTTTTGGAGGGGTGTAAATTGTATGTACAAAAAATACTTTTATGTGAGGTACACCGATGAAGGGGGAGATTTGTGGATACATAAAAAATCGGACCCCTGGTCACCAATTGCTCGCTACGCCACTGTCTAGTGAGCGCTTTAATTCAAAATGGGGTTTGATGACCTGTTACCAGAATTAGGAGGATTCGGACGATATCAGAAAGTTTCCATAATCTCATTTGTATTATTCTATGCTGCAACTACATGGCAGTATAATATTACAGTAATCATTGCCGCTGATATGCAACATTGGTGTCATGTGCCAGAGTTAGCCCATCTCAACCACACAACATTTATGAACATAGCTGTTCCCCTCGAGGAAAACCAGTTTGGGGAAGCCGTGTACAGTCAATGCAGGGTCTATGATCTCAACTACTCCAGTATCACAGACGATGATGTGACTAACTGGATCCCTAATGGCAACACGAGTACAAGGAAATGCAACGGATATGTCTACGATACGAGCAGGTTCACGTCAACACTTGTAAGCCAGGTAAACAACTTATATATGATATAAGCAGGTACACATCAACACTTGTAAGCCAGGTAAACATTTTACATATGATACTAGTAGGTTCACGTCAACACTCGTAAGCCAGGTAAACAACTTATATGTGATACTAGGTTCACATTAACATAGATTTAGATTTATGAACTTTTTACACATACATACCCTTAAAGGGTCAAGTGTACACAAAGTAAACACTAATTTTACAATATATCAAAAAAAAAACAATATACGAGGGTTGATCCAAAAGTTCCGAACCGCTCGCTCTAAAAATCCCAATACTTCACAAAAAATTGTTCACACCTGGCCAAAACCACCCCACATATAGTAGCTCCACTTTGTGTAAAAACAACCAATAAATTTGACCAGCAACACAGGTATCTAGTTACCACAGCAATATGACAACAGGGTATGTGGAGAAAGAGCACGACATATTGTAGAGGTGGAAAAACGTTATCGCACCGATATTTATAAGAAAGGTAAACAACTTATATATGATAATGATAGGTACATCGACACTTGTAAGCATTATTAACAGTTCATATATTATAATAGTAGGACGTACATCGACTCATGAAGCAAGGTGAACAACTTAACTCGCATATGATTGTAGCAGAACTATGCTGTCGACTTGACCACTTGCAAATCTGACTGAGTTGATGTTACTTGTATACGTTTTAATCGTATATACCACATTGTAAAATAAGAAAACAACGGTTGAAAAAAATAAAATAAGGGGGAACAAATCATTTAGTTGAGTACACTACTTTAGAAAAACAATTTTCAAAGTATTGAAACAGTTTTTTAAGTTCTAATAAGGTAACACGAAAAGTAAGTAAACGACCTAAAAGTTTTATTTTCTATACTCCAAGTTAAAATTCAATCCAAGTACAATATTTTACATATTTCCCTACGTTGTGTTGTGATCGTTGATAAAAACTGTTCTAAAAAATACAAGAGATCATTTAAAAAAATGAAGGCTCGTGTGAAGGATATGTTTGCAGTGTTGTAATGAATTGTATTGATAAATAGGGATGCTTACTTTTAACGCGGTTAATTTACCGAACGGCAAAAGTAGAAAAAATCCGAACATTTTGAACTGATTAAGATCTTTAAATTGTGAAGGTCTGAGTACCTGGACCTCTTAGAAAACATCCGAACATATCTAAAAGTGAAGATGGGTCAATTTGATTATCGTTCTCCGAAGATATTAATAAAATAGTTAAATGTTCGGAGTTTTTTAATGCTGTAAATAGTTCACAATTCTAAATCAAGAAGTCGCTCGTATTTCTGTCGTATCATGTTGCAAAAATCAGTGCGCAGAATTCATGGTGTTGTTGTGGGACAATTCCACAGACAAATGCTCTAATGTAATCCAATGGGAAAATATTGAAATCTTTGGATTGATTATGAAAAAACGAGGATTTTCGGTACATAACCCCATATACCACGGGATAGCTCCATATGTCCCCTTTAAAACTGAAAATGTTTTTGCATAGAAAGGCCATTGAAATAAAAAGATATGACCGCTTTTTCCACCATCTATCCGAATTTTAAACAATTTTCAATAGATTTCAACTCAAGACCACCGTCACAAAAAGTCAAATATTTGAAGTGAACCAAATTATTTCGTCATACTTTTTGTAAAATTATATACACACAAGATAAACAAAATAAAATATAAAATCTGTACATTTTCACTAGTGATTGCACTGATAAATCATGATTTCAATCAACCATCATCCCAATTTTAAATTTAGATTTTTTCACTAGCGCCCTCTGTAGAGTTTTCCCTGTAAAATGTGCATATTGTCGTTTGAAACCCTCTCTAACGCAATTTTATTATAAACTAACACCTTAGGGTTAAACTTTTGCTCGACGAACTAACTCATTTTCATCAACAAATATTAACCCATCAGGTTTTCTACTAGTAAACTAACGTTTAAACCTCAGTCCATTGTCGTTATCACTTACTACTATATCCAAGTGAGATATGGCTCTTGCCTCAGCACGAGCCAAAAATAATATTCTGAGATGATAATCAAGAAGAGACGGTAAGTATGGAAAGTTCCACAGGGAAGATCCCAAAAAAGGAGGCGATAACAATTTCCCATAATTACCAAATAAATGAACCAATAATGAACAAATTAAAGATAATGTCATATTAAATCTACTAGACTTCCTAAACCTCCTTTAAATGGAGGCAAATGTTGATTCCCATGAGGAACCATCATTTGAACCAATATAAAGCCAAGTAGATTATGTAATACACTAGAATATCCTGAACTAAAAAATCCTCCTTAATGGGAATTGGAACTTTCCTGATAGAAAAGACATAACAATATGAAAAGAGCCGAGATTTTAATGTTATTCATGAATAATATCACGTATTGAGTGCAAGTGGACTTAAGGAGAATAAAGAATAGAAATGATCTACATCAAATGTATAGAACAATAAAATATATATTGAAACCTAAATCAATGTGATATAAAAATGAAGTTTGTTTAAAAGTTTCTTCAAACGTTCAATGAATGCTGCCTTCAAAACCATTTACATTAGAAACCTTTTGAAGCCATTTTTTCATCCATTAAATCGATTACTATAATTGTTTGTAACCGGATGGCATGCGATCCTCAAAACATACGTTTCAGAATAGTCAATGTGCTCTTTGACATTTCTTGCCGGATAAAACGAGTTAATACAAATTGAGGTAGACAAGTTCATTAACAAAAGGTTAATGTGTTGTCCTAAAACTAAATTTCCGTGGGAATATCTATCATCTTGTCAAGTTAACGGTCGACAAAAGTCTTTCTAATGGTATTTTAATATTCTTATAAAGAATGCATAAGTGGATTTGATTTTGAGCATTTTAAGATCAGGATCGCAGTGCTTGGGGAGAATGTAGCAGTGGCGTGTCTTCCTGTTACTTCACTGACAAATGGTCAACAATCGTACGTCACCGGATGGGGCTCAACAGGTTAGGATATTTCACATAAAATATCGCAAATGATTATGATTATATCATCATTGCATCTTGAATGCAAAATACTACACCGCTCTGGTAATACTATTCTAATATGAATGAATTAATTCAATTATTTTACATGCTACAGCCTCTGGTGGGGGCAAAGTAACTCGACTACGCGAAGTGATGGTGCCCATAATAGATAGAACACATTGCATCGCTGAGTCGAACTATACCGCCAATGATGATCTGTCCATAACAATGGTCTGTGCTGGTAGTATAGCTGGTGGCATAGACACCTGTCAGGTATGACAATAGCATAAACCTTCAGTAGGTCAGTTTGAAGTTCAAAGGGGAACAATGGGCAGGACAATCTCCTTCTAAGAGGCGGAAATAGATGAAAAAACCTTCATGCGAAAAGCCTATTAAAAAAACCATTTGGAAATACCATGAAGCTAATCTTGAAACTTTGAATGATGCAATTAGAAATACCGAATGGACAGATATTATCGATAGAAACATAGACTTGGACTTAGCTACCTCTAACTTTATTGAAAAACTCTCGGACATATACAAATCCAAAATTCCAAATAAAATCATCACTGTAAGGTCAAATGACCAGCCATGGTTCAATGATAATCTTAAACGTGAAATATCAAAAAAGAAAGTTTTATATAAGAAATTTTCAAAAGCTCCTAATCAAGTTAACAAATTCAATTATAATCAACAAGCTTCTAAAGTTTCCCAACTAATTGAACAAGCCAAAGAGGCACATGAACTCAAAACTATCTCATCAATTGACCAACTCAATAAATCTGATAAAAACTATTGGAGGTTAATTAAATCATTCCTTGGTAACAATTTACATAAAAATGATATTTCTAGTATCTATTATGATGTCTCTGGACACGACTTATCTAACAACCTTGATATAGCTAACCGATTTATGAGTTTCTTTGCCTCAAAAAATCATACTGATGCAACTTTTGATCAATTGCCCCATTTCCCAATTAGGACTAATTCTCTACTCATTTCCGCCCAGACCGATCAATTCGAGGTAATGAAAATAATTTTGTCCTTAGACACCTCAAAGGCATGTGGCCCAGATAACATCACCAACAAAATGTTGAATTTGACAGCCCATACCATTTCAAAACCTTTAGCCAACTTATTCAACAAACTTTTATCAAAGTGTACCTACCCTGATATCTGGAAAATTGGAAATGTTTGCCCAATTTTTAAGAAGAATGACAAATCAAACATCAACAATTATAGATCTATCACTCTTTTAAGCTGTATCTCTAAAGTATTTGAAAAAGTTTTAGCTGATCGAATCAGGAAGCATTTAATTGACAATAATCTTCTTTTCAAACATCAGTCCGGAGTCTTACCAGGTCATAGTACTATTCATCAACTTTTATCGATTGAACATTTTCTTCAGAGCACATTTGAACAAGGAAAAGCTTCCAAAACAATTTTTCTAGATATAGCGGCTGCATTTGACAGAGTACCACATAAGCTACTACTTCATAAACTTTCAGCATATGACTTCCAAGGGCAAATTCAAAAAATTATCAAATCTTACCTTACTAACAGAAAAATTGCTGTACAGATATCTGGGGAACTTTCAAATTATTCTGAAAATGACTTTATCAATTGTGGTGTCCCCCAGGGCTCAATACTTGGGCCAATATTATTTCTCCTATACATTAATGACCTTCCAGACAATCTGGAGGGGCATTGCTATATTTATGCGGATGACACTTCTCTACATCATCCTTTTGACCCTAAGCATCCACAAGAAGTAGATGCAATAGCCAGATCTAGCCTAATTAAAATTGAAAAATGGTCTGACACCTGGAAATTGGAGTTTAAACCTGAAAAGAGTTCTGAAATGATATTCCACTCATCCAGATCTAAAGTCGATAATGTTTCTGTTTCAAAGTTAAACAATGTTGAAATTACCAGAGATCACGAGCACAAACATCTGGGATTTACTTTTGACCCAAGCTTATCATATGACAAGCATATTGGAGAAATCATATCAAAAATACGAAAAATGTTGAACCCTTTAAAGAAACTTAAATATAAGTTAGGTAGTAAGCATCTAGAAACCATATTTAAGTCCTTTATTTTACCCCATTTTGACTATAGTGCTATCATGTACAGCACAGCCTCATAGTTCATATTACAACGACTCGACAGTCTTTATTATAAAGCTGCACTTTATTGTTCTGGGTGTATCCAAGGGAGCAGTTCAAAAAAGGTTTTAAACCTACTCAATTGGCCAACTCTTGAATCAAGACGCAGTATCCAGATTAACAACTTTATGTTCAAAATCGTAAATGGTACAAGTCCTCCCTATGTAACTGATATTTTTGACAAATTTAGAAACCATGCAAACAGAGTATTGAGATATAATGAAGCATTTAAAATGCCCATTAGATGTTCAAATAGATTCTCCACCTCAGCAATACCAGCTGCAATTTCAAATTGGATCAATCTTCCACCTGCTATTAAATCTAAGAATACTCTTTCGAATTTTAAAAAACACCAAAGAGTACATTTCCAAAAAACGCCCTCGATTTTGTCAACAAGCCAGCTTAATCTAACAAGGGTTCAAGAAATAGTTCTCAATAAAGTGAGAGCTGACCTATACTTTAAAGCCCAGTTCTACGCTCACAACTTTCAGTCTATTGACAGCCCTAATTGCACTTGTGGAAAACCACAAACTCTGAAACATTTTCTCTTTCAATGTGACTTACTTACTATACAAAGACAGCAATTCATGGACAAACTCACTGATCTCGAACCAAACATCTTCAGTCATAATCTCTCTCAAACTGATTTCATAGCTATTTTGAAAACAGGAATTCCCAGATTAAACATAGATGCAAATTCCCAAATACTACTTCTCATTGTTAATTTTATCAAAGACAATAGCTTATTCCCTCCTTCTTATCCATCTCTAGTATCCTCAAGTCCCGTCACACTTGCCCTAGTCCAAGACCCTGCCTGCTCTGCCACTTCTACATCCACCTGCCCCCTATTCTTATATAATGCCATTGTGGCGATTTAAGAACTTACATGTCTGTATTTACATTTTTTGTATTCTATTGAAATAAATTTAATAATAACTTGAAAAAAAAATGCGTACATGGACCATTTATCCCCCTTTAAGTCTTGGCCCGTCGTGTCCTTGGTTTCCCTAGTCAAGTAGCCGTATGAACTTTGATGTTGAGCATCGACCCGGATGATAAGCTAATTATTTTCGGATTCAACCGGTTGTCGACTGATTGTTTAATCCACAATTTATTTCAAACTCATTCAAATATTAATGGAATAATGGCAGGTATTAATCACATTTGAATGAGTTGGCTATAAATTAGTAGGTTTAACCGCCAGCGGGCAGTTGAATTCGCGAATGCTACCTTAAAAGCCTTGATTGAGTTTAAAAGCTTTTGGCACATAAACTTCTGAGAATTACACATGTTATCAATCAACCATAAGATACATATATATATATATTCTACTCGTTTATAATTCGTAAATGAACTACATCTCTTCATCCATTTGCGAACCGGAAGTTACCATTGGAAAGCGTAATTCAAACAAGCTTCAGCACGCGGTCAAAAGACAGAGGAATCCTGTTGACAAACCTTTTGGGGAAAACAATACGAATTTAAGAACATGCATTTGGTCCTACAGGGTGACTCTGGCGGTCCACTAGTGACACAGATGAGCCACAATTCATCACTATGGCAGCTGAGTGGTGTCATAAGCTGGGGTATTGGTTGCGGAGACCCTTCTTACCCCGGGGTGTATACCGATGTCATCTTATTCAACAATTGGATAAAGGGAATAATTTCAAGTGAGCATGTTTGCTTTATATTTTCATTTTAGAGCTTTTAGAGTTAAGATGCAAGAATCATTTCATCCAAAGTCTCTAATTTAGGTAGTTATTCCTAAATGCAACGAACGCTTGAATAAAGAATAATCATAATTAATATTTATTTAGTGAATTTAGACGTACGTTGTGCTAGTAAACTTGAATTTTGACGCACATGCTAATAGTAGACTTAAATTAAGATGCACGTATGGATGGAAGAACGTACTCAGACGTGCAGGCCCGTAGCCAGTAGGGTGCGATGGGACGGGACGGGGGAACGGAAGCTCCTACCGGCTAGAAATTCTTTCAAAATCATGCAGTTTTCACCATTCTGAGCACTATTCGCAATATTTTTAGCGAAAGATTTCAAAAAGCCCCCCTCCCCTTGGTAACACCTGGCTTCGTGCGAGGACGTGTTTAATAGTAATACACTTGAATATAGACATATGTTCTACTTTAATCTCAGACAATTGTGGAGATTCATCATGCTGTACATACCTTGGTAGCATTGGGGAATGCGAGACTAATCCAAACCTGATGTTTGACTCTTGCCTCGAAGAATGTATTACAGGTATTAATTAAATCTGCTGTCAAAGTATATAGTACTATGTAGTTAAGTTCATTTCTAAATATGCATAGTCAGTCTATTCAATTGTAACCAAAATGGACATTATCTTGAACATTTATAATTTATAGAGCCCCCTGTGACTGATTCACCAACTACTGAGTCAATTACAAGCACAATTGTAACCACTCAAACTAGTTCAAACATTGTAAGTGATGTCACTAAAACTAGTGAAAGCACAACAGACGCTACACTCAGTTCGACATTAAACGCTGAACATAAAAACACTGGGCAAACGACAAGTACATCTGAAGAGGCAAATGCAACGTCCACTGATCAAGCGACAAGTACGAGCATCTCGACTCAGAACATCGTCAGTTTGCCGCCTGGTTATCTTGACCTTGGGGTATGGGAATATTTCTCAAAAGTTATATTTTTGATTTAGTTTATCATGAAAACGAACAAACAGAACAAACAGGATCTTAAGAGGTTCTGGACAAATCATTTGATTCTGGACTTGACATATTTTTTTTCCAACGAAATCACATCCAAGGGTTGAATTTTTATTGGATATTTAGAGAGCGAGTCCTGTATTGATTTCAATAAAAAGGTTAAAATAGAACGCTATTTGAGAGTTAATCTTATACTTTCATTACATTGATAAATTAAGGCAAATTCTGAAAAATTTTAAAGTGCATTTTTTATGAAATATTATCCAAGTATTTAGATGAAACGGTCTTATTTAAATACAAATCATAACATGATGATATTTTTTCATAAAATATTTCTTCAAGAAATTCAATTGAAGGCTCAAGATAAAACGAGCTAATTTAGGTGAAAACCCTTACATGATGATGTGTTTTCATGACTTCTTTCATAAAATTCCATCAAGGGGTGAAAATAAAATGATCGAATTTAAGTGATTTAAGGATCACGAGGATAGGTTTTCTTGGATATTTTCTATGAAATCCCATCCAGTGGTCAAGGTAAAATTTTTATTTGGTATATTTGGTCACGTGTTCGAACCCATAGAACCATATAGGAACGTCATTTTGAATGTTACGTGATAAATCCATATAAGGCTTTTAGAACAATGTGGGGAAAGATGAGGGGAAACCCCTGACACCTGTTCACGATTTTATCCGAACGTTCATCGGATCATTCCGGTTTTTATGCACTTCATTATTTTACCGAAGTTTGCCGATTCGATTCGTCGTATTTCGGAATATTGGGGACAATTTTATACTCCATTGGGAGTATTTTTAATCTACTTCTTATTACGAAGATTCCCGAACCTTGTTCGGATTAATCCGGATTTTCTGACCTACTTCATCTACCGAGATTTAACGAGTTTACATTCGGCTCATTTCGGAATCCTGGTGACAATTTTATACTCCATTGGAGTATTTTTGATCTACTTCTTATGACGAAGATTTCCGAACCTTGTTCGGATTAATCCGGATTTTCTGACCTACTTCATCTACCGAGATTTAACGAGTTTACATTCGTCTCATTTCGGAATCCTGGTGACAATTTTATACTCCATTGGAGTATTTTTGATCTACTTTTTCTGGATTTTGCCCTACTTATTATATCTTTACAACAAGCAAATCAAAAAATTCGCCATGAACGGGTCTCGATCGACTAACCTAGAGCATGGAAGCTAGGCACGTTAGCCATGAGGCTAACGTGCAACCGACACGAAAGAATAAAAGTATTATATATTTATACCGAGCGTCAATTCAAAATGATCTTCACTTTTGACTGCACGTAAATACAAGTCGTCAGTTGTATCCAGAATAGATGAACGCCTATGGTACTAGTGAATAACCAAGTCCCAGGCGAGTGGTTCGCACCCCACCGTGATATGTAATTTTTGCTTTTTTAATACGACAGAAAGGAGCAAGGTCACTGGCATGTAGCGGTCCTGATATCGATACATTCTACACGCAATAAAACCAGATACCTGCGTGTGATTAATTTGAATGTCTTCTTTTGAATAGTCATAGTTTAATTTGGGTAATATTTCTAGATTTTTCATATAAAAATTACTAGTGAAACACCCAACGTCGCTTTTATGATTCGTACCACTTTTTTAACTTGGTGTATTGCATATTTCCGTGGGTTGATTTGAAAAAAAGACAAACAACGTATACATGAATATGTCATAAGCATATAGTGAGATAATTGTTAGATTAGGTTTGCTATAAGTGACTTTAAAACAAAAAAATAAAAAAACATTAGTTCACGTGTTAAAGTCCCATTGACCACGACATCAAGGAAAATTGAGCTTTTTGTCATCAGACATCTTTATAGATGGAACTACCAGTGGCGTAGGAACAATATACGCCAAAACGCCAATGCGTAGTGTTGAAAAGCTAGAATGAAATAGCTTAATAATTTCCTTATGTTCTTTAGTCATATTTCCTCATTGTTAATAAATTGTTTGTGATCTCGAGCACACTAAAGAAATGTTTTTGGAAACCATGTAATATGTTCGATTTTTTCAATAGTACTCTTTGCAAGGTTTTTGTTCCTCTGTTACTTTTTTCTAGCTTCGGCCACGATAAATGGCACTTTTTGGCGTAAAAATCAAGGTGATTTGGGGTAGAGGGTTATGATAGTTGGAAGTTTAAGCCAGTAAAAATGAAAGTACATTTCAACTTCAGTTCTAGGAAAGCAATTACCCTAATTTCTATTTTATTTGAAATATAATAGATTATTATTTTAGGAAATAAAGCATTTAGGCACCAATAATTATTTTGAAAGGAAAAAACAATTTACCACAAAATGTCACGTTGACTTTTGCATGGGCTTTTATCTTATAAAAAAAGTTGAAGACATTAGAGTTATGTTGTTATATCATTGATCACGGGCATGTTTCTATTGATCATACTAGTTTCTTTAATCTGTATTGTTGAGATTTAAAAGATCGGCTTTCCATGGTGATTTTATATCATGAAAAACATTCGAACATTTTAAGCACAATTAGAAAGGTATTACCATAAAAATTACCTTTTACGAGCATAAAAGAGGCGTTTTGATTCGTTAAGATTTGACACAATTTTTTCATATTTTTGGCGTAGTGTTGAATTTACACCTTCCTACGCCCCTGACTACTGTAGCTATGTACTACATTTTTAAATACACTCACATTGTACATGTAGCTGTAATATCTAAGATGTTATTTTTATTGATGAAAAGATTCTTACATACTAAAGTTACATTAAAATATCAATTGCAATAGCCACCTGTTTTTAACATCCCTTTGTCACTCATCCCTTAATTATCTCTGTGTATCTTAAACGTGTGTGTGTTCGATGTTGATAGCACCCGAGTGCAACCTAAGGAGCACATACAATACATTTTGTGTATGCCCAGTCTGGCCGCCTTATATCTGCCTGCACCGAGAAATGGGCGCAGCTTTGACAATTAACGAATGATATAACGATATCACGGATTTCACCGAATGTTATTCATCCCTAAATAGCTTTTTTATTTAGTCTTATGATCCGACTGATGTTTCAATTTTTTGCAGTGACTCTGAAATTGCTGCGCCAGATATGACATCACAGCGACTCATTTTCCTACATTTAAATCACTAAACTAAATCAATTGAAACATAATCATTAAAGAATGAGGACCTTGTATTTTACTTTGGACGAGGGTAGTGGCCATGTCTTGGCATGGCTAGTTGTGCATTAACGTTTGATACTGTTGTGCGGATAAAAATAATGAATATATGTTAAAGTAGCATTAAACAGATACTTTTAAAGTTAAAAGAATATAGTTACATTTAAAGAATGGGCCCAACGAACAGATATTGAATATAGGACTCGTTTGATGAAACGTTCGTTCTTTTAATTCTAATAAACCTAGAAATCAATCAACGATTAAGTAAATTGACAAGACTTCATGTTCAAGTTGGCTGAATTTCGTGTAACTTAACTCTGTTATGCTTCTAGATTTTACATATGGAGAACAGAATTCGAAATCATAATCACAATCGTATTTTAAGGCAAATAGGCCATGAATATGCTTTTAGTTACACGGTGGATGATCAAATTAACACATTTTGGATGTTGAATTTCATTTCAAGTTCATTCGAATTTACGCATTATCGTGGGAAAGCCCATGGCATTATCCAATAAAATTGATATATATACTGTCTAGGCTGAGACTAACATATATAATGTTATTTAATGTATTTAATATACAGGATATATCTGAGAAAGTTATGCAATATATCTACACGAGAAATAGTAGGGACCGAGGGTTGATATATTACCTTTACCTGTCGAAAATCGAGTATAAACTATGAGGATTAGATACGCATTGAATGTAATGGAACCGTCATGTAATAATTAGAAATGATAATCACAATCAATTATGAATATTTTATCTAGATTTAAAGTGCTTAAGATTTATTTTTAAAACTCAACCGAACTATTAACATTTAAAAGCACCGAACGAATTTTCTGGGGATTGCTGATGAGCGGGTGGGATGGGATGGGAGGGATAAAATGAAATACTAGATAAAATATTGATACCTTTACGCATGTCAATCTCAAATTAGAATGCATATATCATTATCTCTTTTATTCTTCTGTATTGCAATACGATAGTCTGATTATTGCCAATATCCTATACATGAAATAATGTACAACGTGTATTCTACATTGAATAACAAACGAAATAAAACTCATCTTTGTACGAATTTATTTTTCATATGACACAAAGTAACATAACATTGTTATATGTTGCATTTACGACTACTACAGCAAATCAGAAAATTCGTACAATATCAAACGTAAGAGTTGTTCACAAATACATTGGTATTTTGATATGAGTATCATGTAGTATTAAAATATTAAAATCATATGATCAGCAAGTTTATAAGCTTAATATTGTATTGTTTTTTATTTAAGTGTCGCATGCTTAATTTCATACATATACATCTGTACAATCATCCAAAAAGCCTCGAGCCACCAATGGCTAATGAGACACTGCTAATCAAAATAAATCATATAATATTATATAATAAGATGCATAATATGAGTCAGTTGCAGAAATAGGATTATGAATAAAGCAAAGTTCATGACCTCTATTACGAACATTGTTTGATGAACTCGATCACTCAGTCAGTTGTTGAACATATGCAAATGTGGTCAGGTTATAAATATAAGTACAATTTAAGTCCATGATATTTTCACATATTGAACATAACACTCAGTTCACAAAGAGATGTATACAAATCTAATCCACAAGTAGAAATGATTGTTTCATGCTGTTTATGCATTGTGTATAAACTGTAATCCAAAACATGAATAAAGTGGGCAAGAGGTGGTTGTATGATGGCCCATAAAATCACATTATGTAACACCGGCACCCTGGTTCAATATAGTG